CTTATTTTTGTATTAAACTTATTATTATAATTTGAACTTGACAACCTCGGTGGTCTTGTGGTTTAGCACACCGCCTTACTTCCGATGGTCACGGGTTCGAGTCCTCTCACTGTACAAACATTTGTATTCATGAGTATGATTGTTTGTATCGGTCTGAGTATTTTCTATGTATAATATGTATGTATTTACGAAAAAGATATACATCTATGTATTTGTAGTTGTCCAGTACCCATAACACAATGTGGGACTGGATGGCGCTATGTTAATTGTCAAGGGTTACTTTATATTATTATGTAAATATCAACTTATTTCTCTTATTTGCGTTAAATATAATTTACCACAAATTTTAACATCATATGAATGTAAAATAATCTTGAAAACGTTGCCAAATAATGTACGTAAGAATGACGCCGTAAAGATGCACATAGTATGATGTATCGACCATGCAACGAAATTATATTTAGTATTAACCTGAGATTATATTTAATTACAAGGTAGATATCATAATCTTGTTAACGTCACAAAACAGCTACTTATATTTATTACTTATTTACGTAATAAATACAGGATGTATTTATAGAATAGCATTACGTTGGTCTTAAATTATTTACGATACTACGTCGACTTGCGTCCAACATGCATTTAAATCAAGGTATTCATATGGATTATATGTACTTATTTTTCTCGTATCCAGTACATAGGATGTGATTATAAAATAAAAAATTTACAAAACTGTACTCAATCGCATCATTAGCTACTGGAAATCAGTGTTTTACCCATTCGTATACATATAAATAAAATTGGAGTGTCTGTTTGTAATATTGAAATAACCGTTTTTTACTGTATGGATATGAATATAAATATGGAACATACACCAAAAAACCACTTTAAAAATTTTTTGTCAGTATATCTATCGGTCTGTTTGTTCCGGCTAATCTCTGAAATGGCTGCACCGATTTTAACGAGATTTTTTTTGGCAGGTAGCTGATGTAATAGGGAGTAACTTAGGCTACTTTTATTTTAGAAAAATAAAATAAAATTCCACGCGGACGAAGTCGCGGGAACAGCTAGTTAATAATAATAACCCTGGACTATTCACACATTCGGTAACCATTTGCCATTAGATTGTATGCTTGTTTGCCACCTCGTAGTATAAAAAATAGACACCGTCAACTAGTCCCAAACTGAGCAAAAGCTATGGACACTAAACGATGGATAAAAATACTTAAATACCTACGTAAGATATATAGAAAACATCCGGACCAATACAAACAATCGCACTCATGAATACAAATGTTTGTATCCTGTGGAACCCGCGACCATAGGAAGTTAGGACGTGCACTCAACCGCTATACCATATTATAACATTGTTCTTTCCCTTTCCATTTTGTTTGAATCAATAAATGTTGCTCCGTTGATGAAGATTATCGTCTGCCTAACAAAACTAAGTTTGAATTAAAACCCCCGGCTGTAATCCAATTTGCTAAGTCTACAAATGAGAAAGCGACACGTACTTTGTATCTATATAAAGAACAAAAGATATAGATAGAACAAGTGTCAAAATATAGAAATTGTTTAGTTTCGATGCTGATGGGTTTACACCGGTCTTATAAATTATGACTTCGTCCGCGTGGAATTTAACTTTATTGTTCTAAAATAAAACATTTTTTTAAATAATAGTACCCTAAGTTACTCATTATTACATCAGCTACCTGCCAAAAAAAGTCCCGTCAGAATCGGTCGAGCCATTTCAGAGATTAGCCGGAACAAACAGACAGACAGACAGACAAAACTTGTAAAATATGTTATTTTGGTGTATGTACCGTATTTATATTCATATGCATGTAGTAAAAAACGGTTATTGCAATATTACAAACAGACTCTCCAATTTTATTTATGTGTATAGATATATTTATATATTAAGAATAAGTGTAAGAAAGGGCGTCTTTACTCATCAAACGTAAATGTTAATAAAATAGCAGCAAAATCGAATCTTTGCATCTCACGCAGCCTGGTATTCGTTTTTTAATTACTAGGTATATATTGCCGAAATAAAAGATCAGATCTTAATTTTGTCTTCTTCAGATAGTACACAGATTTAGGTTAAACATCAAGAAATCATTTTCGTCTTCATATTTTTCTATAGGTACCCGTTTCTTTTGTAAAGAAGTCCACTTGCAAGTTTAATTTGAAGGCACCGAAATTCTTCTCTTAAAAAGCAATGCCCTTTAGCGAGTCTGCCCTTGACCTTCATACTGGATACTATTACGTTGATAGATAACAATTTACGTAAAATAAAGCTAGTCATTACATTATTTTCCAATTTCATGTTGCACTTGGCGCTATCTTATCTTTTTAATTCTATTACTTAAATATTGATAAGCGTTGTTTATGACGCGTTTACTACTAAATCCACTTTAATATCTATCTTTTAACATTAGTATCCAAATACAGGTCGTTCGTGATGTATATAAGTAGGCAAAACATTGCATTTATCAAAATAAGTCAGCGGATCGCATTTTTTATGGATTTTCAAATTTTAACTTTCAGGCCTATATTTGTAGGTAGCTTTTAAGTTTTCTTATTTTCATACCTAAAAATCTTTTAATTTACTTGGACTATAAAACCGAACAACAGCTAATATAGTAAAGCGCTTGCCGGAGAAATTGATGAGACAGAGGTAACCACTGCCGACGTTTTCTAGTGAGACTACCGCATGGGGTTTTTCAAGAAGGGTACATTAAGGTTTCTTGTAAGCGCGTGTCGGCAACGCGCATGTGACATCCCTGATCCCAGTCCCAGGCGTCCATAGACTACGGTAAAATTGAAGTACTCAAAATGATTTTTATATTTTTCATTGCTGTTCCGTTCCTATTAGTCGTAGCATGATGTTATATAACCAATAGTACACGGGAATAATATACCTTTCTAACAGTGAAATAATTTTAAAAATCGGATTAGCTGAACCGTAGATTACCCCGAACAAACAAATATACAAACCTCATTCTAATATTGGCATAAATAAGTAGGTATTAATAGTTGATAGCAACATACAACATAGCAACCTCAACGTTTAGATTGCTACCATAACATCAAACAAGCATGCTTTTCACTTTGTATTCTATATTTCTTAATTGAATTTTAAGTGCCTAGAAAATTAGGTTGTTTAGAAGCACGCAAATGCAAATTTAACCTCGTAAAATACACTAAAAATAACCTATTATAAAGCGAAAGTGACTTTGTTTCTTTGTTATGCTCCGAAGCAATAATCATGCTTGACATATAGCTTTGGCTTTGAGAGGCAAATTACAAACCTATATGACTACTGGAGTTTTTATCCCAGACAATTACGGCCATGCGGACTGAGTAGCGAGCAAAAGCTATTCATGCTGTAATATTTCTTTCAAAGTCAAAGTAATTTATTCTCATAAGACCTATCGGGCTCATGCGCAGGTCATGTACCCCTCGGATCGATTCAAACGGGGATGAAAATCGACGGCCTATGTCGAGATTTTAACCCGTAGGGGTTCCCTCGGACTAAAGTTGTTAGGCGGGAGTTGGCCTTCAGCCGCTCCATAAGTCCTACTACGCGTTTGGAGTCTCCAAACGCGTGGAAGGACTTATGGAGCGACTCCAAATTTGAGTTCCATCTTTACTCGTCTATCATCCAATGAAGCTAAAGGCCAGCTACGGTCAGCATTACGGTAGTTAAGGTAGCAGCGAAAAAAAGCAGGTCATATTTTCTATCATTATCCTTATAAAGGCAAGAAACTGATAAAGGCTATTTTGATAGTGCTTTCAATGTCATACTACATAAAAAAAAAAAGTTTATTTCATAACATAAGATGCAGTACATAAGGAACCTTATGCTTTTAAGTTTATATAAATTTGTATTAGGATGAGACCGCGTTTTCTCAAGATATTAGCATAAATGTCATGACAAAATTGAGCCTAATAATTTTTTTTGACGGATGAGAAAACGTGACATCTCGCGGCCCTTCTACACAGCACAATGGATAATTATGGAACCCTTATTCACGCGGTAGTAAGCGATTAGACCCGCAATGTTAGTTAATTTGACCTACACTTGTCCCTTCTAGAAATTACCTGTTATTAATTCCTGCAAAATTTACCTCATTGGCCAAACTGACCTGACTTTATCATCAATACTTAGTCCTTCATCTTCAACTTTCTACTCATCATCTTCTGCTGAAGCTAATAATAACTAGCATAGGCTAGTTCACCATTCCTTATAAATTCCTAAGAAACTGTCATTTATTTAAAAAACACTCTGTATCTAGAAATTAACTGTTGGACGGCGTTGTGCGGTCGTATTGACACACTCGACGTCTACAAATAAATCCAAAATCACATATAGGGCGAGACCCATAAGATGATGAATATTACGATGACATTGCATCACTTCATTGGTAGTTTAACGGATTATAGACAGGCGACATTAAACTGTCACAAACGGTTAACAATGAAATGAAAAGAATCTCCCAAATGAGGGAAATAATTAAGTTTGTGAAAAGTACTTACAATTTTATTAATCAAATGACGTCATTTGATTAATAAAATTGTTTTATTGGTGTAGCACACCGCCTTTCGTCCGATGGTCGCGGTTTCGATTCCTCGCACGGCACAAACATTTGTAATTTGTATTCATGAATATGATTGTATCGGTCTGGGTGTTTTCTGTGTATGTTATGTACGTTTTTAGGAAAACAATCTATGTATTTGTATCAGTTATCTAGTACCCAAAACATAAGCTTTAGCTAGCTTAACTTGGGACTAGATGGCGCTGTGTGAATTGTCTTGTATTAAATAAAAAAATTAATAGCTGGTATTATATAGATGCTTTATTTATTACAGTCATTTGAATACCACCGACAGATCTATGAACATGCGTACCGAGTCGCGGGCACTACTGCTTTGTGATAACAATGTTAAATATTAACACGGAAGCGGAAATAAAGCGATGTTTCCCCACGTTTCAGTACTGAGAATGATGGCCATAATGCAGGACAGGAATAGCGAGGAGGTACCGAAGGAATTCCTCGAGACGGGCAGGACGGGCCGCAGGAACGCCATGCCAGATATACTGCACCCGCAGGGCGCCGAGGTGACCACGGCAGATCTTCCTTCGAGGTTACAGCAACTGGTCACTACTGGTTAGTACTTTCTTGTTGGTTTTAGAACTTCCATGTGTAGAATATAGAATAGACTAGAGACGAGTGCTGCTTGTACATGCCTGCACTAATCATTACGACTGATTTACTCTTATTTCGTTACTCAACCAGTAGGTGATGTATTTATTATTTTGACTCTAATGAATTAGTGCTAGTTGGTATTTTGCTTAAAAGTGTAAAGTTACAATTAAATTATTTAAAAGAGCAACACGCAAGTTTCTTACTTGTTCTTCTCGTGATGAGACAGATTTTCGAATGAGAGGTAAATTAGAAAATAATAATGACTATCCAAAAGTGATTAAATATAAGTATAAAAATAAAATTACAGGATAACTCCTCCTCAACTCCTTATCCTGTAATTTTATTTGTATGCTAAAATTGTAGCTTCGCTTAGATGCAAATTGCAATTATTATAATGATTTAAAAATAAAATTTCCGTCTAGGTTTATAGTTTTCTACAGTAATAAGATTTTTTTAAATCGATTGATTAGTGAGTTTATAGGTTAGTATATCTATGCATTTAGGTATATGGTATATATATGTTTGTTTGTATATATACAATTGGTGTACACATAATACCGATAAGTTGTATTCTTTGTAAGTTACTGGTAACAAATAAAAATAATGTCATATTTTATACTTAGGGGTTTTGTTTACTCAGTCTATTTTTGTATCGTCTTCAACATTTATCTCAATTACGATGAATGGGTAATGGAAAGGATATTTTTGTAAAGCTTTTATTTCACTTGTTTCGTTTATAGTATTTTTGGTATAAATCATTCTTGAAACATTATCGAAGGTTTGATACGGACTATCGTTTTGAAAAATATTCTATAGTATTTCTTCATCAGAGTTAATCTAAATGTAGAATATATCAAATTGGACGCCTATTTCAGAGTAAAAAAAAACAAGTAAATCTAAATAAAGAAAAGTAAATCCTCTCTATAATACTTGTATAAACGAGCCCATAGGACATCTCGTTATTATATTATGTATCACATACATACAAGAATAGAATGAAATAGAAAATCATTTATTCAAATAAACTTAATTTAAGCAGTTTTGAATATTCATAACAATTTTTTTTTATTCTACCGCTCTATCACAAGAAGAATGAGCAAGAAACTTGTGTGTTGCTCTTTTAAATAATCCTTGTAAGTTTATTTCACATACACACACACACAAGTCACATACTTTGTAGTTTCACTGCCATATCTCACAATTTACAAAGAAGCTGCTTTCCAGCTGGCTGAAGTGCCTGCTTGAGTACTTACCTACGTGCAGCAACTTTGTACGCAATCTGATAGCTCTCCTCTCTTAGTTCATACTCGTGTATTAAGTTTTCTGTTAACTAAACACTTTCGTAAACAAATCTCAAGAGTAAAGTCTAAAATAAAGAATATATATTTAATGAAGGCGATATAATCTCTAACAAGAAAATAAGATCACGTAGAAAATCCAGTGTCTAGCTATATCTAGTTCACATATAATTTAGTTTTAGTATCCAATATAATTAAGTAGCGTCGGACGTTGACACTTATTTCGTAAAAACAGAACATCTACAAGTGTTAAAGGAGTCGCTTCAAAATGATTCTTAAGTTATTGTGATTTGAGGTTAAAATCCAATGGCATTTGTGTTTACATGCTTTGCTACCGCGCAAACACTTTTCCAAGTGAATACTACGAGACATTGGTTTTGTTCCCCCAAATTACTTCGATTTTCACGTCTATGTTTCAACCGCGGCGAATGTTTATTGTATGGGTATTGGAGATTAGTAGGTACAAAGTACTTTGTTACATTCCCAGTACAAAAGCCATATTGTTGTGGATAAACCTTGGAAGCGAAACACAATAAACGTAATGTTACCAAACTTTGTATTTACGTAGAAATTTTAGTATCGTTATTTCGAGTTTTTATAGTACTAAATATTAGCACACTGATTGTTAGTAGACGGGACCGTTGGCCTTATTGTTATCAATGAACTCGGTTGAACTCAATATAGTCCTCTGGAGACCGTCGTGGTTAATTTCCGGTGAATTCATCACGATGTGCTAATCAATGTGATATTCATCCTTTCATTCTTCTATAGTAGTCAGTAATTACACTAGCTGTACCAGCGTGTGTGTGTGTAAGAGACATAACCTGTATAGGTACATGTAGGATCTGTGGAGTATCCGATTTTTGCATTGTTAGTTTATAGTATATTTATTTAGCTCAACTGGCAATTTATTTCATCCATTATCAATATAGGTATTGATCCATTGTAAAGCCAATGCCTCGAGCGTTGAGGCCAAAGAGAAGGCAATAGCGTAATATGATATAAATTTCAATAAGTATACATATTTATGACTAACCTTATCATAATATCGTGACATATCGATCAAATTATGTATGACGCGTAAACATTGTATCCATCTTCACACACATTTAACGTTTTCGACTTATAAAAAGCAGTTTTTATTTATATTTATTGAAGAATTATATTTTGTTTGTATAACTTTTGAAATGATAACCGTCATGTATATATATTAATAGCAACACTGTGGATATCACGTGATGACATGATGATGTGACCTGGTGGTACAGATCATACGTCACATTTCCATACCATGTAATTGGAATGACATATTTCATCGTTGAATCCGAAATACATCTTAGAAAACAAGACTCTCGCAGCTTAAATATGTTGGGACAGAAGCACCCACGCCGACGATTTTGTACAACGTCTAAAAACAGAGTCTGTATTCTTTATTTCTAAAAATCTCCTCCATCCATCGTGGTTATTTTCTTTTGAATCTGCCAGGATCGACTGACCTGACTTTGTTCACTTCCCATAATTTTGCACCAGTGTCTCGCTTGATACCATTAGCGTAATCGGGTGCACCAAATTATTGTCATTAATATAAAAACGTTCTTAGAAACCGATACTCCTGGAATATTATGCATTACGTAGACTCCCTATGAGTGGTATTGTAATGCAGGGGTAAATTATGAAATTTTACATTCGTTCTCGATATTATATCTAACTCATCAAAACAGCTTAGCTTGTGCAAGTTGTTTTGGCAAGAAAAATAGGTGAGATAAAGGTATTTATATGCAGACTACTTTGTAAGTCTCCCTTCGGTCTGGTTTTGTCCATCCATGACGTAACGTCTAGATCCAAATTGTTACAGAGTTATAAACAACTATGACGTAAGCTTGTTAGGAAATTATCATCTTTACCGTCACTCTGCTGACGTATTAGTATGCCGAAATTACAAGTCATTGACATGAGATTATCGTCGTATCCAAAGATATGAAAGAACATAAGATGGTTTCGTGATATGACGAAGTTAACAAATTAGTTAGTAGTTTTTCTTTTCGAGAACATTCTACCAAGGTATGTACAGAAATAGATTTAACTTCAGCTTTTTGTTTTATTTGTATTAAAAAATATCAGTTATCATTTACCACATCTGCTGGTGTAAATAAGGTAATACGCCGATACACGCACTGTCCGCGTGGGCTCTGGACGATGGAAATCTTTTTGATCGGACAAGAATAATCTTTTTTTATTCTGATACTTCTAGATATATAATATTATATATTTCCACATTTTTTCATTAAATTAATAAACTGCAGTGGGCTAACTGCTAGATACTAGAACGTGTATCTACCCTCTATCTATCTATCACTATGGACCCAGCACCCGTACGATGAATCCATGAAATGTTAAGAACTTTATCTCTGTCTACTTAAAACTTACATGACATCATTCATCATTGCCTTGCCTTTATCCCATTATTTGGGGTCGGCGCAGTATGTCATTCTCTTCCACTGCTCTCTATGGGTCGTCATATCTGAACATACTCTTCTTTTATTCATATCATCTTTCACACAATCCATCCATCTTTTCTTAGGGCGGCCCCTCCCTTTACATCCATCCACATTCACAAATCTTACATGACATGTATATTGTATTTATTTATTGTTGTAAACATAGAATTGCCTACACTAATTCACAATACTTACCCCACACTTGTCTAGGTCTGTCCTACAAAAGAATTTCCAACAAGGATATAGTTTCATTATCATGCTTCATCGTCTAATAATAAAGACTAAAGATAGAAAGTACTTTGAGACTATTTAGTGACCGTAAACACGACAAATTAGATTTCTTTTCCAGTTAATTTGTTTTTAAATGAAAATACTGAAAGTGAAACTTTTAGGATGAAAAATAAAAGACAATTGTAAGCTACTTTCTTTTTTGAAGCCGGTTGGAAAAATACAGACAATGCGAGACCTCGGTACCTAATGAACGCTCTTATTCTTATTACCACACTTAATAAGATTAAGAGCAACACTTATGTGAAGCGAGCAAACAATAATATAACCTTATATTACATAGATTTAAGGGCTATAATATAGATAACAGTAATGTCAACTCAAATGTACTATTTTGACTTATAATGTTTTTGTGTACTATTTCTATTAATTATACAATACCCTAGCTTCGCCAGTGCTTATAACTTCAAGAGTTTTCTGAATAATTACCTACTATGTAACCTATCTACATCATCATCATCATCATCATCGCAGCCCGGAAGACGTCCACTGCTGGACATAGGCCTCCCCCAAAGATCTCCACGACGATCGGTCCTGCGCTGCTCGCATCCAATGCCTTCCAGCGATCTTGACCAGATCGTCGGTCCACCTTGCTGGAGGCCTTCCCACATATTACTATATTATCTATCTACATATTACTTAATAATGTACTTTGAAACAGTGCTTTCTCAAATCGGTACAGTTGTGTAGAAGGTAATTTTCGTCAACTTAACTAAAATTAATTATTAATAAAATTAATATAAACTAAATCCGCTCTCTCTTTTTCTGTTATAATATTAGTTAGTAGGGGTCGTCAGTAATTAGAAGCTTGACATGTCCCATAGAGTTAACTAGCACAGGCGTTTCACAAAAATTACTCTTTTCCAGTTACATAAAATAACATTCCAATATCCTTTCATTGTTTGTTAACAAACTTCAGAAAATTATATATCTGTTATTATTAACAGTGATTGAAACAGTTAATACCATTTTTTATGCAACGAACAAACAAGCTGACCGCCCTCCTGCTGGTGAATGGCAGCAGACAGCTATATTCATGAACAACACCACAGCCTTACGTCGTCATATAACGCCTGAGGTCTTATAACTCAAGAGGCATGGACAAAGACCTAATGACTCCGTATCGTATAATTTTATGTGCGTCCAACCTATACACTGTTTTTCCCCACAGATATATGGCCCGTGCTCTTATTAATTGATTTTCTTTATTTCATTGTGCTAAACTTCTTATTTTATTCCTATAATGTTAAGCGTTTACAATTAAAATTCTTAATCTCATTTCAAATTTAAATTTCGAGTTAATCAATTTTGGGCAAGCAAATATTTCATGGATCGTAATGTTAATCCTTTGATTAGTGTAAAGGTACTGAAATACAGTTTACAAAGAAACTGTTTTGCAGGACACTTGTGACAAAGGTATCTCTGTCAGTAGTGTCAGGCAAAATGGTTTCTTTTACGAGGACTTTGTACAAATTTTACCTCTGGGTAATCAATCAACGAGATCGGCAATCAATAAATCGTAGAAAATTAGTTGCACAGTATGACAGAGCTAATCGGTAAATTGCAATTATCGAATGTCTATATCAGTGTTTCTCAACGTGGGGCCCACGCCCCACAGGGGGGCAATTCGATTGTTAAGAGGGGCAATTCCTAAATAGACTCTATTAAAATTATATGGAATGTAAACATTCCAATTTTTCATTATATCTTTTGAAAATTTACTTACTATTTCATTAACAATTTAGTTATATCTTCTTAAAACCTATTATTTAAATTTCTTAAGTGAACAATTAAATTCTTAGAAGAAAGAAGAAAGAGTTTAATTGGAGTATACACTATACAATCATAAGAATTGTAGAAAGGTTAAGGTGGACCATGACTCTAAAAAGGTTGGGAAACATTGGTCTATATAGTCATGCAAATATACGTTTACGAACGATCTCCGCGCGCGTGATTGATGATGTCGATATAATTTTTATCGACTCTATAAACATCTGGCGACTGTAGGGGACAGCTCTGCATACGATAGATTTAATTATTTAGCGTTTACAAAGATGCTAAATAAATATATACAGTCGCTAACTAAATATAAGATTTTTTTACACGATTTTCGTAGTTATATGTTAATTAAGTGGTGATAATATATTTTCTAATTAAGTCTGTGCAACATCTTTAAATTAACTAATCTCACAAAAAGGCTTAGTGTTTTTGTTTCCCCGACATAGAATTAGAGGAAAAGCAAGAGAGTGGCGTTGTATGTAAGCGCGTCTATTCACTCAGCTTATCCTTTAAGTGTCCTGGCGAGGAGATAGATACATTTTATAGTGTTACGAACGTCGAATTGATATATATTAACTTAAAAAATTCTCATTTTGTTAATCCATTTTCTTCAATTTTTTTCCAGATTTAGACAACCCACAGCCTGGCACGTCGAAAGCAGATCTCGACGTCAAGAAATGCGATGACGCAACTAAAAAAGACAGCTGCAGTTGAGCTGTCTCTCTCACTCACGTCCTATCGGACGCAGGACTTGCCCAAAGCGAAAGTAATCTCAACAGGTAATTGTAAGCACTGAGTAATGTAGTCCCACCTTAATTTTAGGTGTGCAAATATAGTTCTTATGTCGTTAACAATAAGGTGCCGATTGGTCTTATAACGTAAACATTGTGTTGCTAACCCAAATAATCAGTTCCCATAGAGCAAATACACCATTTTAATCTTATTGTACTTAAGGTAATAAAATCAACATATTGACGTATTATTATCTTTATTAACGTCAGGTTACAGATATACGCGATAAATGTATTGTTGGCCATTTACCTTTTGTTTGTTATATAAATATAATGACTGTTTCAAGTATGTACGTAATGTTACACTGTTTATACATTCATGTATGAAATATAGGGGAAACAACAGTTGATTAACAATATATTCATAATAATATTAAACTTTTAATCAATTTATACCGACTTATAGGAGTTCTAGATTCGACTCATTTTTTTGTTTGTGAATTTACAACGTATTTCTGTTATTCCTTTTTAATTTGAAATCTGAAATTTAATCCACATGTCTTTCAATATTATAACTGAAGTCGGTATTTTTGTAAAAAGTTCTATTACTAATATTTTTTGTTACTTTCATTGAAATTATAAATTTTGCTTGAAAGAAAAGAGACGAAATGCTCGAATACATTAGATTTATTAGACGTTTGATGGTTTTTTATAAGTAATGGGGACGATATAAGAGCTGAGGTATGGTTTTTGAAACGGGGGAAATTGTTGTTCTGATTGATATGTGTTATGATTCTAAATCGTAGTTAATATTAAGATGACCGTTTCTGAAACTAGAAGTTTGTAGAAGCCAATGGTCTATTTATTGTATTATTACCATCGAAACAAAAATTATTTATTTTAAAAATTAAGTTGTCCTTAATATCGTATTTAATACATACTAGGATATGGATCTTAGTTTTGCGTTGGATATTCAGTTTTTTTTTTCAGATAGGTTTAGCTAAACACCGCAGGCTATTTTTGTTATCCTAAATAGAGTATAGAACACAGGCTGAAGAGCGTAGTTTAGCGAGTCCTGTCTATGCATTGTTGACAACATTCCTAAAATAAGTCCATGTTCATTTGTATAAAATTAAAAGTCAATACTGATTGTGGTTGTAAGTATCTAAAAATTTAAATTGTAATATTTGAAACTTAGACTAACAAAAAAGTATAGAAGATTCTCAACGGGATTACAGACTGAAGCCTGATTACTATGAGTGTGCGAGTTTGGAAGTATTGCCATGTTTTAAACAGTTTATCAAATGGGAAAATAAGCGTCCATCAAGAGTTGAATATACTATGATAGCAATAAAACATGGAAATATATTTTGAATTACTTTTGTTTATTAATAATTTGAGGCAATTTTAAAATAAACAACACTGAAGAGTTTGCGTGTGGTTTTGGTGTGATTGTGTACGTAAGCGAGAGTGTATTTGTTTGTCTTGAGTATTGTTTTCCGGGTTCACTATTATTGTATCTATATAGATATATCTTTTTATACTTTATTGTTAGTCACAAGTTTGAAAATCGACATTCATTGTATAAAATATTGTATTACAAATACTATATAAGTTCACTGATATAATTTACATTAGTTATGTTCCTAATAATTAGTAATAAAACACGAAACATACGCTTAGTGAGTTATTATGATGTGTTTTAACATTATTTATTATTTATGGCTAAGTATTTAAAGTTAGTTCAATTGAGTACAATTTGATTTTATTGTAATCGAGTGAGATGTCACTAAGTGCACATTTATGTTTAGTAGATTTGTGTCATTCGATAGAGGCCGTATCATTGCTTTAGTATAAAGATTACTAAATTATGTGTTTGTTTCATGTAGCTATGTATGTAATAATATGTAAGTAATCTGCAGTGATATCCAGTGATTTTAATGTAAGCAACCTGCTTCGTTTAATTTTAATTTCTTATGCTATTTTCTTATTAACGTTCATTATCATCGTAGCAACACTATTGACAACTTAACGACAGTAAGAATACTTTTTAGAAATGAACATATTGACATTAAAATTAGAGTTAACAATCATATGTCAATTAAATTACTACAAACATGACGGGTCTGTGTCTTTAACGTCAAGAAAAGTTCCATAACGACAAAACAATATTTTGGTACATATAAATCTTCATTTTTATTTGAATTTGAGTGATCATCGAGAAGATAATATATATTTATAATTATCAAATATTGGGTCAAGTCCTGTTTTAAAATTTCATATATTTTTAAAAAGGATTGGATTCAATATTTGATAATTGTATTTTTTAACATTAGTAAATAGTGGCGCCGCGGCTCGGTCCTCGTGTATGTTTGTGTACGTTTTCTATAGACGATAAACAACCGACAAGAATAAATAAAGCATTCCATTATTTAATAATACATTATGTAACAATAGCATCTTTAATACTAATAAGAATAATACTACAATACTCGTTTGGGAGGTAATTCTCTAAAATTACTTTAGCCTATATGATGATTCGTATTCAATCTGTATCAAATTAGAATGAAATTTTATTTTAATTCTTGCAGCCGTATTTAAGTAAAACGTTAACACAAGTAATTAAGCAGACTTTTTCGCCACGTCACTATTTTATTTCTTAAATGTATGTACAGACAATGTCTTTATGTATACTTCTCTTGACCGTTGTAAGTGATTTACAGGTTGATTACTAAAAATCACAGTGTTGTGTCTTTTGCTTCTAACAAAATATAAGTGTATAAGATGTATTAGCGTTTTTACTTTGAGACTGGTATTTAACACTTCGATTTGATATTTTAATTGTAGTTATAGTTGGGATTGTACGTAATTTCTCATAATATGTCACATATCTTGTTCAGCTGAATTTAGACATTATTTGCATATCGTTAAGGTTCCTGTTCATTTCGCAGCCGCCGTTTAGTTGGCGTGTAGTAAGTGCGTACAAATTCGATATACAACTTGCCTTAATATCTTCCTAATGTTGATAACATCGAATTTAATTCAACGTTATTGGGGCCTATTCGGTGTATCTTTGTCGTGTCGTGTCAGTGTTTCTCGAATAATAATTACTATTTTATAACTAAGCCGTAGTTGGATCTGTCAATTCTTTATAGTCAATGTAAACGTGCCACCTGGGTGATGTTTGTGTGACGTATAGCTTAGGTCCATCCAAAACCAAACATGATACAAGTATTCTATGCTTCTTATTACTATTATGACGGCCTCGGTGATCCAGCGGTTTCGTACAGCACTTTCCTTTCTATAGTCACGTCGACTCTTTATTGATTTACAACTTTATAACATAAGCTCTTCTTGGCTCAGGACTAGATGGCGCTGCGTGGATTATTCAGCAATATATGTGATAGATATCTATAATATTGTCACTATAGTTCAGTATATATGTACAGTTCTTCTTAATTGAATCTATATACGGAACTAAACATTAAGTGAAAAAACATAATTAAAAAAAAATAAGTTCATAAGCGGATGTTGATTTGATTTAATCCGATATATATGAGGAAAATGTTAATTTATATCACAAACATTACTCAAGTGGTGTAATAATTATAGTGATAAAGTATGTGAAAGGGAACGTACAAAACAGGGGTATGAACTATGTATATCGTACATATAAATATGTAATTTTATGTATGTAGGAATACGAAACAGACCAGATGAATGGCAACGTTATATTATGATATAAATATATTTGTATCGCTATTGTATTGGGTGGTTTTAAATTTTATGAATAAGGAATATAACATGTCGATGGCAGACCATGAATGGAATAAATAGTGTTGGTTAAAAAGGGAATCTAAGAACAAACCAGTCCCCGCGTGTAAGTGTTTTTCCTTGGTGGTGGTGTACCCGCCTGCTCTAAGGGTTTACGCAGGCCGGGCTCCAGTGGAGAATGGTGTAGATGAGCATAAGGTCAGGTCAGTTAGCCCATCGTGGTAAATTCACCAGGAATTTACCACGGTGGTTTCCAGGCGGAACCGCGTGGAGGTCAACCTGACATGGTACATGCTAGCAATCCCCATCCCCCCCGCGTGTAGGCGTTAAATACCGGTAGCCGTTCCACATTTAATATCCAAACCTTTATTAATGTCAACGAGATGATTTTTAGAATAGGATGATTCTGCAGAGGTCACGGTTGAGGAATCCGTTTCGTTATTCGCGGAGAAATTGCGTAACTACATGTGCTCGACACAAAGTATATCGACTCGACTTCTTGTTATTGCTACCTTTCGATTTGGTGGATAATAATAGGAATAGGATATGGGGTAGTAATAGATTGCAAGTTCGTTCAGAAATGGATGGATTTGTATTAACCAAACGGTTAATCGATGTAGTCGATTATATGATGACATATCGATATTTATTCTGAGACTTAGGAAATTAATACATCTACGATAAAACTAATGCACAGCTAATATAGATTAATATAATTAATTTATTCTATTTTTGGTCCGCCATCTATATATGATCTTATCGACTTACTCGTAAAAATTTACAAATACATTTTTATTATTAGACGGTAATGTCGCGATCTTTTAAATTATTAACATAGTTCGTATGGAAAGGACAACAGTTGCATAGCCAAATTTAAAATTGATTGCGTCGCTCTATCGTGTTGTGTCTAACATCCATGTTTTAAGAAGTACAGACGCCTGCGATAATATGTAACCACTTTTGTACCCTGTCTCAATAATACTCTACTAACTCAATAGGTAGCGCTAAGGAAAATCTATAAAAATGTTTCTAATTATCAATATTGTCACAACGATAAGGTACTAAAGTGTTTACATAGCTAACAAGGGATGCGACTGTACAACTTAAAACAATTACAGCGCAGTGTGTTCATTTATATGACGAATTTGTCGCAATACAATTTTCTTCATAATTACAAGTACCCTCATAATGTATACGCTTTCTGGTTTCTTGAGTGTTGTTATTGTCTACTATATAACATGTACTTTACATGTTTAAGACGCACATGTTGGATATAAATACGTACAATCACAGGCAAGAGTGCCTCGTTATTTTGGTTCATATTTATGATGGTAGATTGTACGTAAGTCCTATAGGCTAACTGTAGGTAGACAAAATATGCCCATTGTATTCTAATGACATGACGCGTTATATCAATAGTGATATTTCTATCTTGCTTACACTGGCAACATTTGTCCTTGATTATGTATGTTTTTATTGGTCATCTAGGCGAAGTAGCCCCATAGACTGTATTTTCATTTTCTTTTTTATTTTTCGGTTGCCAGTACGTATAACATTTGTACAAAAAATAAAAATTCTGTGTTAACAGCCAGTACCATATAATGGACAACCATGAAAAAATATGTCCGTGGCGCGCTCTAGTGGCAAACATACGAGCCTTTAAATTTTTATACGTTTATAAAACGTTATATCAATAGTTTATGTACATATTAGTGTATGTGTGTATAAACGTTTTATATGTATAAAAAAGTCCTCTGACCAACCGATTTTATTTTGTGTAATAATTAGAATAGTTGTTCTAAGCGTAGTGCTTAGTAAGTTCAATGTATAGTTCTGAGATAGTGATTTTAATTTATGAATGATAAACTGATGATTAAACACAGCTGTGATCTCAGATCTATTTTCTATGATATTGTCGTATACATGTAGTGAAGCATACTCATTAATTTCATTATAACAATTATATTATAATTATGTTCAACTCTGACATGTTTTATATATATGTTGTAAACATATGTAAAAACAGCGGTAATGATATATCTGTTTGCTCTTGTGTATTCTATATTATATTTATAATAGAATTAAAAAAAGTGCCACTCAAATCTTATTCTGTATGTACAACAGCAACATGAAATTGATTTTGAGGCTTTAGTTTTTAACAATAAATAATATGTTATGTAATTTGTAACAAATATATATTATAAATATGGGAATGTAACCAATGGGTCTGGAAGATGTTAAGAGAGAAATTTTACTGGTAATCTAATTCAATAACTGAACTCATACCTTAAGTAGAATCTTTATTATGTAGCACAGTTTTGGTATATAATTCTAATATCGAACAGAGTAACATTGTTGTCTCAGGATGTAATAATTGTGAAACTGTACCTTCGCCAGTAGCGAACCGTAGAATCGGTCTTTTATTTAGTGTTGCCAATATTCAAATGTTCAAATTCCTAAAAATATAAACTATTAGTTTAAAATTATTAGTAACTGTGTTACATAATCCATGAGCTGATGTTGTTCACATTCATATATTATTATTGTGTTTTAACATTCATTCCTTAATTCTACTGGATGATTTCTTATTACTATTGTATCTATGAAATAAATATGCGAGGCGCATTTCAAAATTATATCAACCCATAATCTGTCTATAAATACTTGTAATAACAATGAATAAAACATATTTATTTAATTTGAATAATTAACACTTAGACAACTTATAATAATTATTATTATGATATAAACGCTAAAATTATTTGTAATTTGTTAAGTAGTATTAATTTATTTATCTTGCATTAAAAGACAAAATTAATATCGTTTTTGAATTGCACAAACTGTAACTTGGGTGGTAAATTTCATAATTACATGGAAATTGGTAATTATTGTTGGCATTCGAATTACATTATTATAGATTCAAATCAATCAGAATCAAGCGTGGCTAATGGTTTTAATATAAGGAATACTGTAATACTTTCAGTCATGACCTATTTAGATTTCAGACACTCGGCTTAAGTTTAAAATGGCAGCTCTTATAATGAACACTGAATGTTTTTTATCAATATTAAGAAAACTGCAAATTATCTTTATTCCTCAATGTAAGGAATTAGTTTATATCTCACATGCAATACAATAGAATTTTTATATATCTATATATTTTTAAGTAATACAAAATAACGTGAAATGACATGGCTAGAGTTCAAAACAATAGTTTTAGCTTTCACGTATAAGTTAGAGGGCGAATAGTGTTTACGAATTTGTATCGTTTTGTATCTAGTTTGTGGTCAAACAAACAGAAATAAATTTTTGGAAACTGATATCTGTTTGATTTCCATCCTTTAGCAAATAATAATTCAGTGTAATTAACACAGCGCGTCATTTAGCTCCAAACTAAGCGGAACTTGTAATATGGCTATTAAACAACTCATAGAAATACTGAAGTACATTGCTATTATGTAACCAAAACAATTGTGACACTCGAAAATCTACTTAACATTGTCAACTAATTCAAATTCATAGAAACGGACTCGGTGACTAAATTACAAAAAACAAGCAAAATTATATTTACAGAAAAAGTAGAGAAAAATATTCTAAATGAAACTGAGTGAAACAATAATTGTGTAAAAGAGGCCGTCCACAAGGTTCCTCCATGCTTTCTCTGCCTACGCCGTGCCCGCCGCGCCGCCGTAGGGTTTTGGCATAATGATGGATAAATTATTTCTTGCTGTCAACACTGGACACGACTACAGATAAGCTTGGCTGTCATGTGCAGTGTTGCTAGCTATTTGTATAATACCAAATTTAAGGTAAAATCTATTGTTAGGGTTCACATTAATATTGTAGATAAATACGATATTTTAAAAAGATATTAAAAACTGTTTGTGTTTAGTACTAATGAAGTACTCAATATAAAGATTATTACAAATATTGAAAACAGCGCCATTTAGTATTTATAATTAATTGATATTTGACATTTGTGTGGATTATGATTTTATTTTATTAAAGTTGAAAGATATACCAAGCTAACTCCAGAAGGGAGTGAAGAGTTAGCAATGGCAACACTGGTTATGTCATTGTCAGTTCCATTTCGAGATTGATGTATCACATACGGATGTAGAGAAAGTAATATACTGATTTTCCGATGTTTTTGATTTTGTATTATAAAATGAACAATTCTGTATAGCGAGAAATGCTATTATTGTCTTTAAGAAAATGTGTACAGTGCCAAAATACGGATCATATAGCTATAAAATGTTTGAAGCCCATAGTGACTGACACCTCAAGTAATGCACTTATAATTTCAGAGTGATTCTATGTGTGTTTTCTTATTTTAACTGAAAGAATGCCGAGAGGAGAGAACAGACAGAGCTTGTTATTATCCCGAGAGGAGAATGACCAAGTCTTCAGCCTCATCGGACCAAAATGCCAGGTTTGTGTAGCGGTCTTTATGCTTCCACTTATGATTCGACGCGCCCAGAGATTACATATCTCCTACTATTTGTGATAATTTTGTGATAAAAAACCAAATTATTTCCACCTTGTGCCCGTTGTTTTGTTCATAATTCATCAGTACAACCCTAGTAATTTAATTAAAATTCTTCTATATTATTGTTAATTCATTCATAAATTAGCCTATTTAAGGAAGTTGCCTAATAGCGCTGTTGTTGCATTAAAAATTAATGTCTGTATGACGAAGTGAGATTGATAAATTAGGTGCTTCATTTCTATATTAGATTGAGTGGAAGTTAAAACTTCCACTTTTTATTTAACTAACATACATTTTATATTAAAACTCATAAATACTTGCATAATAAAGTACCTATGTACAGTCTCAGATATGTACAATCCTTTAATCTAATCTAATCTTGCCAGGCATTGGTGTTTTTTTAGAATTTGCTTGTAATTTATCAATTTTTACTACTATATTTTTAACTTTATCTTTGCTATTTACCTTTAGTGACTCAATACATTTTAATTTATTTGTTATTAATTTATTAATTACATTTATTGTGAACATAATTGTGTTCTAAATTTGAAATTAAGTTCACAAGTAAACTTATTTAAATAAATAAAATATAAGAGTCTAAAGGATCGGAAATAATGTAACATATCATTAAAATTAAAAACTCTGAGTTGATACCATCATCCTTTCTGAGTTCACTTTTTTTTTCTTCTATCAACAATCAGCCCTTCTAGCTTTAATCAGATTTAATGGTCTTATGGGTATTAGGAATCTGATATTAAAATCTGAATTCAGTTAAGCACTTAACACAGCCTTTTATTAAACAAGAAATCTCAGGGCTATTTTCGTGTATAAGAGAATATAGATATGAAATGTTAGTGTGACCATTCAGTATAAAAAATTTCAGCTATATCTAGCATTACAAGATGTGTTACAATTATCCTTATCCCAATTATTTGGGGTCAGCATAATTTGTTTTTCTGTTCCATTCATTTGTTTGCAGTTATATCATTATTTATACAGTGAGATTATAATTTTCACAGTGAGATAGAATATACAAATTCGTATTATGTTTTTCTCTTCCATTAATCCCTATTTGCAGTCATCTCATTATTTACACAGTGAGATAGAAATTTCACAATGAGATAGAATATGCAAATTATTGTACAGATAAACATTGTGAAGTTGAGGTGTATAGTAAGCAACCTCAGTCCTCTGCAATGTCAATGCATGAGGGCTGACTCATTACTATGAATTTTATATTTCCAAGTGCTGTTTATATCTGTATACAATAGTTACCATTTTCCATTAGATATTATCAGATTGTATGCCATTTTGTTAAAAAAATACTTTTAAATTTATATATACTTACAGTTTATAAATAAAAAGAGAAATAATAATTATTCAAATATACTAATATAAGGACTTTTGGATAGTCATATTTTTTTATTCTACTACTCATTCAGAATGCAGTGTCTTCACAAGAAGAACGAACAAGAAACTTGTGTGTTGCTCATACATTTTTAAGAATTTTGTATGAATACAAACATCAAATAGCAAAGTTGACAATAATAAATAAATAGCTACTTGAGTAAGAAAATTAAAGACAGAAATGAAGTTGTGTCACTGTTTCAACATATACTGAGTACGATGGTATATTATGGAAAGTGGCAAGAGCTCCACCAACAAATGAATGAGTGAATAGTTAACGTAGCAGACCAGTCCCTAAATTTATGTACATTCAATTCAATTATTTTGTTATTTTTGCATATGGTCCATTGTGGGTATTTTTGTATTGTGGGTACAAGCCTTCTACAACTTCCTCTATGACTATGTTCATAACCACACTTGTCCTGTTTTTAACACACTAACATATGTTAATATGATACAAGCCTGCTACTGTTGAACAATGTTAGGCACATTTTATATAATATATATTATTTTATAATGAATTAATAAATAAATTATTAAATAAAAATAAAGTAAAAACATTTCTTTTAATTTATTAATCAATTTAACATTTAATTTCATATCCTATCTTTCAAGTTGCATACAATGTGGAAGTCAAATTTGCAATTGGTTCTGTAGTTTAAAGTCCATCATGCACAAAAATGATACTTAATTTTTATATATATATATATATAAAGATAGCTTTTATTTCTGTTAACTTACAATTTTTTGTAATTATACATATATTGCAGTTTTGTATACATTGTTTTTATGTTTTTTATGTTTATATTGTTTTTTCTTACTGTTATGTTGTTGTTGTTTTCTTTATGTTAACAATTTGTCATCATTTGTCTTTGGCCTCCTCCAAGTTCTTGCATATATTGCGGCCCTGTGCTCTTTTAGTCCAACTTTTTCCTGTTACCTATCTAATATCATATATTATAGATATAATCACCCTTTTCTTATCTTTACTTTTTATATCCACCCAAAGTTCTCTAGTCTAGAACAAATTACTTACTGATGACTGCATGTGGTACAATAAATAGTATAAATAATACTTAATACCACATATTACAAACAGGTACAAATTCTAGTACAACCACTCCAAATATATTTCAAGTACAGAAAAACACCCATACAAATAGTCATTCATGTAAACAAATGTTTGTATGTTGTTGTTTTAAATTAAAACACCAGCAACATTGCACAGAGATTACAAAATAGTAAAATAATATTGACAGTTTAATTTATTATTATATTAAACGTATTATACTGATTAATTATATGTATTTTCCTTTTAAATTTAATTATAATTTGTTGACACTAATTATAGAATTTGGTTCATTTGTTTTATTAATATCTTGTGAAAATGTGATCATAAATGTAGGGAAAGGGAAACCGGAAAAGAGTGGGAGTATGTTTGACTGTATACATACGTTCAGGGAGGTATTGAACACTGGTACAGAATCTACTGCAAATAGTGATGTATAAGAGAACATTTGTCTCCAAACAAAATTGCAGTATCTGTTTGTAATATTGAAATAACCGTTTTTACTACATACATATGAATATAAATACGGTACGTACACCAAAATAACATTTTTTACAATTTTGGTCTGTCTGTCTGTCTGTCTGTTTGTTCCGGCTAATCTCTGTATTGGCTGGACCGATTCTGACGGGACTTTTATTGACAGGTAGCTGATATACTAAAGAATAACTTAGGCTACTTTTATTTTGGAAAAATAAAGTTAAATTCGTTATAATATAGTTAAACGGATTTTAACACCGATAAATTTATGATAAGTATAGGTACCTAAACGTCTCTCGTCATTAGATTGTCCGACGAAAAATCGCGCACTTAGTCATTTACTGACCACTTACTTACTTACTTACTGACCGATGCTACCGATCTTTTTATGAATTTATTAATCAACAAATTTTTAACGCTGATGATGCCATCTTCCCGATTATAATTGGGGTATTTCTTTATTTTTATGGCCTCCCGTAACATATATGGATAATAGTAGCGATCGGTGAAGGACTGGAGTGGTTATATGTATATAGGCTATATATATAGTAAGCTAGTGGCGAAACTAAAAACAAAGGGATAGAAAATCAGAATTCATTGCAATTGATAAAAGCGAATGTAAGTATTACAGGAAAAATAAGACAATGTTTCTATCACGGTTTTGATAAATATTCAATGTTTAAAAAATATAATAACGCACTTTTTATAAACCCGTTTTGTTAAAAAAAAAATTAACGATTGCAAAGCAAAATTCATGTTTTCTTTTTAAACCCAATAGTTAATTATTAGTTAGATATCCAACTAGATACAATAATAATAATACAGGATAAAACACACTGCGTCATCTAAACGCAAGTTAAGCAGAGCTTGTGCTATGGGTACTAAACAACTGATAGAAACGTTTAAATAAATTTTATTGTAAACGCATAGATAATATACATCGAAAACACCCAAAGCAATACACTCATGCTCATGAATACAAACATTTGCATTGAATCCGCGACCTTCGTAAGTAAGGCGGTCTGCTAAACCACTGGACCACCGGCGACGTCATATGCAATAGTATTTCAGATTAAATAAGACGAAAATAAAATAATGCCGATTATAATTGTAAATTGTGTTGTGTATTAGTATGTTAATATACATATGTATTAGTCATAACTCAAATTTGTGTCTATCTAGAATGAACACACAAATCGTTGACAACAATGTTGACTCAACCGGTAAATAAGTAACGTAAATAGAATGTCTGCTCGAGCTTCAAAAGGGCGGTTCACCCTACACCGTATAAAGGTTATAACGATCACGGCATATAAAAAGCTGTGCCGAGATGCGCGCTGTACCTAATGCATATTAGAGCGAAAAATATCCTCACAGTTGGGTAAGTTCAGGTCGGAATATAATTATACATTTTTATAAAAAAAAATGCATGGTATTAAAAGCATCGTGGGTGACATACCCACCCCTTAAAGTAAAAAAAATATGCAAACAAGACTTTTATATAGTTTTGGGGAGGCATAGGAATATTAAAAAAATATTAAAGAGCAACACGCAAGTAGAATAGAATAGAAAATCCTTTATTCAAATAAATTTAATATAACCACTTGAATAGTCATCACATTTTTTTTAATCTACCGCTCATTCGGAAAGCTTTCTCATCACAAGAAGAACGAGTAATAATGTTGCGATGTTGCTCTTTTAAATAATGGTTGTAAGTTTACATTTTTAAGTCGAAACATGTGAATACAAACTAACTAGCACTACTTTATTAGGCATAATTAGGCATTACACAATAAAAATCAGTCGTAGTGATTAGCCCAATGACCGGGTCATTGGGCTCGCTAAAATATGGTTGAGCGCAGTGATAGCTAGCTCATACGTCATACTCGTGAACGAGTGCTGCTTAGAGGGACTGGTTTGCTCTAATGTCACTGTGACTAATTTCTTCTTAGTAATTATTTAACCAGTTGGTTGTATATTCAATATTTTTTCTATTTGAGTATTTAATTGAATTAGTGCTAATTGGTAGTTTGTATTTACACACTTAAAGTTAAAAATGTAAAGTAAGATCAGATAATCAGTCGTAGTGATTAGAGCAGGTCAGTCACTTCTAAGCAGCACTCGTTCACGAGTATGACGTATGACCTAGCTATCATTTCGCTCAACCATATTTTAGGGAGCCCAATGACCCGGTCATTGGGCTAATCACTACGACTGATTCTTATTGTGTAATACCTAATTATGCCTAATAAAGTAGTGCTAGTTAGTTTGTATTCACATGTTTCAACTTAAAAATGTAAACTTACAACCATTATTTAAAAGAGCAACATCGCAACATTATTACTCGCTCGCTATCACTGCGCTCAACCATATTTTAGGGAGCCCAATGACCCGGCCCACCACGCCGCCACATGTCTGGACTTTTAGTGAGTATGGCTACTCAATCCACTCGACCACGAGACTACAAAGCTACTAAAAGTATCTTCCTCTTTCTTCTTGTGATGAGAAAGCTTTCCGAATGACCGGTAGATTAAAAAAAAAAACTATACAAAAGTGCTTATATTAAGTTTATTGGAATAAAGGATTTTCTATTCTACTAATAACTAGCTGTATTCAGCGACTTTATCTGCGTAGAATTAAAATAAATATAATTTCTAAAATAATAAGTTTAAAACCACGATATTATGTTGCGTATAACAGCTAGATCCTAATAAAATCTGTACAGTCACGTGACCAATTTTGTATGAAAAGTCGATAATTTATTTTCAGATCTCCACTTCGTTTCTTAGTCCAAGTGGTTTGGTTTTATCGTTCTGCCTGGCTTAATATTATCTTATCTGTGGTATAACCTTACTACTGACCCTGTAACATCGTAAGGTACTCGCGCGTTTCACTTCATTTTAAACATTACTTTACCCACCAATGATTTCTCAGTAAAAGTTAACTTTCTTGGTTACATCACTTGCATATGTTTGGTAATGCGACACGAACAAAATATTCATATGAACGTGTACGAAATAGTCGTACGTATGCGATCCACGACTTGTGCATACGCATGTATGCATCAAAATGAAACTATCATCACAAACTTGTTGTATTATATTAGTATTATGTGAGTTGGTACAGACCGGCATCTGTTTTAAACATCGGCTAAAAATATTTCACACTGTAAATTATTGCAGTGAAACACTTTAGTTCAGTCTATTTCAATAGTAATGATGAATTAAGATACAATTTGTGTGTACAGCGAAGAAGTAAATATATTATAATCTAGCTGTGCCTGCGGTTTCACATGCGTTAAATTTCAATATATAAATTTCTATAAAAAAATATAGCCTACGTGTTATTCTGATGCATAAGCTAAATTACTGTAAAGTTTCATCAATCCGTTCAGTAGTTTTTGCGTAAGAGAATAAAAAACGACCATACTTACAAACTTTCGCGTTTATAATATTATTAAGATAGGTATACAATGTAGGTTGTTAGACACCTACATGGTATAGGAATCTGGATGTCGGATTAAACTTTTTATTGCCCCTTTAACGATCCCCGCGCAATTCAAACGGGAATCAAAATTACGACGACCTGAATCGAGTTTCGAACCCCTAGCGGTGTCCTCAGATTGAAGTTGTATCCGTCAGGCAGGAGTTGGCCTTCAGCCGCTCCATAAGTCCTTCCGCGGGTTTAGAATGCCATCCGCACTCACCGCCTATCGTTCGGTGAAACTGTAAACGCCAACAGCATTAGAATAGCTCGATAAAAAACCTTTTTTTTAGTATAGGATAATAGGATAGTGCACCGCCTGGCGATGGTACAGAATTATAAACCCATCACTTTTTTTTACACTACGATGGTGGCTAACTAGCATACGGCACATCTGATGGTAAATTGTTACTGTAGCCTATGGACGTCTAGACACCAGGGATGTCACGTGAGCATTACGAACCCTTAAGAAACCTTAACTCTTTTTGAAAAATCTCATGCTATAGTCTCGTCAGAAAGCATCGGCAGGTAGTTCATTCCACAATCTAAGTGACTTCATTTGGCTTCAATTTCTACTTTACATATTAGAACATGTATATGACATGACTTTTTAATAAATGATTAAATTGAGTTTCTGTTGAAAAACGTTACAGAGTCTCGCAACAGCAGTAGTTCAACTGTTCACCACCGAGGGGCCAGCGCACTCGGAATGGAAGAAAAAGGACACTGGCGTCCTCTGCCTTATCAAGGACAATGCGAAGCGGTCGTACTTTTTCCGCATGTACTGCCTGTGTCGGAAGACAATGATATGGGAACACGAAGTATACCTCCAGATAGAGTACAAGAGTCCTAGACCTTATTTACACACGTTCGAAGCTGAGGTGAGTGTAGATTATGTGTACATACATTTAATTTGCTCCACCTCAATTTTATTCTAACCCAGAATGTGAGAACTATTTCCACCAGTTTAGATTTTCATATTATATTTTAATATGAAAATCTAAAATCTTTATAAATATGTGTTGATGGTACAAGGCTGCTAACTTTGAGTTTACCTGTGTATTTTATAATAACGAAACATAAAAAGTTTAAATTTAAAAAAGAAAATATTGATTCAGCCGTATCTCAAATACAAATTCAAAAATCATTTATTCAGGTAGAACGTTTTAGCCGCTTATGAACGTAAAATTTTTTATTTATAATTTTTTACCTACCGTCTAGTTTACGACCTCTGGAGTAGTCTTTTGTCCCCCCAACGTTCTTTGCAGTAATACGTCCGATTATTTTCAGGAATATATGACTGCATTCAACTTCGCCAACGAAGATGAAGCGAATATCCTTAAGAAGATACTTATCGAGAAAATCGAACTTCGAAAACAGCGAAGACAAGGTTTGTGACACCACTTTATTATCAACTCTAATGTGTAATGTACAGATGAAAGAAAATATAATTTCCTAATACGGATATTAGACCCGTGATTTCGTCCCCGTCAGGTTGCTTTGAAGGATCGGGATAAATATGGCGTTTTTTTCGCAAGTAGTTGCTACCTGTATGTAGTAGTTAGACGACAACAAGAAACAAACCATTTTCATATACATAATATTAACTGACCCGGCAAACGTAGATTTCCCACATAAAATATTTATGAATAAACCTTGGTCTCGTGATTTGGATTTTATTGGATTTACTTCGATTGGTCGAGATAATAGTGGCGTTCTTTTCGCAGATGCTACTGTATGATTTTAGTTTGAGCAGTAAGGAGTGAAAGTGTAACAAACACTTTCATATATAACCAAATATATATAAATAAAATTTCATAAAAATCGCTCCAGCCGTTTCGTAGGAATTTGATAGCATACGATTTATACTGCTTTATATTGCCGTATTTAATATTATACATTCCAAGTGCACGATCATCCAACTTAAAAAAGTCTAGGTGACGAATCCCATATATCGATCACATAGATAAACACTGATATATCATTAGATATTCATACAACGTCCAAAATGCAGTGTGCCAGGCGCTTGATATAGACGCTATGCCATTTTTGTAATGTGAATGACTACACCGATGTGGACGATATAGTTCTCAAAGTATGTCAGCTGAAGTGGGCCGGGCATAACAGTCGAATTAGCGATGGTAGATGGGGTAGAAAAGTTACAGTGTGGAGGCCATGTACGGTTTGACGGAATGTCGGGCGCCCTTCTGCAAGATGGACCGACGACGAATCACGAAAGTGGCCGGGAGTGAAGGGATGCGGAAGGCGGAAGATCGCACATGGATGGAAAGGCCTATATCCAACAGTGAATAGACACAGACTAAACTGATTATAATAATGAATGACTAAGAACTGGTAATTCTGCTGGCGTTGATATTATAGCGAATTTGTCAGCATTTTCTTCCGACTAAGGGAGGCTAGAATGGTACAGTCTTACGCTAAGGGTATACGCTGGCGAAACACCAGTGAATGATGGCTAGACTATGAATGCAGGTCAGTGCTTTGCATTCCCCTCTCCGTAATGCCTATTGACTGACTCATATTAGTATATTCTTTACCACTACACAAGTGTATCTTTGCCCAAAATAAAAGAGAGAGATAACAATATATTATTATCTCTTTTTCATATTAGCCTTACGGGTTACCTTACATACTTTCACCTGTATATCATCCTTATGGAAATGGAAAAATATAAGAAAAAATAGAAGGAAAGCAGAGAAAAGATAAAGACAGTTATATCAAGTAATTTTAGAAACAGATTCAATGTAATTTAAGGAAAATCATGAGAAGTAACAAGAGTTCCGCCGACATAATTTAAGAGCGCTGCTCTTAAATTATGAATAAATGCGTCATTTATCAGTTGACCTCAGCAATTAGCAGGTGTTTATATAACTCTACCATAAGTCTCATATAATCGTAAGCCAAAGTTTACAAATAGTCGTTCTATTTCATGTAAACAAATGAAAGAAACACAGGCCTATATTGTCATCAGAATGTTTAAGCGATACGTCATCCATTTCAGGGCTCATTCGCAAGTACAATTAAAACCTACCATCAAAAGGGATTAAATTTTTTATTATAAAGGTAAATCCAGAAATAATTTTTGAAAGATAATACATAGTTAATACTCTAGCTAGTTTTAACATCGCGCATACAGCTATTGCGCTCGTCATCATTCTGCGGCTGCGCGCCGTGCAATATTGAGCATCTGTGGCGCATTACGATTGCGCGGGAAAATTAAAGACTAGAAAAAATTACTTCTTCTGCAAACATACTGATTAATTGTTGTGCTCTTCATTATTAATTATTTTATACTATTGTTTATACTATATATGTCTGCAATTTACTTTTATAATAATAAAATACCTATATACGCCACACAACATGCCTGAATATAAATACATGCCCTAAAAACATACCTAACAAACATCTTTAATCCTTTTAAAAGATAATTTATAGAATTTCTATAAATATTTAATTTAACTAGACTAATATGATTTCTTATCATCATCAGCCGTTTCATTGACAGATAATTAGACAAAATATTGAATAATTTCAAAGATTAGTATTTTCGATCGTGTATCGCGTATTTTATTTGTGTATCTTTTCGCGATAATATCAAACACTACTGAAATGAGTGATTCCTGAGGAATTTATGTGTAAATTTATTGAAATAGCCGTGCGTAGCGATTCGCTAGTATACCTATAAACTAGAATATATCGTCACGTTTTGTTCATGTATCTGCACGTTTCTTATGGGTAAGCAAAGAGATACGAGTGTACTAGTATGTTTGAGAACTGCGTTATCCAACTTTTTTCATTCTCACACATACATACCTTTTTTTATACCTTTTTTTCGTAATTTTTTTTATGTATACATATACCGTATACATAAAAAGAACACAGACCAATATAAACAATAATTCTCATGAATACAAATGTTTGCCCTGTGCGAGGAGTCGGGCTCGAAAAAAAAGTAGTGTGTGCTAATCCGCTAGACCACCGAGGCCTTCAAATAATAACTTTTTTATTGGGTTGTTTGGGCTATTGTTAGGTTTTTATCTCTTCGGGTTAGTGTAAACTTTCCTAAGAAGATATTATATTTATGCATGAGTGGGCTACAACCAAATGTGTAGTGGCGTTTCCTCCTCAGTTTGGCAAAATCTGCAGATTTTTATTGTGCATATGCCAAGGTTTGCCATACATAACATAAGCAGATTTATTACACTGATTTATCCCATCCCCCTTGTAACCAAAAGTAAGCAAAGCTCTTACCACCTCCACAGCATGGGGATGCTCTTACGTAAACATTTGTCAATTAATGTATTGATTTTTAGCAAAGACAATGTGAGGGTTGCCTTTCGTGTAAAAAAGTAAATAACTACCTATGACGTAATCATCATTTAGACTGCCCTACCCGTCATGTCATCCAAAATAAACAAAGTAAAGAAATAGTGTTTACGTAATAGTTGAACGGTCCCTAACGTAACTTAACACATTTACAGAACGTCGTGCGCGGTCGATGCTGGCGACGCGCGCTAACAGCACGTCGTCGCAGAACTACGCGCCGCGTCACAACGGCGTGCACCCCTCCCCCGCGCCGGCCGCGTCCCCCGCGCCGTCGCCGACGCCCCCGCTGCCCGCGCTGCCCGCGCTCCCCGCGCCCACCGTCAACCCCGTGCCGCTGCCGCCCAAGTCCGCGGCACTCACGTGTGAGCATTTTTTAACTGTATACAATTACTCACTTAAATCCTTTGATAGATTATACGTAAATTTTAAATGAACATTTATACTTATTTATATATTTTAAGAAACCGGTTGGTAAGAGAACCGGAAGTTGCCTATTCTGTAACAAGTTATAGATGAACCTATGTAGGAGGCTACTTATTTATTGTCTCCTAATTATACGTCATTTTTTAGTTCTAACCCATGTATACTACAGTATGTATATAGCAATTATAGACTGTAATATATACACACAAACACACAAAAGTCAGAACTACAAGTTTAGTATAGAATTTAATTTATTTCAATACATGTCTGTGCAAATTTGACAAATGAAGTAGAAATTTTGGAATAAATTTTATCAGAAGCCGTAAATTCGCACACATTATTAAATACCTAATATGAATAATATAATAATAGTATTATATTATTCATATTAGGTATTTAATACGTTAGGCTACTGTTTATAGTAAACAGTAGCCTAACGTGTTCAAAATACACGGGGTACTTTTATAAACAACTTGAAATATAATAGTCATATGCCCTCATATGACTATGTTCCACGCAAGACGTGCTTGAAACTGTCGCCGTAGCGTTATTAATTTATTGATGTTTCTTCGATATTGCAAACTCTGAATGTACTGTAAATACTGTAAAGTCGATAATACATTTGACTACCTTATTTTTATTATTAGTAGTGAAGGTAATATAATATTATATCGTTTCAGCTGGATACACGCTGAAATCCACGAATAAGAAGCTGAAAACTAAAAAAATTACGAAAGCCGACATCAGTGCACCGCAAGACTTCAAGCATATATCACACGTCGGGTTCGATTCCAAAACTGGTAGGTATACTTTATAGATGCGAAGCCGGGTATTAACGATTCTTTACCAAGCGGTTAAAATTTCATTTTTCGTTATAATTGGTTAATTAAACACATTTTATGCTCGGTACTTTCAGTAGCTTAGAGCTCAAAAAGGATTGACCATAAACAAAAGACAAAGTAATTTTATATATGAAGTCTCAATTAGAAATTCCAAAAACAAGCCCTTCTCGATTCTTATTACACCTGTCTGAATTATTTTAATGAACACGTAGGAAAAGCATTATAAAAATCCAGAGGATGTAGGTGTTTCAACAAACAGAACAGATATATTGGTATATTAAAAAAAAAACTACACAATAAAAAGAAAATTTTACTCTTTCTTTGTCGCAGTCGGATAACTAACCGTTAATAACCGCTTTTTATACGTACTAACCATTTGGTTAAATAACGGTAGCTAACGGGCATTTTTACAACAATAGATACACTTCATACCTATATCATACATCACCGCATTAGTCGCTTGTAAATAGTCTTAGAAATAACGCGACTTTTTTAAAATTATTTTCTTGATATTTCGGAACACTTAAAAAAAGTATATAATAAATTTTGCAGGTTTCGATGTAGAGATGTTGCCTGAGGACGAGATGCGTTCGTTCCTGAGTATGGCTGGAGTGTCTGAGAGTCAGCTGCAGGACCACGCGACTAGACAGTTCATATACGACTTCATACACACGCACGGCGGAGTGGACGCCGTCAAGGAGGAGATACATGAAACGAAACATCCCAAGAAAGGTTTGATATTTATACTCGTATCTTGATCATTTTGAAGCTAAACATTAGTTGAAACCTTATTACCTACACAATTTTGACTATGATGCCACTGAACTAGTTTTGAATAATATTACTCGTTAAATAAGAATACCAAATATCATTAATTAAATAAGAATGTTAACAGTAGATAAATTTGTGTTAATTTTATAGACTGCACATATCTTCGTAAAAAAATTTGCAGTTTTTCAAATAGTTAATAACATCTGGAATTTCTTTTCTGAACTCTCGTGATACAGGTTAACCTAACTAGGTGTTGGTCCAATGTATAATCAACTTTGCTATGACTGTATGTTTCAAAATAAATAAATAAAATACTTACAATTTATGAATGGCCCCTAAACGGTTAATTGCTGCCTTTACACGATGTGTCTCAGCACCAGCGCGCGCAGTCTTGAGAGATTTCATTTGACTCTTTGGCGCGTGATAGCGCATATTTAATATGTCATTTCAGTTTCTTTAATTTTTTTATTGTAGAGGTATTATTTTTCAAAGACATGTTTAAGATTTTTAAATTATTAACAACTCTATAGTCGCTGCCCCTCTACCCCTTAGATCCGGGGCTGGCACGTTCGTTCCTCGTGATCTATTCGCGTGAAAAACACGTACACTCTTAAAGGCAGCTGCAGTTATTTTTTAATGATAAATAATAATACCTATTCCCGGATGTTAAATTCCAGGCTTCGTACCTGAATTACTTATTTAGACAGTTGTAGTGATGTTGTTGAGGCGGGTTGTGTACATGTCTGTAACGTTTCCAGCGTCGTCCCCGCCGCGGCGCGTGTCTGGCGCGGGCGTGCCGCCGCTGCCGGCGCGGGGCCCGCCGCCCTCGCAGCCTCCACTGCCGCGTGAGTATATCTCGGACTACTCTCATGCTGTCGGCCGCAGCCGGCCTTTACAGCTTCACCGGACGATAGAGAGCGAATGCAGATGGCACTCCAAACAAATGAAGGACTTATGGAGCGGCTGAAGCCCCAATCCCCGGTGACGGATGCGACTTTAGTCTGAGGGCACCGCTAGGAGTTCGAACCTCGGCTTGAGCCGTCGTAATTTGGAACCCCGTTTTAAATTGAACATGGGATCGATTGGAAGGGGGGATCGGGGGCACCGGTGTAGAGCGCCCGGGCGAAGTATATCTATCATTATATTTAATGTATTACGTCTAAGGTCTGGCCACTCAGAGTTTGCGTTTCGGACAGGTCGGGATCGCATGGTCGATGTAACTTTGAACTGACGGACGTACATGGTTTTTAAAAATCAAACCACATCAAACTGCGCCGTTTTAAGGTTATTCGGTCACATCACTACAAAAACCAACAGTTGACGTAACCTTGAAACAGCGCAGTTTGATGTGATTTGGCCTTTAGTAACTATTGTTTTTAGAATTTAAAATAGCCCAAAATTAATACGTTCATAGTAAGTTGGAATATATGTTAAATTTTTAATTTTAGTGTGCTCATGACTTATTAGTAAAACGTCTATTCGACGCGGAGTTTGACTCAACTATACAAGTATACATATAACAAATCTATATTATCTGGAGAGGTAAACTAATGGGAGCGTGCCGAGTGTTGACAGAAATATTGTAAATGACAACTGTAGGCACGTACATAAGAGATACAATAATCTATATGTTAATTTTCTAAAATATTTGTATGTGTAAACTAATTATTTTATTTTGTATATAGCGAGCCGTGCACCTCCGCCTCCGCCCACGCGTGTTGTTCCACCACCGCCGCCGCCGCCCGCTTCTCTTACGCACAGGAACCCACCGCCGCCCAGGCCTATGCAGCGTTAGTATACATCTATTTTTTTATTATTCACTCACTACGCAGAAACTTCTGAACCTTGTTTTTGAAATACAGTGAAAAGTTTATTTTAAACAGCTTACTTTATAAAGATTTTAATGAATTGAAAATATATCACGTTTTTAATATGAGCAGATACTGCAGATGTTTTTTGATAGCCAGGACAAGCTCATCATGTAGTCCGAAATTAAATAAAGCTTTTATTATGAGTGTTAACAACTTATTGAAATAATGAAACACTGTAAATATATAATATGCATATAAAAATTGAGGCCAATAAAAAAAATTATACTCTTTAACAGAAATATTGTATCGTAGGAAGATTGAATTGAACAATCAGAAATTATTAACATATTTTGAAATTAGAATTATAATTTCAAATTTGGAATAGTTCAGCGCCGCCGTCAGCTGGGTGAGCTGAAGTAATTTGTTACTTTAAAAATAGAATCATAATTTCAAATATGGTATTCAACAGCGCCATCTTCAGCGCCGCCGTCGGTGCCGCCGCCGCCGCCGCCGCCGGCGGGCGTGGCGCCCCCTCCCCCGCCGCCGCCGCCGCCCGCGCCGCCCGCCCCGACGGCGCCCCCCGCGCCGCCGCCGCCGCCGATGCCGACCGAATCCGCGGACTCAGCTCCCGACGACGCTCGCGCCGCGCTCATGGAGAGCATACGTAGTGGCAATAAGAATTTGAAGGTAACACTTCTTTTTTTATTAATTAGAGATATTTATGATACCAAAGACGGCCTTGTCTTTGTATAGGTTTGGACTCTGCTTTTCCTATAAGGAATTATAAAGATCCAAGCCCATACACGGAAACATCTTTCTAAATTATTAATAATGAAATGGTGCACCTGCCTACGCTGGAGGGACACCAGTGGAGGATTATAAGACAAGCATGAAGTCGGGTCAGTTGACCCATCGTGGTAAATTCTTCATGAATTTCATCACGGTGGTGTCTGAATTATTTTCTATGGTGATTCTAATTGTTTCGACAAAATTCACAATTGCTCGTAAAGCACTGTCCATTTACAAATGACAACAACAACTTTCTTTCTCTTTCAGCATGTCGAGGTGCCTGTCAAGACGGATGATAGTAGAAGTAATCTACTGAGTGAGATCAGACAAGGAATTGAGCTACGTTCCGTGAGTAATAAATCTATGACTACGTTAATAATAGGAATGAGGACTAATGTCTATTATCGCAATTCATACATCACAAAAGCCAGATATAATCTCATAAGATTGAAACAAGTAACAGTCAAAATTTATTTGACAACTTAAATTTTTAATAACATAAAATTAAACCAGTTCAGAATTTAAAGTATTTCATCAAGAGAAATAAAAATGCCTCTGACACCATTTAGGGGTTGACGTCGTCTTTCCGCTGACTATCTTTTTTAAATTCGAACTATTTTAATGCCGAACGAAAGGGGGCGAGTGAAGATGGCACTCCAAACCTGCGGAAGGAATTATGAAGAGGTTGAAGGCCAAATCCTACATGACGGATACGAGCTTAATCTGAGGGCACTAGGGCAGCTAGGGGCTCAGGCCGACGTAATTTGGAACCTCGTTTGAATAGGACGGGAGATCGATCATTTAGGTATCCCTGACTATCCCAAAGTGACTATAAAACAACACTCAGACTTCTGGGTCCCCGCTGTACATAGGCAACTTTTATACGAGGGTATGTCTGGTTAAAAGTTTGGATATGTCATTCTCTAGTTTACTTTTAGAACGATGTTGCGAATATAGAACGTCGTCTGTGTCTGAGATTCAAATCGACAGGTGGCATGGTCTGAGACATCCATATCATACCAGAAGACGTAGGCAGGTGTGGCTATTTGCGGGGCTGATATCTGCTAGACGCGATAGTCGGGCTAGCAGGTGCAGGTAGTGAAGTGAGCGTGGTGTGGGTGCGGGCGTGTGTGTGGCAGGTGTCGCGGCCGGAGCGGGCGGAGGGCCGGTCGCAGCCGCAGCCGGACGGGCTGGCGGGCGCGCTGGCGCGGGCGCTGGCCGTGCGCTCCGGGGCCATACACTCCGACTCCGACTCCGACTCCGCCACCACCAGCGACGGCGAGTGGGACGACTGAGCGCCGCCGACTCCATACGCCGTATACTCCCCTGCTGAGTTTCCGTTACGACTAAACTTAGATCTACCTTTTAGTACACCGGTGAGTTCCGGATAGTACTCGATTTTATGAGATATTATCGAGAACGGTGCGATCGATTTATGTAGTTATCGTATGGGTTGCCATCTAAAAAAAAAAGGAGTGGACTCGGTTATTTTATGTAGATAATTCTTTATTTCATATAAATAAAAATATATTGCATAATACAAGCAGAAAGGAACGAGACCGTTATAAAAAACAATTATTATACTAATTCAATGTGGATATGAATTGTTTGAAAGATATCGTACAGTGAAACAGGACATCCCCATCATGTAGTAGGATTATTCTTCCTGCTCTTGGTCGCAAGAAAAATCGAAATATAAATCCTTATCATATACACGTGTTCCAAGCAATAGTACTATATTAAATTAGCATGATGATAATTAATACTGTATTTTAGGTAATGGCAACTTCAGTCAGTATAAGTTGGTCGCACTGTATCATCAATCATTTACAATAGGGTGCGCTAAAATTAATCCGCTTTGCCAAAACTTTAAGGACACGATTCTAGTCGTTTAGTAACATTGACATAAAATTTTATCTGAAAATACTTCTGAGAAAATCACCTACCTAAAAACAGCTATATATGTATCCACTCCATTGATACAATACTGTTTTAGTAGAGAACATTTTAGAGAATTGTGCACTTTATCTCCTTCAAAATAAAGTATATTTTTGCTTAAGGAATTGTACCAATGGTGCCCTTATTGTAAATGTCAACTTCCCATGAAATATGGTGAAAGTTCGTGTTTACCTGTTTATCGACTTAATTAGACAAAAACAATTATTTTATGCACTGACAACGTAGAAGTCGACGCGTGTAGGTTAACGTTAAATAGCCCATAATGTGCCTATACATAATGCCTCGATCAATAATACTACTAGATATCCAATAAATGCACGCCTTTTATACTGGTGCATGACATCTTGTCGGCCACAGGAATGACAATTCCAGTTAGATAAAAAAAATGTTTAAAAATAGCAGGGTGCATAGCTGTACTCTTTCTACCAATACACGTCACGCGAAACATCTCTACAACATCTCTCTTACTAGAAACATTTTATATTTGATAAAGTTCTCACAAAGTATAAGACTTGCAAACATACAAGCTGACGGCCCACAATATAAGTTATAACCGTCGTCTCATTCTATTATAAACACATCGACCATAGAATCGTCGAAACGCAATGTTATTTGCAAAATGAGTTCTTATTTTAAAGTAGTTCATTTTGTTTTAACACAAACGAAACTGTGTTTTATCATTTGTTATTTAGGTTTCATTTACATCGAAACCATAAAATATTTTGAATATTTTCTTTTTAATTGTCAGATTATGCTAAGAACCATATAAGTCATTCCTCATTTTGGTTGACGTCTGCCTTAATTTATGTGGCGTTACCTAGTTGATATTATTGATCGATGCTATGCTAATGCTAAATTTGTTCAAATAAAGTAATATAATCGTAGTGTTCGACTTATTAACGAATTATCCTAAACTATAATAATTATGGAATAAAAATCTAGAAAAACATTTTCCAGTGCCTTAAAATCGTAAAAGGCAAAATGTGACCAACCAAATGTTATAGTTACCCAAACAGTGCCAGTTTAATGCATCATTTGTAATTATACAATTGTAAAGGCGCCAAACATCTGTCCAAAGTTGGAACAAATACTTGCAAATTGTTGTTCCATGTTGGTTTGAAGATACGACAAACACTTCAAAGTTTCAAATATGTATAATACATATGTAGCGTGCTTTACTTGCGCATAATCCGGTGCCAAGTGAGTACTGTGTATGCACATTCAAAGCATGACTAGTGGTATATATCACATTATATTGCACAATAATCTAGGTGTTAGAATGACATCATTACGAGACTGATTCTTTATTATTTTGACACAAAAATGGTGAACACAAAACATTCGATAACAATGCACACATATTCCAACTAATAGATTATTAGATATATTTTTGTTTACGTCAATATGTATTCTAACATTTGAAAGCATGTCTCGAGAGAAGGATAAATCAAGTATACTAAGGACTAATTAAGTTGCTAATATGTCAAAATATAATCGACACAAATGTTGAAACGTGGACTGGGTAAAATCATACTGCTCAACAAATAAAGCTCATATTCATGTGTAAATAATATATATATAGTATTTTTGATTATTTAATAGGTCCATTGAGCTAAAAAAGTTATATTAAAAAATATAATTTTAAAATTGGCGGGAAAATTGAGAAATCGTCCTGATCGCAAATCAAAAACAAGAGTGTAGTTCCAAAAGAAAAAAAACAAGGGACAGATAAACTTGTGCCATCTATATTCAAAACTAACAATGTGATATTTCAATTAAAATGAATATGTAGTATTTGGAATGACAAATTTGCTAGGTTCCTTAAGCAGATATGTCGAAAACCGACCGTAGATTTAATCTCTGGCTTAATTTACTGAATGATTAAACTAATGGGTTATGATCACACATGCTACATTTCGAAGATGTACTTCACTGATATTAAAAAAAAAAACAATATAAAAAATTGAATAGCTGTTTACCAATTGGTTATATTTTTTAAAATTAAATATCGACTTTGAATTCTATCCAAAGACAAAATATTTCAATATAAATTATGTTATTAATTAATTAATCTTATGACTAATTTATTATTAGGTTATAATTTGACAAAAAAAATACATTTATCGACATTTTGTAACGTAATCTGACATCGATATAAACTATATAAAAGTACCAAGGAGTGACATCCCAACGCCGTACTTTCTTGTTTCTTAAAATTTATAAACACCCAACTCTAAACTGCTTCGTGCAAACGGGGCGAGTACATTCTAGGAGTTGAAATATACTGGTAACTGATTTGTTATATTTCAGCTGTTTGTTTTGACAAGTTTGTCTGTAATGTAATGCGTTTCTGCATGGTGACGCTTACGGTTTGGGGAAGGGGAGGCTTGGATATTTTGCGCAGTAATGTAAACAGCTACGTGCAGTTCTCTGCTTACTACCGCTGCCTATAGAGCCCGAAAGCTTGCTAGAAAACTTGATGGACTACCTACTACTAACATTTCCAGTATTTAGTTGTTAAGTCGAGTGATTGGTGTGCCAAGTGTGCCAGTGCCTATTGGGATTGGGTGTTAATATGATTAACTAGTCAAATGATTGCTACAATTAGAAAGTGAACGTATAAAGGGAAATATCTTACGCGTCACAGACGGCGCTTTCTGGTATCAAAACTTACTACTTATAAATAACATCAATAAACATAGCCAACATAGCACCATCTAGTGCCGCATTAAAGATAACTGTATGTATAACACTACAAATAGTCATTTGTTTTTGTTTTAGATGTTTAGCATTTCACCTTCTGCTTACCGCAGGTTTGATTCTCCCACAAACTTTGGTGTTCATGGGATATGAATGTTTGTATTGATCGGAGCATTTGCTAACAAAGTTTCTATCAGTTGTTTAGTTAAGCAGAGTTTATATAAACTCTGCTTAATTTAGGACTAGATGACGCTGTGTCAATTATCCTGGGTTATTGTCATTATTCTACATAAAGCAATAAATAAAAATCTAATCAATAAAATATTGGTTGAAAATGACATATTTAATTAGTGACTGAATAGAAAGTATAGGAATGTTTTTAAATACGGGGAATTTTGATGGTTCTTTAGTTAATTGTCACAGTGCGTAATGGCTTCTTTTTATTTATATTTATATTACAATTAGCCTTAAGTTGACTCTAAAAAATTGTACGTTCTAATGCAAAAAAGTTTAAGAAACAGTTGCGATTCAAATACATTCGCGCCAATTCTAACGCGCTTGTTCACTAACCTACTTAATTACATAATTGGGACCTATTTTGAAATATTACTCTGTAAGACTATCTCTAAAAAAAGATAATGTAGTGATCGATTCCAATTAAAAGTGTTCTATATTTAAAATTTGAATATGTTAAAGATATTATAATTCGATCTCTGGTTATTAGTTCAACTGTTATTGTTTCGTAACGTTCAAATTAAAAGTACAAAAATACGTATACAATCAAAACATATTACTTGATGACATAAGAAATAAAATATATATTTTTATAGAATTCATTAATCCAGCGTTTAAAGTTATGCGTATGTACCTACATATATAAAGAGCGCGTTGGAATAGTGTCGACATAGTATTTGTTAAACAAAATGGACCATAATGTATACATTCAACCCTTCTTTTACCTTCTATTGCAAATGTTTATTTGGGACGTTGTATAATAATATATAAGGGATATATAATAAGCAGAGCATGTACGCTCTGCTTATTATTGTTAGCGTCCGACATCAATATATTATTTAATTAAAAATGTGGAAATGTCTATTGCTAATATAAAAAAAAAACTAAAACAGTAAAGTAATGGTCCGTAACATCCCGTAATACAAAGCCCTGCACTAGCGAGGGAGAATTCTTGGCGTACTTTTTTGTCCCTCAATATACAACGTAGAATTGATTGCTATAATAATAAAGTGTTTGGGCGGTAGTTATAAAATAAAATATTGTCCGTCGCGGACAAACGCCTTTATAATAAATCAACCTCGCCAGCACAGGTGCATAGAGCGACCACATCGTGCATGCATAAATTATTTAGAGTCTATGACTCACTTTATTTAAATTTATATAAAATTTTTATTCTATTAAGTTATATGTGATTTTTGACTTTATCATAATACTTACATGTTAATTACTGTATATGTGTATATAATATTATAGTAGTTATAAAAATGAGGTTAATTCATAATCATATCTAAAGTAATAAATATTATAATTTTAAGTTATATTTACATTGTGATTTTGTATAATTATGGTAAAATCGGTTTAAGCATGGGGGTTAATTCATTGACACGACAGTGTTGTGATAATGTGACAAGGTCACATTCATTTATTTCATCTTATGTAGGTTTACAATAATATATATAAAAAGGTATTAAAAAGATTAAAAAATGACATTTGTTTGTAAAAAGATGACATATGTTAGCGACTAAGGGCGACAACATACATTTGGTTAGTCCAGTCGTCGGGTTGCCAGAATTCGACTAAGGTTCATTTCGCACATTTACGAACAGCAAAACCAAATTATTGTTCTTAAATGCGTCAATCATCTTTGTGAATATTCCATTGGAACGTAGTCCCAATCGGGTAACCTTACGACTGACCGACTGTATTCTTGCAACCTAAATTTAACAAAAACAATAAGATGGTCTATAAGTGTACCTAATGTTAGTTTACACTATCCTACATCAATAAAGTTAGTCAAAATTGTATGTATTTGTTAATAAAATACAACATAAAATAATTTCATTAAAATTTATAATAATCACTTGTCTTATCATGAATTAAACTCCATGTGTGTTTTAGAGCAATATTTTACTTCAGTATACGCGTTTCAGTAAAGCACATTTATTAATTACAAACTAATTTAGCACTTAACCCTCAATATTATCCAAGGCACGCCGTTTAATTATTAATCTGGCCGCCGAAAGGCAAAATAAGCAATTACTTACACTTTATTTAAAAGCATTTTAAATAACTCATATCACAAATACATGTAAAGTAATATTTTAGCTCCGATAAATATTTATAGGACATGTAATTATTCTTAGTATTTAAACTTGTATATTGTAAAAAGGCGAAAAGCTATTTTTATAATATAATTTATGTTTTTTATTGTTAATGTCTCAATGTACCATACATGCCAAATGTTGACTAACTAGGTCATGTTATACCACCTGTAACACTACGTTGGCTAAATAAACATAATAAAAAGTACCTTTGTATTTATTTCAAATGTAAGAACCCTTAACACCTATAGGGTGGACAGTCGCCGTTGGAGCCGGGGTGGAATACACATGCGAAACACCCCGCTCCGTCATAGGCTCTTTCAGGTACATCGTGTTTTTAGTATGTAAAAATCCCACACACCACTCCGCCATCCCTCCGGCGCAGTGACTAAATTTGAAAATATTCCACACGTTAAAAAAAGGAACCCTTAAAATAGTAGCTACTCCGCTCGTAGAGACCCAACAATGTTTCTATATCCAATCCATTAATGTTTCCATTGCAACTCAAACTCTTTAAACTTAACATTTCGCGCCATGTCAGTGTGCCGACACTAAAATGTCGAATGTGGCTTATGTGTATTACATAAACGGCACACCAGAGCCATCACGTTATCATGTCGCGAAAGTAGTACCCCCCTGATACAAAGAAACTCCCGCAGATTTTGTACAACCTCAATTTCAATTTTAGAAACAAATCTTACCAAATTCCAATAGTAGCAACAAACGAAGACGTGTGAAGGTAGACGAATATGTCTGCCCATAAAAGATTTATTTACCCTCTGCCCGCTGCTCTTCAGTTTGACCGGTGATCATGGCGGCGTGGCGGGTAAAACACTGCCGAAATATCGGGATCCCATAAATAAAACGTGGTAAAATCTCGTGATTTACTAATTATACGTTTAATCTTATATATATATATATATTATTAAAAATATAAGTTTGTGAGTATGGATATATGAATGTTTGTTATTCTTTCACGTAAAAACTACTGAAACGGATTTTGATGAAACCTAATAATAAAGCTTAGCTACAGAATTATACATAGACTATAATTTAAGAAGATATTATATAAATTAGGCGAAATATAATTGTTAAAACCTGATAGAAATTATACAATAATGTCAAAGTAAACGTGATGCAGACGAAATTGCGCAAGGCAACTAGTTCAGAATAAAACAAGTAATATCTTAGTTAGTCTTATTTATTTTCTATTTTCAACAACTTACATCTAATACTCATATCAAATGTATGTATTAATAAAAATATTGAATTCCAAAATAAAATATATTCCTAGCAACATTATGTATCACAAGCGAAAATAAATTTTCCTTCACTAAAAACACAAAATTCACAATGTCCTAACACATTAGGTAAATAATAAGATTCTACACGCTACCCATACACTTTGGCAATTCTCAATTAATTCTTGTTCACACAGTACGAGCAGCCCCAACAGGAAATCTCTAATACCATAGAAAAAATATTAATGTGTAATATTTTCTCTATGACAATAGTGACAAACAAAATCAATAATAGTGAATATATTACGACATAAGTGTGTTATGATGGTTATAACTAGAGACCGGATTATATGCATTTGCATATTCGCATATGCATTTGCATATTTTGGCCATTCTCAGAGGTAATAGCATAATTTTATCTAAGATCTAGTTATGATGCATATTATCGGTACATTTACAATATTTTTCACTCACCCTGCGTTCCGTAATGCGACCAAATTTAATATAATAACAGTCACAAAATATAAGGGCTATTGAGTAATAATTGTGACCTTTTACTGCATTTCGGAACGCAGTCAGTAGCCGCGCGCGTTTTTTTTTTGACAGTTACGATAATAAAATGAAAGAGACAGACCTATTACGCATATAAATTGTTACATGTACATACTTATTTATGTTTACAAAAAAATAAATAATTTTAATGTCATATAATGTTACTGTACCTATTATCGCCTATCAAAAAAATTTTTTTTGGGATTACTAAAATTTATCATTTCATTTAGCATATTGTGCCAATTTGCATATTTCAAGCATTTTTCATGCAATAGCATGAAAAATGCATGCATATAACAAGCTTTTTTTGTTGCATATAATCCAGTCTCTAGTTAAAACACATGAGGCGGAATTTCATAATAGAGCAGAGTGTATTAAATACGCACGTATATCATACTAGGTTTTCAACACACTCAATTTAAATTAACTCAAGAATAAAGCTATGATGCACACTGTTGATTTCCCGTTGTTTTAATTTCTTAAATCAGCGCGCTTACTAGCCTGCTCCGCGAGGCAGTTAGTTCGAAACTTGATGAAAAAAATAGCAAATAGTGCTAAAATAACATATGTATAACTTCACACGCACGCGTGTTTTATGAGCTCTTTTATATATCAAAAACTGGTGAAAATAAATCCACTATCCGAGCAACAAGTGTGTTAAAATTTAAGACTTCATTAAAGAAGTATAATTTCCCATTACAATAACTTATAATAATATAAGTACATACATATATCACTGCGTTATATTATTTCTTCAATGTTAATAGGATCGTAGACACTTTTCAGAGTCCTTTTATGTATGCCACATGGACTTGCACTGCACACATGAATGCATGTTACTTTTTAGGAGACCGTACAAGGACTCATTGTTAAAATGCAATATTAGTTCCACGAGTCCCTCAGTCTGCGAAGACTATATGGTCATATAAATATAGCGATTGTAAACGAAACGAACTGTGTGTCGACACTGGTAATAATGGCTGCTCAGAAATTATATTAGTCTCCACAGATAAGACCTGTGCAGAGCCCTAATACTAATTCATGCGATTACCCAATACTAACAAATTGTGACCAGACCATATACTTAAATTACAAATATTACTTTACCTACATTGTATTTGCCAATTCCAAAGGGAATATAGACGTATTTTACGATATTATAAAACTTTTTTAGATAAAGTCCTATCTAGGGATATATTGTACTATCAAACATATGTATATTTATGTTGTATACATAGAACTGTATCCTAATCATAAGGATAATTTAAAAAATTGGTTTGTAATTCAAATATAATCCTATAAATTTGATAATACAATTTTACCCTCTCTACAAACATCAATAAAGTGATATAATATCTAATATACACATCCAGAAACACCCACAATACAATATCTTGTTATTCAAAATTAAACATCAGTACAGAAAAAGTAGAAAATGCATAGTAAAAATCAATACAAATCTATATTTATGTACAATATTCTTGTTTGCTATTACAGCAGCCCGTTACTCATAGTGTCTAGTAAAACACACGGGTGGCCCTAGCTGTTATTATTTTTAAAAAATTCTCGGATAGAGGCCGCTGCCCGTGAATGCGAACGTAGGTTTAATGATTACTCATAGCTGTATACTTATAGTTTAATAATAAATAAACTAAGAAATACTTGACTAATTATGAGAATTTTGTAACTATAAAAAATGCACCAATAGAAACCTACATTATTAGCGACGCATGATATATTCCGGGAAGCGGCTAGGGAGACACCTAGTACTTAAACGAGGATTCAAAAAAACTATTCGATATTTTATTCCTAACACTGTACATAACTACGACCCATCAAACACTCGTTAAAATAAAAAATACATTTACTTTAAAATAAACACGAAAATAATGTTTATTTTAAGCCTTTAGATACATTTACATTTTCCTTATATACCTAAAATATCTTTCATACACTTCATATTCAGACCAAATTTTCACTCATTATGTCGGCTGCACACAGATAGTTTCCCTATATTCGGAGTTATATCTTTTTAAACTCGGAATCAATTGCAAGATATATTATATCCCATAAGGTCTAAAAAACACAAAATTTATGCATGGTTTTATTTGTATATTGAACGATGCCCTTTTGGATGCAAGGCTTAAGTTGCAACACTGCAAAGTACCAAAATTACTGGCCACTTAGTTTTCGCATCAGATTTATGATTAGATACATGTTTTTATTACAGAACCGTTGCTGGCCAAAATTACATAAACATGTAATAGATGTCTTAGATGCGCAATTTTGTACATTGACCATGAGACCAACTAATATGTACATACGACTATATAGGCCTGCTAGTAGAATCAAAGATGCCCCGATACCTAATTCTAATATCGACACAGAAAACAATTAACAAAAATTACAAATACAAAAAACATTAAATTTATTCACCATTCAACTAATTATAAATCAAAGTACATTAGTATTTTAATCATTGAAACATAATTATGGCATAATAACATATGTTACACATATGGCAGCCTATTAGCTGGTGAAATTCCTTGTCTATTAATAAAGCTTAATTATTATATACACAGATTCATGTCGTAATCTTATACAAACATATACTGATACATACAATACTTGGTTTAGTCTTAAAGGGCACACCAAGCCGAAATTCAGTGTCCATATTCATGGAACTGAACCACCTATGTAAAAAAAATCAAAGCGCAAAACCTATACCAATATCCTTTTTTTAAAATCAGTGCGCTGATTTTAAAAAAATAATATTGGCCTCGCCCGCTACTTCACAGCCGAACAACTTTTGTTTGTAAACTGATTTTAATAAAACAAACACAAAATTTTATGTGAACATATAATGTACCACAATACATTAGTAAACGCTGCAGCTAAATTTGTTAGGACTTAAGAAATTGGCGCACACAAACGTACTAATACGTACTCTCACGTACGCCATAATTCTAATCATTAATTCTATTACGTTGTTAAAATACTGCAATACATTTCTCATTCTGAGAAAGTAAGTATGTGTTACAGTGTTTGGTTACATTTTTATTATATGCATAAATTTCTACTTTCTTTCTGGGTGAAAGTGGTTTATTTTCACAAATATACTAGGCTTCATGCTCTATCTAACCTTTAAGACTCACCTGTATATTCATAACTTATTGGTCTATATTACTTTTTATTCACATAATTAAATTCTTACAAGTACGAAGAAATGCATACTAGCGGCTGCTAGGAGGCCTACCACACATAATGCTTTTTATTTTACCCCGGGGTACAATAAGTAAAAGTGCCAGATAATGATCTAACATTATGAATAAAATTTACTTTGGAATAAACTTCTTTGAAGCCGAAATATATATGCTTCCAAAGATTTTCAAACGTAATATTATTAGATGAACGATCTTACGACGAGTGTCACCCAGACCCCGCTTTCTGTTTATCTCGTCCAATCACATTTACCATTACTCTATATACTTACATAATTGTTTTATAATAAAGGACATAAATCGAGAATTTATATTCTTATATTACAGTACACCATAGTTGCAAATCAATATAAAACAATAACTATAAATATAAATTTGTTATCTATCTCTTCCTACTTACTTACCTACTAGCTATTTAAAAATAGTCTTTACACACATACAGAACTATTGAATTAATTGTTTTCTATCAATCATCATCAATTGTAATGACAGGAACACTTACGTCCATATCCACAGAGTCATCGTCTGTTAAATTTACTACTACACAGTCATTATCATCTTCCTTTTTCTGATACAGTGAGAGTACATCCGATATTATAGGCGACTGTACCATATCATGCAATATTCTCTCGTCTTGGCTCTCCTCGTCTTGAGATTCAGTAAAAATTTTCACATCTTTATGTTCTTCTTCATCAATTGGTTCACTCTCAACCTGCTGAGACTTATTCTCTTCTAATTGTTCTTCCTCTTCTTCGTCGTCGTTGTATCCATAATACTTCTCGTCGTCTTTCTCATCTTTAGGAACATAAGAATTAATAAGAGCGACTAGATCTTCATCACAAGTAAACACTTTTGATGGATCAGAATCTTCTTTGTCGCACGCGTGCTGAGTGAATAATTTCATTGAAGTGAAATATTTATTGCAACTTAGACAATGGTTCTGCAAATGTGCTCGGTAATGATTGTGAAGGTTCGGAAAGTCCTCGCCGCAGACGACACACCGCTCAGCCTTCACAACTGCGCGATAATGCATCTTCTTCAATGACTTATGTTCATTTTTCATATGTCTTATAAATAAACCATATTTAACGAACTTCTCGCCACATTTTCTACATTTTATGGGCTTCTTGTTGTACTTGCGACTTCTGTGCGAAAATGCGTGAATATTGAACGCTTCCATCGTCTTGAACTTCAGCAAGCAGAAACGGCATGAGATTGCGCCAGATACTTGGTGTATCTGATTGTGAAGACGTTTGCTGTTCTTCCTTGTTACAGGCTTAAAGCAAAACCGGCACTCTTCATACTTTGGCTGGACAGTGCCATCGACGATTTCCACTCCGTCATCGTCGCTTTCGATAGCACACAAGTGATTATCATAGTCGACTCTTGAGTAGAAATATTCGCCACACTTTTTGCATCTGTTCTCCTCATGGTAAGTAAGATGTTTGTGTAAATTGTAGAATATTTTGTTGCAAATGGGACATTTCTCTTCAATAGACTCCTTGGGCAGTACTATCCATTCCTTGTTGTCGCCGTGCTCGTCTCGCATGTGGTATATCATCTCTCTGAATGCTACAAATGTCTCATCACAGTGTTCACACTTGGTCGGATTGTCTACATTTAGCTGAGCGTAATGGTAATTCTTATGCTTTCGATAGACTGTCAAAGTATTGAATTTTCTTTTACAGTAAATGCAACCATAATACCCAATCGTACGGTGATACAGTTTGTGAGTAGTTAGCGCGTCCTCGTTTTCGAACGCGCGGAAGCAATAATCGCACACTATGTCTTTTCTGCCCAAAGATGCTTCCTTGTTTACTTTGATGTTGTGTTGAGTCCGTAAGTGGCAATCTAACTTGACTTGCAAATGGAAGGCCTTGTAACAAACATGGCACTTCACTTTTTTGGGATAAATTTCACAGTCCCCTATTATTTTTTTCTTTTCGCAACTGAACGATAAATGACCTTCAAGGAATCGATGTGTGCTGAAGTATTCAAAACAGTAGTTACATCTTAAAGAGTTATGATAGTCAATATGTCTCTCAAAATTTCCTTTACTGGCTAATATTTTAAAGCATATAGAACATTGAAATTCTTGCAGCGGCCCATCTAATGTTTGCTCTTGGCGCTCGGCGATCCAAGTTTCCTCGATACCGTGCACGTCCCGTAAATGGTGATGGAGACCATACCCCTTAATAAATGTCTCTTCACAGTGAGGACACTGCAGTGGATTGTCCAAATGTTTTTCACACAAGTGTGCCTTGATGTGAACTCTGTGACTTTTAAGGGAGATAGTTTTCTTACCACAGAATTTGCATTTGAAGAATTCTGGCTTCCGCAAATGGGCTTCCTCATGGTGTTGTAGTCTTCTTTCATCCAAGAATACCTTTGCACATAATTTGCAAGAATAATACATGGGTGGTGGTGCATCAGGGTCTTCCTTGATCATCTTGCTCTCTGGATGAGTACGCCGTAAATGGCGAATCAGTTTCACCAAATCTGGGTAGTAACGTGCACAAATAGGACATTTCACTTTGTCTTTCCTGAGCTTTTCAATTCTCTTCTTGTGCGATTGATGGTCAAAATTGTGACCTTTGAGATGCCTTTTGAAGTATTCCTCATCTATGTAGCCCTTACCACAAATTTGACATTTATATGGACCATTATCATCCTCATAGTGACTTCTGATGTGTAATTCCAATCGCCTTTTATTTGTGAAGACTAATTGGCAAATATAGCATTCGTGTCGAGCCCCAAAAAGAGATGTTTTCGATTTATGCCATATAATGTGATGTTTTAGTGATGTCTCTGAGTCACACACTTTGTTGCAAAGGTGGCATGTATGTGTGCCATCAAAGATAGTCCTGTCAATGTTGTTTGGTGTTACGTCCCCTACAATTGTGTTTTGGACACTCTCACCTCGCTTATAGTGGATGGCCATGTGGGAGAGATACACCTTCCTAAACTGGAATACTCTTTTGCATATAGAACACTGATAGTCCTTGTTCTTGAACCGAGTTTGTTTGTGGTAATTCATGTGAGCTTGTGCCGCCCTTAAATGCTTACTCTTACGGTTGCAAATAGTACAAGTAAGTAGTTTTGGATCCAGGTTGGTGTCACGATAATGTTCGCGCATATGAAGTTTGTAGTGACACTGGAATCGAAATTTCTGAAACAAACATATCAATAATTTAGCAGCATTGTGCCATGAAAATCTCCTCAATTATTAACCTAAAGAACATAAGAACCAAAGTACTTAAAATTTATGAATATAGGATACTAAACCTCAAGATATAAAGGACTCAACTAGGACGCCTTTGGTCGATGAAAGAACGTAAATGCTTTTAAAGTCTGAACAGAATCGGAACCCTAGATTCATATTTTCAATCAAGTAATGACTCAATAATAAAATAGTAGCTTACCTCCTTACAAACGAAGCACTCAATTGATTTCTCTATATTGTTCCCAACATTGGTATGCCAGTTGACATGTCGCTTTAGCGATACCAGTGTGGCCATCACCTTCCCACATATTGTGCATGTGAACCCATTCATATTGACCAGCGGACTGGATGCTTGCTCACCGCCATTGTTAATTGGAACCTCCCCAAAGCCGTTGTGACTCTGGAGCGTATCCAGGGGTTCCGTTTTAGTCACAACGACTTCGCAAAAATCCGCCAGATCTGTCCCACCCTCTAGCCTTGGGAGCTTCTGTGACTGTTTGGGCTGTTGCTTCAGCCTGTGTACTAATTTTATGTGATTCGCCAATGCGCTACAACTCTTAAATTTCTCTCCGCAATCGGGTACACCACATGTGTACATGTTCCTTGGCTTTATATTAACTGATATATGCTTCTGGTTGTGCTCGTTGATTGCGCTCACTTTCATTTCAAGGTCGCATATCAAGCAACGGACCAAGCAGTCCTTCAAGGTAATCTTCGCTCGTTTCGTACCGGAACTCATGTTGTGCTTCGTTCGTTTATGCTGCAGCAGCAAACGTTTGTAAGAAAACTGCTTTTCGCAGATATCGCACGTGTTATCCTCGCCTTCATCATGACTAGACTCTGACTCGGATTCATCAGCGTGTGGCAATTGTCCCCGAGACTCAGACAATAGACTCGTTGACGCTGTCTTGTCAGGTGGCTCTACTTTTATTTCTATCGCTCCAGTTGTATGTTTCATTTCATGTGTTTCTAGAGCTTTTTTATATTTAAATGACTTGTCACATAGTTTGCAATTCAGTGGACCCTTTGGTGCATATGTGTTGCTGTATGATGAATGAACAGATATTGCACCATCTGGTGTACTGGGTCTGAAAAAGAATAAGCAACTATTATAATTTCTAAAAGTTCATAATTCCTGTACTGGCTTATGATTAACAAAATATGACCAACAAAAGGGGAAAGACAAATTATGACATGAAAATTATTAATTACTCACCTAGAGTCATTATCCATAGCGGCGTTTTCTTCTATATTAGACATGTGAGTAGCTAAATGTGTAATAAGCAATTCTTGACTTGCTAATTTCTTACTACACATGCGACATTCAAAAACCTCTGGGTATGATGTCTCTTCCATTGATTGGTTCAATAACGGCTGTCCAAAGTGCATACTTCTTAAATGAATAATATATGCACAGGTTTTTGTTAAAACTTTGTGACATATAGGACATTTGTAACTGTCCATCTCTTTCTTTTGTGGGCATTTGCTAAAATGTTCACCATGTGCGTAATAATCTAGAAACTGTTTGTGGCAATATAAACAGGGAACAGAGGTTATCCCATTCTCCTGTTCAACATCTGAGTCAGCGTGATCCCTTTTGAGTACAGCGGCATGCACTACACGCATGTGTTTGCGTAAGTTGTCAAGGGTTTTGAATTTCGTAGTGCATATCTCACAATCCAGTCTCCGCACTTGCAGCATATCAATCGGTTCCAATGACACTAACAGTTCTTTCTGGGGTGATTTTTCAAATTTATTTAGCTGGTACTGGTGTGGAGAAGTGTCGCATGACTCTAAATGCCGCTTCAGCATAATTTTTAATTTAAATGTTTTTCCACATTTCTCGCAATTTAATTTGTTGTCCGAGTCTGAAGCGTCCTCTAAATGCTTCCTTGGAATATTGACAACGGCATTTGCAGCAAGATATGTAGGTTTTTCGCCGCTATGTATTTTCATGTGCGCCGAGCGACTCTTGATGGATTTGAATGTCTTGTCACATTTATCGCACTTATATTCTGGTTTCATCAGAGGCTCATCGGAGTCAGTTTCGGCCGAGAACTGAGAGGCACTGTAGTCGAAATCGGAATCGGTATTCTCTGACTGGTGCCTGGCCCTTTTCTGAGATTTTCTAAGCTCTTCAACCCGTTTGGTACTGCTGGGTCTGTCGTGCGTTCGACTTGTGACTGAGACATTGTCAATACTGCCATGACTGCGTTTACGGTTACGGTTGGTCGGTGTTTTGCCGTCAGTCGACGAAGACGGTTTGGCTTGACTGGAGTTGTCGGTGTGTCCCGAGAATGCAGAATCACTGCTTTGTCTGTTGGTCGGCGGGGGAGTGTCACTGAATCCTGTTAATAGATGTTATATATTTAAAAAACTATATCATCCACAATTTCTAATAAACATACTCAATTTAATAAATTTATTTGCCATTCACAGAAAACAAATGACCGGCGAAGAACAATTCATTAACACCATCTCCAAGAAAATATGTAAATAACTTCATAATCTTTCAATGTTAAAACAAATTCTTGAGAAGAATTTATTAGGCGAGTGTCAGCTTCTTCTATTTACTTGAATGGCTTCCACCGAATGAGTTCCGTGATTTTGTCGCATCATGGTTAAGAAGACACAGCGGTGTGGTTTACGTTTTTCTTGACTGTGTTCGTAAAAGTTAGGGCTGTTTCATAAGCGTCAGCTTGTTCGACAAAATGTATAAAAAAATAGATGAGTATAAATACCTGGTGGCGGGACATAGTTCCGTCTTAGTTCTTGGTCAGACCGTTCACACTGCTGCTTGAATATGTACGCGCTGCTTAATTTCTGAATGCATTCCGAACAAATCTTATCTGGTAGCCCATCACCTTCAAACACCTAAAATTATTAACAATGTTTAAAAGTTTTAAAGATTCTTTCAAACATAATAGGTACTTCATTTATTTAATTGAAGAAAAATAGATTATCTTCTCTGATTTATTTGTATTTGTCATCCTCCAATGACGCCCCGTGGACATTGTTAGTGAAAGCAGTTGCACCATTCCATTATCAACCAATAAAAGAAACTATTCCTGTTTTGTCATTTTCTATCTAGTCAAGTAATAGCTCAAAATAAAATATAAGGCAATTCTATAGCAGAAATTAAATGGTAACTAGACATTAGTCGCGCTGCCCGGCGCTCCCTCGATTGTCGGTTTTTCGAGTCAAAGGACTGGCAGCATGTGTTTTTATTCAGCCCTCTCGCTCAGATGTAGCCCAGCGTTTTAAGCGGAAGGTAAGGAAGAGTCGCCGGGTAAATAAGTATGAGGGCTGAGTGTAAACGATACATACTCGCGTCGACTCCCGTCGACGCTGACGCGGCATTATTTCCGGTAGCGCGAGTGGCAGGGGAAGCGGCTGAATGTAAACTTAACATAAAACATGATCCTCGTTCCTCCGCACAACATGCCCATACCAGCTCTATCTGTTACCTCACAACTTTTTGTAGAACTGGCGCAACTTTCAAACATGCTCGTATATACACATTCCTTATTCTGTCATTCCTGTTGACCTCAGACATCCATCTCAACATTCGCATTTCTGCCACATGCACACGCCTTTCGCCCGTCCCCTTTACGGCCCAACATTCAGATCCATACAAAATGACAACTGTAATTAATTGTTCATACATAATTAATTGCAAAATGTCTATATATTAAAATCAGAAATAACAGAACTTATAACAAAGCCACTGTATTCATATGAGGATAAGCTAAACTAAAATATGTAAATAAATATATACACACATTTGGCACAAACCATAACAGTAACATAACCACAGGATAAAGAATATCTAATAATGAACCAAACCAAACAAACCAAAATCAAATCTAGTAATAATCCAAAATAAAAAATATCGAAATTGAAGAAGATAATTATCAAATAAATTATGCAAGAAATGTCATAAAGAATCATCATATCACATATGACATCTATAATCTTCTCTTTTAAATATACTCTGACTTCAATTTTTGCCAATAGTTGGTATGACAGACAAATTATTCAATATATTTATACATTCTGTAATTGGTATAGCAAAGGTATAGCCTAGCAATAAGCTTATATAAGCTGACTGTGTAGAATACATGATAATTTTATTATTTAAATTAATAATTAATCATAATTTACATTTAATTTATTATTAATAATAATAAAGCCGTTTATTTAGGCTCTAATTACATTTAATTAAACTAACTTGTAAGTTTCCCCCTTTTAATATTCTTAGAGGGGAAGGGGGAGGATTGTTAGTAATGTGGACATATGATCTTATTGCTAGCAATGTGCCCTGTCAGGTTGACCTACACACTGGTCCCCTGAAAATTGTAATAAATTCTTGGTGAATTGTCAACAATAGGCTAATTGACCTCATGCTCATCTTCATCTAACACTGATGCCCCGAAAGTGTAAACCATTAGCACAGGCAAGTGTACCATTCCAATCATTTCCATAAAAAAAATTATTCCTCTTTGTTAATGATCATGTTTAGCTATAAATGTACAGTATTTGTTGTATAATTTTTAAATCCTGTAATAATTCCATAATTTTCTACTTCTATTCCTAATACTGGCGTAAAGACAACAGATCTGTACTGAGCTCAGCAATGGTAATATACAGTATCATTGGTAAGGCTCTACAGAAATTGTTGCAACAAATTAAGGCTTCACAAAACCAAAACTTCACTACATATAAAATATATTTAATAATTCTTTTCTAAGACATATTATTGTATTAAGAGAAAGCTCCATCCATAAATATGTACTAGGAAAATATACTACTACTATAATAAACAATAAAAAGGAAAAAAAATGAATTTTTATTTGTAGTTTATTGTTTTGCTTGATAAAGTAAGCTAAATATTAATCTAGGAGCTGATCTTCATACATATCACATTTTATTAAGAAAATTTTCAACTACTAAAGAATGATTGTTCAACAAACAATTAAATATTAGCATTGGAGACTACTTCATTTAAAAAACATTAAAATATGTATATATATTATTATTATTATTATATTAAAATATTGTTATATTATTATTTTGATAATTAACTAAATAAATAATAAAAGTTGCAATACAAATGTAATTAAATTAAAATTACATAGGTACATAATGGGCTGATTCTGGAATTGTGTGTTTTCATAAAGCAATTTTAATTACATGAACAATTATCAATAGTATGACCATAAAAGATGTATTTTCTCTTCTAAGGTTGCATGTCATGAAAACTGAAGCTGTATTTATTTTGTTCAGTGCATATTGAACACCATTCAATATTTAATGGTCAACCGAATGACAGACAGAATATCGCTCAAGTCAAAGGATTGTATAATGTGTAAATCAAACAAATTGGTAAAGAAACATTTCTAGCTTAAAAAAATGAGAGATTCTACAGATTTTAGTTTGATATTTGAACTATACTCACTTTTATTTGCGCACATTCCATCACCATCTCGGCCAACTGAACAGCATTATCGACGGTGAATATGGAGTAGAAATCTCCAAGCTTCAGACAGAGTCTGCATTTCCCCAATTTGAGGGCCATATTGATTTGCTCTCAAAAACTTCACATCGTTTTATCATCACATCTGCAAGGGATATTAAAATTCAACGAGAATATTTTCCAAAGATCAGCAAAAAATTGGTGAAGGAATTTTACATATTTTATTCAACACTACATTACAACATGTAGAAAATTATAAAAATTACCTTGACCACCGGCATTATTTCCAGTCAAGTTAAGAGCATCGGGAAAAGAAATTTTAAAAAATATTATAATTGTTGCCAGGGTAAAAAATGGTACGTATTTAAAATAAACATACTACGGTGATTAAAGAATTTGTTAAAATAGTAGTGCTATAATTATCTATTATATTTATATAATAAGTTTGTGAAATCTTTTAATTGAAGGTTTTAACAACTTATTATTATAACATATCATATGAACAAACCTAAAATCCTTCATGTGTGAATCATGTTTTAGCTAAGCATAAGTTGGTTTGACTCGCGTTTCTGTTTAGTATTCCTACTCTGTGTTCTTAACTTTGTAGTTTTCATAACAGTATCAAGATTTCGGCAAATATTGTATTTTGTGACTTTTTATTGTTTTTAGCAAAATTAAATTAATAGTTTTAAAAAATATATTTTAAACTATTATTTACTGAAACAGTATAAATTCCTAAGCACAATTTTCTTTTTAAACAAGTCTTCCAATAATCAAGAAATATATCTTCAGTAAACAATTGTTGTGTAATGTTAATTACAGCTTTAACAATTTATAGGTGTTACTTATTCATGATCTCATGAATGTATTTACAATGTATTTAGTGACAGGTTCTAATTTGTTCGGACAGTGGCCTTCTTTCAGTTCTGTAATTAGTCAATTTCAAAATATAAATATGTGTGGTTTAAAAGAAATCCCATTCGATGTTGCCTCGGCCGAATTACTTGAAGCAAATTGGTCTTACAATATTTTTCAAAGTGATGAAGGGTTTTTCATATCTGGTGCTTGGTATGGGAATGAAAATGAATATAAGAAACTGCTATTACCCGAGGACTGTGAAGGTTCTGGATCTAAGGACCTCAGTATTACAGGCTGTGACTATAACTTAATCATAATAAGTGGACGACACTTAACATTATGGGTAATTGATTTAGAGAATGAGAAAAATGTTAAAAAATTAAAATTTAATGAAACACCTTTAGAAAGTAGTCTGAAAAAGGTCAGAAGAGATTTTGGTGTAAAGAGAGTTATGAAAACAAACAACTTGTTTGTTTGTTTAACTGATGAAGGTCTGTTATATTGTGGTATTCCTCCGATTTTATTAGAGACTAGTGATTGTGTAGGTAAAATATGTGATATACAATGTGGTTATGAACATTTCATGCTTCTTACTGATGCTGGTAGAGTGTACACCTGGGGCAATGGTAGGTTAGTATTGTTATATATGTTCTACTATACATAAAGTTAGTAATAATAATAGTCTCAGCACAATTCTAAATCCAAGTTAGCTAAAGCTTGTGTTATGGGTATAAATACATGTGTATTATTCATAGAAAACTCCAAGACCAGTATAAATAATCATACTCATGAATATAAATGTTTGTGCCATGCGGGGAATCACACCTGCAACCATCGGAAGTAAAGCAGTGTGCTAAACAGCTAGACTACAGAGACTGTCAAATAAATAAAATAATTATTCCAAATAGTCTATTCACATATATTAATTAACTTCAAATAATTGTTGCCTTTATTTATAATTATTATATTTTACAGGAGGTTACAGTTAGGTCACGGAGATTTAGAGAGTTTGGATTTACCAACTGAAGTGGAAGCATTAGCTGGAATAAAAATTATAAAAATCAGTGCTGGTGGATGGCATTCATTAGCTCTCAGTGAACATGGAGATCTCTATGCATGGGGCTGGAATGATACTGGTCAGTTGGGCATAAAGAATGATGAAAAGGAACAAGGCAATATAAAAAGCTATGCATTGCCAACAGTGGTAGATATTTATGATGATGACAATGAACAAATCAATTTAAATGTTACAAATATGGCATGTGGCTCTAGACATACAGCACTAACACTTGAAGATAATACAGTGTGGACCACAGGAAACAACAAATATGGACAACTAGGTTTTCCAATACAAAATTATGATACAGTTTACTATTTTAAAAAATCTTACCAATCCACCTGCAATGTTGAACTAACTTGTGGGCCATGGTGTACAGTATTGAAATTAAAATGTTAATGCTAATGTAAATCTAAATAATAATATTTTATACTGTATATACAAATCTATTATTTTCGTTCTTTCAGATTATAAAAAAAATTGTGTATTAAAGAAGTCAGTAATTGTTAATAAAAAATAGGGTGGTATAGTTATATATAGTTCACTTCACCACCTTTATTCTCCAGGATCTTATTGCCCGCATGGGTGTACATGTATTATTATATATATATATAAACCTTCCTCTAGAATCACTCTTATCTATGAAAAAAAAACCGCTACAAAATTCATTGCGTAATTTTAAAGATTTAAGCATACATAGGGAAAGACAGCGACAGCGAATTTGTTTTGTACTATGTAAAGAAATATCATTCACAAACAATATAGTAATCAATTGTATATATAATGTATACAATTACCGCACTTTCCATACTCAAACACACTACTCACCTTGCGTGCCGCAATTGGTTAAATATCGCTCGTCGTAGTCGTAGCAATACTGAACTGCCGTCGGATGTCGTTCACCTTGCATAATGTATAGACTAGCTGGAAGTTTAAATTTTAAAACGTATCAATAATCTTATTGAATATTTTGATTAATCTATTCCATGTTTTGTTTCATTTTGTTCTGTATGCTTTGTTACATATTTGCGTTTTCCAAGCAAAGCGTTTTGATGGCTGGGAATACATATTTCACAGGCATTTCTCTGACTATTTAGATTTAAGAATAAATTTCCATTAGCTTTGATCACTACGAACCACATAGTTATCCGTTTCCAAATTTTTATCACTGAGCAAGTAATCACTATGCTGTTCGAGGGCAATAGTAGTCTATGTTGGATTAATCTCTAGCTTTTTTTGTCAAGTTCTAAAGTAATATGTCAGTCTAGGTGTCAGGTTATGTCAACAGAAAATTCTTGTTTGTTTATGATTGCGAATGGAGTATTGATTTGTTTTGTAAACTTCTCGAGTTTATTGATTTTAATTCCCTAATACGCAGTTAGTCAAAACACTTTGTTCTCCGGTTAGAGACAGAGCATTTAGCTGTAATACTGTCTATCGCTCATCATTCATAGTGAGATAAAGCAACAGCTATTGAACTTAAAATTGCGGCGAATTCCATTCGTATACAAAATGGATGAAATCGCCAGAGAAAACATTACTGTTGCGAGACAACTGTCGTCAAGTGGCTGTTATAGCAAAGCTTTTGATATGTATGTGTTATCATTCGATAAAAACCCGCAGCAAAAGAATCTTTTTGAAGCCGAGTTTCGATCCGTATTAATCAAGCTGAATGAAGTACTCGCCACTGCGAACAAAATTGAAGAAATATTTTCAAACTTCGGGCGGGCTATCGATGCATTTCCAGAGAACGTGCATCTTTTGAATGATATAGGCAAGTACCTTTATAAATTTGCATTTTATCCAGAAGCCTGGTGTCATTTTCACAGAGCTTTGAAGATTGACGGCACATTTGTAAATCCTGAGAAAAATCTGAACTCTGTTAAAAACCTGTTGATGGAACGATGGCATTTCAGGATGCTTAATGATAAAATCCGAAATGAAGCATACCATGATGCTATCCATGAGATTGCTGTTCCATTCAGTGATCACATGTTGGATATAGGCACTGGAACTGGTTTATTAGCAATGTATGCGTGCCAATGTACCCCAAGGACCATTGTAGGATGCGACGGATCTGGAGTCATGACAAGTTTGGCAGAACTCATAACACAAGAAAATCATAGACCCGAGATAATTGTAATAAATAGTATGTCTACATCTTTGAATTACCATGACGTTGGAGGGCGCAGAACCCTAGTGATGACTGAAATGTTTGATGCAGGTTTATTTGGAGAACATGTCCTACAAACACTGGCACATGCTCATGAATGTCTGATGTCAAATACTGGTAAAGTGATACCTAACAAAGCTGAATTTTTTGTTGCTCCAGTAGATTGTGACTATCTTAACATGAAGTACCAGTTGTGTTCCACAGCTAAGAATATTCTCAACATTCCACAGGACAATGTTCATATTCTAACTTTTGATGAGACATATGATTGTGAAGACATTCACCTTTATCAAGATATGAAGTACATGGCTGAACCTCGCTCCCTTCTTAAAGTAAACTTTAATGATTATAATGATATCTATGAAACATTGACCAGAACTGATCCATATACACTTAAATTCAAAGCCACAGAAGATGGTAAAATCAATGCTCTAATTGGTTGGTTCAACCTTTATCTCACTAAGAACATAACAATCACTACAGACCCAAGATCTGATAAAAGAGCTAATGCATGGCAACAAGCTGTTTTCTTTGATAACATACCAAAATCAGTCAAAGAAGGTGAAATTGTAGATTACAATTTTCTGCTCAATAGAGGTAAACTCACATTGCTACCAAATTGGAAGAGTGATGTTATAAGAATATCCCCAGAAACCCTTAGGTTTCTCAATGATACTGAGTTTGTAAACATGATTAAAGGCTCTATTGCTATGACATCTGTATACTTGGGACAGATTGCTGATATATCTATTACTGATATTGTTGATTTGTGTCCATTCCCACTGTTTGGCTTGTTAATGCTGAAGCGTGGAGCTCAATCATTGATATGTTGTGCCAAAACAGATGTAGACAGAGAATTTTTTGAAAGGGTATTTGAAGCCAATGGTGTGCCATTGTCGAAATTAACAATAATGGTGGGAGATGAGTGGGGGCAAGAAATATTTGGAGATGAGAAGTACCATGCAATATTTTGTAACATATTTGATTTATGGGGTGATGTGGAACTCCATAATATGGAGATTGCTCAGCAGTTGAAACAATCACATCTTCTTCAGGGTGGATTGTTCATGCCTGGCAATGTGACAGTTGTTGCTCAGCTTGTCCACAGTGACTGGCTGGAAATAAATAATGTAATACATGATGAGAATGTAAGCAACTTCACAATTGGAAAGCATGTCAACAAATACCAAGTATCACAGAACTTCTGTATTGATTTCTCTCATTTGGAATACACACCATTGTCAGAACCATTCATGCTGGGTGAATGCAACAGTGACATCAGAAGACATGTGGTTGATGTACCAGTGGTGAACACTGGATGCTTGAATGCTATCCTTTGCTGGTACAACTTAGAGCTAATGGAACATGTGGGAGAAATTTCAACTAATCGAAAAAACAGCTTCATAGATGGCACAGTGTTCTTGATCAATCCAAATGTGCAATTGGAGTGCGGCAATACAGCAAATATAATGCGCAGTGTTGATCCTGATGGCTCATTTAAAATAATGATTGATACTAGAGCTACCTAAATTTTTGATCGTAATGATTTTAGGATTGGCATGTTTGTTACTTTTGTATGAATTTTATACAAATGTTTTAAACTATTTGAAAAAGAAACTAATATTGAATCTGAATAAGTTCCTTGTTATTGTTTGTGTAATTGTATATTTTCTAATAAAATAAATTTCAAATAAAAGAGGTCAAATCACATCAAGATCTCAGTGCTTGCTTAGAGTGCCTGAACTGAAAGATTTCAATGTCGATGTTGAAAGGTCATGCATCTTTCCACATCGACATTGAAATCTTTAATTTCTTTTTTTTAGAATTTTCTAGCTATTAACAACGGTATATTAATACTGACATAGATGAAGTAATACATAGAATAAATAATACAAAAAATCTCCAAATATTGAACGTAGAACTGTACACCACTTATCTAATAATGCAGCTGATATTTGTGTGTGAATTGACCCTAACGTTATATTACTTACTATTATATTTAGTTCCTGTAAGTTATAATGTTTATTTTAGTTTAATTAGTTGATATTATGATGCACATAAAAACTATGAATAAAATCACAGGGTGTTGATGAAGCCTATGTATTGATTGAATTTATTGTATTTAGGTATAGTTACTTAATGTTTTAGAAATGATTCTCAATGTGTAACTAGTAGGTATTGAATGGTATTCATATCGTTAATTCAACTCTGAGAAATATATTGTTTAATCATTATAATAATATGCAAACTACTGTTTTGGAAAGACACCTGAAATCTCGGCTATTTCTAGCGTAAATATCGTAATTAAGTATTACAGTAGACAACTACTCATTACTAAAATATTTGCTGTACTTCATATAAAGGGATTACACCACATCCTATTCGAAATGGCCAAATGTCTACAGTTTCTTTCAGTAATTGTTAAGAAATATTTATTAGTAGAACACCACATTTACTGTAGAATTTATTGAAATATGTATATTACAGGCCAAATATTTGAATAATGAACCTTATGTGTGTGCCATTTAAATCTAAAATGTATTCTAAGGTGCTGTTATATATATGTATATGGCGAAAGCCTCTTTTGAATGGTCAGTTTTTTACGTAGATATATATATATATTAATGTAAATTTTAACGTTTATAATATAATATCTATTCCTTCAGAATATTTATTGCTCAATTTAATTTTGATATAAGTAAAATGATACTGTTGGTTGGCGACAATCTTAATCAATTTAACATCGGTGTCGCAAAAGTAAATCTGAAAAATGTATGAGGTTTCACAGAAACTCTCGCCAAGCAAAATGGATTGCAATAGATGTCGTAATTGCAAATATTTCCCATATCATTGGCCCTAAATTATGCTCAATAGACTTTTAACTAAATTCCCCAGTATATAGTCGTTGAAAAGATTCGATGATATTGTTTTATTAGCAGGGAGGTTTAATGTGATAAAATTTTAAGCCCTAGTTTTAAAGCGTGAGGACGCTATTCTGAAACCCCATTGAATATATGATTAGTCATGAGATTATAAGAGAAAGCTATGGAACAAATTCTGACTATGAATATTAAACAAGTAGAATATGCAGTGTATCAAGATTTCTCCAACTTACAGGTTGGCTCACATCGGTTTAAAGAATAGAATCTATGTTGCGTCCATGTTCAGAACACGAAAGGATATAAACATTTCTGATAGCTCGCCTATAGGTTGAAGTGTATATCGGTTTGCGGTTTGTAGGAAAATATTTTAGCAAATTATCACATGTAACTTATTTGGCATGTGACAAATTAATCAAAATATACTTAAATGTTGTGTCGAGTTATTGTTATGAAATGCATGGCATGAGGCTGTGAATCATTGACAGGACCAACGTTTGTTGTAAATCGTATGACGGGATTGAGACAATCGTTCAGGAGCAGTTACTTTCACATAGTCACTTTGCATTTATTACAATTTCTATTGGATAATATGATAAATAACCAGTTATCTGTGTGTAGATTAATCAATATGCTGATAGTAGCTTGTAGCATTGATTTTTTATTTGTCCATTATTAGGAAATAGCATAAATCAGAATAATTTCAAACAGCTTGGACAAAGATCTACCATAATGATAGGTGTGATCTGTTGTTTGCGCTGCCCGAAATAAAATAAAAGTTTATAGTGAGAATAGTGACGTCCCACTTTGTGGAATAATGTATAATTTTATTGACATCTAAAATAGAACATAACATACAGGTTAAAAATAGTTGCTGTTAGAATGTTGCATTATTAATGATACTTATTCTACTACTATGGTTCATATATATTCAATGTCTAGAATTAGAACTGTTATAACTCTGAATGTGGCTACTAAGCACTAACAGTGTCACTTTAATCAATAGACCTAAGAATATAAATGTTGAATGTAAACCTTTAACGTCTCAATGTCAACAAGTAGTGAATTTGATGTGATATTTTTGAAAATTAATATTGAAATAAACTTTTTGATGTCAAAATTGATGTTTTAATTAAAATACCTGTCTTCTACACACATATTTCTGAAATATGTTAGTTGAAAAAATTATGTATTAAGATACTTTTTCCTATCCAGTCTAGGGATTGGTTGCATAAAACATACCATCAAGATGTCACAGTAGAATTAATAGTAGCAGATTAGTGTAGATTTTTAAAAAGTAGAAAGAACATTGATAAGTCCATTTCTAATGTTACATGTAAAGAATGAGAATTATGGCAGTGACTTTTGGATTATAAAATTAAAAGTCACAAATATGTACCAAAGTTGTATTTATTGACAAGCACGCGCCACGTTTAGAAGCTTCAGCCGCCATGTGGGTGGGTATACAGCCCGGCGGCGTTGAAGATTTCCGCGAGTGGGTGCAAGATGTGGGCTTACAAAACAAGACCGACCGAGTACTAAGGTGTTATCACCGGCCTGATGTACGAATCTTGTTTGTGAATTGTAACAACTTAGTCGAAGAGACCGAAGCCCATGTCGTCATCGCTCTCGGACTCCTCTTTTTCTTCCTTCTTCTCTTCTTTCTTGGCATCACCAGCTGGGGCAGCAGCAGCGGGCGCAGCGGCGGCAGCGGCAGCCGCGAACTTGGTCGGGTCCTGGTGAAAATTTGCTACGGTTACGTCCGGTAATTTCTACTGTGTAGTAATCATTCTAAATATCAGGAGGCCCATGTTCCAAACAGATATTAAAAATATAAACACCAATTACACTAAAAAGTATTTGAAAAATATCTATTAACTTAATAAAAAAAACTTATTGTATGACAGACTGTGATCATTAATTGTTAAAACATATCACCTTTCAAATAAGATTAATTCCAGACTATGGTTTTTATGTTGGATTGGGTGTTTATATGTAAATTATGTATATATTTAAAAAAAGTATTGTAACAGATGCTTAGTAAAAGCTTTTTTTAATTTAAGAAGAAATAATGCTCTGTGAGTTATTCTGTCTTATGTTTAATATTATATACACCAGTATAGACAGGTTATTATCATGCCTATTTACAATGAAAGGTTGAAGTAATATAATTTAATATACATAAGACCTACCTTGATGTACTCCTTGATAGTGGTGGCTTCCTTGAAGTCAACTTCAGTGACAGCCGCGATCGCGAGCAGGTTCTTGAACCCGTTGGCAATGGAGTGTGGCGCGGAAGCGATGGTCGGGTAGCCGATAGAGAGCGACAGAGCGGCAACGTTAGCCACACCATCCAAGAACTTGGCGCGCAGATCCTCTGGCTTGATGTCCAAGATTGCCGGAGCGAAGATGGTGCCAGAATCGTACACCTGTTACAGAAGTATCATATCTTCAAATGTCTGTTTTTTCTATGTACCCCACAATAATCTTTAACACCTTGAAATAATATTTTTTTGTATTAGTCTACATTATTACATAAATTACTAGCAGACCCGGACACGAGTTGCTGTTCAAGCTAAGGTTCTTGAATAAAATAATATTGTGATCAATTGAGATGTAAGCTATCCTATTTTTCAAGTTGCATCACATTGCACACAATGTGTAAATCAAATTTGCAATCAGTTCAGGAGTTTAGAAGTCCATCATGGACAAATAAAGTGACATGTCATTTTTATATATAAAGATGTTGCATGTAATTACACAATAACACAAAATATTCATTACTGTATACAAACAACAGTGCCAATTATTTACCAAAGATGAATTATCAGAATGCAAAGAGTATGCAATCTGTACTCAACACTTTGGGGGATTACTCATACAATAGAAAGTACATTACATTTTAATCTACGCTGTGGTCTGGGTACGAACACATTCAACTTTTTCAGAAGTGAAGTGAAATCAACATTTCAATCCAAGCAAAGACATTATAATTTTACAGATCATTCTAAAAAGTATTACATAGTAAATTTTTTTTTTATTAGCATCTCATATAATTACTGTTTTTAACTTTATATTTTTAATTTAATTTTGTTCATTTATATATGGTTGTATGTACCCACACAGGAAAAAGCTTCCTCCAATGTGTGACCCTGCCATTTCCATTTTTGTCTTAAGGCATGTTGAACTGCCCGTTTTATTTTAGTCTTTTCCTGATTAATAGTTTTTTTTATGCCTCAATATACAATGAAGAGGTTTTATTTTAGTCTTTTCCTGATTAATAGTTTTTTTTAAGCCTCAATATACAATGAAGAGAAGATATTATTATTACCAAAGTGTAATCTTAACAATGATATTGGTAAAATTACCTCAATAGTAGACATTAAAACTTAAGACAAAGATGTGATACACAGAAATACAAACATTTAACATATTAGTAATAAAATTAAATACTACAGTGAAATGTTTATAGATTTATGAATGGAAAATGAAGCATTCTTATATATACCTGCTTGACAACAAGACCATATGAGAAGGGCGAGATGTTCAACATATTGAGCAGGGTGGCTTCAGAGGCGCCCACCTTGTCGCCGGGCTTCAGAATGTGGACATCGTTGATGATTTCAATAGTACCTGGTGTGAAGTTAATTTTATAATTAGATGATTTTTATACATGTGATATAATAAATAGATAGATAAATACCTTATATACTAACATATATATTTAATAATAATATAATCATAATTACATAGTATAAAACAAAGTCGCTGTCTGTCCAACCCTATGTATACTTATACTTAAATCTTTAAAACTACGCAACGGATTTTGAAGCGGTTTTTTTTAATAGTGTAATTCAAGAGGAAGGTGTGATAATACAAGTACACCCGTGCGAAGCCAGGGCAAGTAGCTAGTTAAATATAAATCGTCTTTGTGGTCACGGCACTGACGGCGGCAATGTGCTAATATGCTACCGTGCTGCGATCTATATGGTTAAATGTCTAATATTACATTATTTTCCTGAATTTTAGAAAAAAAAAAAGACATGATATACATAGAAATTATTAATACATTCAAGATTCTCTTAACTATATCCAAACACTGGATAATTTAAGAAAAATGTATCTTCAAAATGCCAATGCAAGATTCACATTGGAATGGTCACATTAGGATAAATTTGAAGACTTTGTTTTTGTCTGAAAGCGAAGCTAGAAGAGTAATTGTACATCCCCTAGTATTAGAACAGACATAGCTTAATACTTTTATCATAGGAATAATTGCAATGCTCACTAGATTAAAACCTCTTTTTGACATATATGTGTGTGGACATCTGTGAGATATTAAACAACCAAAAAGCTATTTTGTTTAGTTTCTTCTATCTGCTATAAGTCTTTAGTCAATAGTAAAATTTCCCTTCTGATCAATCCCCTATCTAATTCAAAAGGAGATTGAAATTACGACAACCTGAGACGAAGTTTGACCTTCTAGTACCTGGTGCATTCAGCCCCTACATAAGTCCTCTATCATTTGATAAAGCTGTAAAGGCCAGCTATGGCCAGCAGCATTCAAATTAGTTCCGAAAAAAAAGGTTTTTTTTGCTTAACTACTGAATAAACTTGTTCATAATTTACCCTTAGAAATCTTGGTGGGGATGGAGAGAGCCTGGAAGAAAGAGGTCTTCTCAGGACCAAGACCAGTGTTGTGCGCGGGAATGACGACAGATAGAGGCGCAATGGCACCAGGACGAGCCGGAGCACGCACCTTGTTCTCCAACAGCTTATCACGCACCTAAAATGATATGTAATATGTTATATGACATGTAATATATATTGGTGCCTCACTCTATCCTTCTATACATTGAACACCACATATGCTTTCACATCTTTTATATATTGTAATATATATATGTATGTTATTATTAATGAAAACTTATATCCAGAAATAGCACAGGCTAATTTTTATCTCAAAAAACCAGATGAAATAGGAGTTTTAGGATATTGGGTAGTGTTATAAAGGTAACCCATATTTTTATATTAAAAAAAAAAAAAAAATTAAGTATTATGGAGGATTATTACATTGGTAAATACTAGTGTAATACCTATAAATTAATTATATTACCTGATTATTTACTAAATAACTCAAGAATTATCTTCTACATTCTACAGTAAGCATTCTTATTCCACTATCAGTTGGTTATACTGGTACATTTGTTAATGACTTCAATTACATTAAACACTTACATCAACAAGGTCTCCACGGGTGAACACAAAGCCGACATTGCTCTTAATGTGCGGCAGCAGCTTCTCAAGAGCTGGGTTGGTCTCCAGATGGTTCTTGATGGCTTTACGCATCATGGTGTTTTTGCCCATCATCACAATACTGTGGCCACGGAGCGAGATGCGGATCTGCTGCATCTGCTTTGAGCCCACATTGTCTGCACCCACGATGAAACATTTTGGGTACTCGTCTAAAAGTTGCTGAAAAGGTTACAATATTATTATTTTTTTTTTATATATTTATTATATATATATATATATACTATATTAATATCTTTGCAACAGCACTATGAGAAACAACAGAAGGCATAATAAGCATACATGAGATTTCATTCTCTATTGAGAAACAGCAGACTTTCTCACTGGAGGTACAGTTCTCTCCCATATCAACAGACTACCACAAATGTATTAAAAGCTTGATGAGCTTGCAAGATATATATATATATATTTTTCTTTTTCAAGAAACAAGTTTATACCTAGTTAAAAATAAGGTTTTGTAAAGTTTCTTTTACAAACGAGACACCAACCGTAATCCATTTTTATAACCCGATTGCTAGCAATTGACAATGTTAGCTTTACCTCCACACAATCCTGCTTGGAAACCATTGTGATAAATGAATGGATGGGCTCACTGACCTGACTTCATGCTCATCTTATCATCGTCTAGGGTGCCTCGCCAGCGAGCGTGTAGATTATTTCATTATAATCAATTAAAAAACCCTAGTAATTAATGTCGTAAGATGACATTAAGGTTTTATTTAACCGTATTTGAAAGTATGAAAATGTATCTTCAAAGTGCCAGTGCTATATCCACGTATAGGAAAATAACACTAGGATAATTTTGAAGAAATTATCTCGTCTGAAAGCGAAGCCACGGGGTTAACATTACACCCTGTGGTATTAGAACAGACGTGATCCTTAATAATAAATAAATTTACTATGTTACAATATCAGTCATTTCACATAAAATATTCAATAAGTTCAGTGCATGCCTCATTAACACGTTGAAAATCATCAAACATTTTTTTAGGTTATATCAACAACAAATGAGTACGTATGTTGTGTACTTACAATGAGTTTGGTGAAGTAATTGGACTTCCAAGTAGCCTTGTCCTCCCTGACCATCTTAATGTGTGAAAGGGACTTCTAAGAAATTTAAGGACTGAAAACAAAATGTTTAATAAATTATATTATTACATTCTAAATTAAATAAGCATCAAAATAAATACGGCATATTAATGTATAGATATAAGACTACTAATATTGCACTACAATATATTATTTTCAAACATGATGTTTTAAAAAACTTATGATTATTTTACTCACCAAGACTCAACGCACATAATACGTGTGCGAAACAAATTTCAAAATGGACAATTGTCACTATATTTTTTTTCTATTACAATTATTTTATGACTTTGGGTTCTTTCTTAAATGATACCACCATGTTGACAATTTATTTCGAGAGGATAAAATGAGCTATTGTAATATAATGCAAATAATAGTAATCTCAAAGTTTAAGTCGTGAAAATCGTGAGACATCATATAGTTCTGTAAATAAAGTTCATAAAGTCTAGAGATTCAATAAATATAACGATACACCGCAAATGATAATATTTATTGAACGTGGAGGCTTCGCAGAATAGATGAATATTTGTATGGGAATAATATAATATATTATACACGAATACATGTATGGGAATACAAAAAATTGTCTGCACAACATCTCTATATAGTTTATGCTGCAGACGAGTGCACTACGAGTGAATGTTGTCCTTAATTTCATTGACAGTAAAGTTGTGACATGTGTCAAGCAGCCAGCACAGAGTACATTGATCTTTTATATTTGTCTGTGATATATAAATTATTTATTTCTCGTGATAGAAATTCTCTTTCCTCTAATAAATCTCATAGATTTTTCTGTGGCATTCTTAATACTTTCTTATTTAACTCCTCTAATAGTCGTACTCTGTCATATTTTATTTAATATCTATTTATAAGTTTAAACTCAGATTATAATTGCCCTGCCTTTTTTTTAAGTCGTTCCATTGCTCAAACTATAAAAAATAATATTTTTATTGGATATAGTGTGGTTTTTGAAGTCGAAATGTCGTTATTTCGTAAACCTAAGAAGATACAGCGTCGTGTGTTCTGCGCTGACGATGATGACGAGGTAGAGGCAGAACCGGAGCCTCCACCACCGCCGATCATCAGTTACGAGAAGAAAGAGAGCAAGCCGAGCAAGAAAACCAAGTCACTTCTAAGTTTTGTTGACGAAGGTGGGACAAGGAAATTATAACATAAAAGAACCATTGAGTCTTTAGAATTAAACATAATGGATTCAATGGGGAGGTCTTATTAGACTGGTGGTGAGGTTACGTGGCGGTTGGGATAATATATTTAAGTTACCTTAAGTCTAGCCTCAAAAATCTTCCTGCTAGAAACCAGATTTGTGTTAAATTTTTAACACAAATCTGTTTAATATTTTTTATTAATTTGTTATAGTTCAGAGTTAAAAGAAATTAAACAAAGTACATGAAAACAAAAATCTTTACAAATCTTCAATTTTCTATTTTTATGATACAGGTACCAAATTATTCTCTTCATAGTGGCATAACAATAGGAAGGCAGTGCAGTAAAGTTCTAAATGCCTTCTGCACACAAATTTTTAATTAAAATTTTGTTGAAAAGTTTTACCAATATTGGAAACTACAACAAGAAGCTTTTTTTATATCAATGAATAGAGCTACTTACATGAATTAACCATGATCTTTATGGATGCCAATATAACATGGTACATTACTAGCTTTGGGGTTAACTTATTTCCACCTTATTTTATAATATCATTCTATTTATGGGCTCAAGTGGCTAGCATTTTAGCACACTGCTTCATGAGTTTGATTGTATTGGTCTTGGTGTTTTTTAAGTATATAATGTGTATATTTACAAAAGAAATGTATTAGCTGTCTAGTACCATAATACATGTTTATCTTGAGACTAGATGGTACTTTGTGATTGGTCCTGGGGTTATTGTTATTATTATTATTACAGAGGAGGATGGTGAAGTGTTTAAAGTGAAAAAGTCATCACAGAGCAAGAGACTCGCCAAGCTCAGGGAGAAGGAGAAGCGTCGGGCTCCAGATGGTGATAATAATAAATATGACAATAATGTTACTGAGGTAATACAACACATGGAGATAGTCTAACAATTATGAGATTAAACAACAATTATGTTTAAAGCAAGTAGGTTAATATGAAAATATGGATATATGACTAAATTGGATTTAAAACATGCATTCCAGCATATGTTTTTAGGCCTGTTTACCTGATAATCAGTTGTTTACTTGAGAGTAAGAGAAAACAACAGTTACTGCCTGTTTGGATGACAGTGATGCCCACAAACACATACACATTTTTGAATTAATTACATTCTTACTAGCTGTAACTTTATTTATAAAAAAATAATATTCTTCAATTTACAAATTAAATAATTAGTTCTGACATATAAGAGTGTATTTTAATATAAACATACTATAAGACTAAAACATTAATCTCACACAGGACAAGTCAAACAATATCGAGAATGAACACAAGCCGAAATCGAAGCAGAAAGTGACCTTGGAAGGGCTGATACTCTCTGGGCGCGAGGCTCTGGCTGCGGACGGGGCGGGGGACGTGTCCGATGATAGTGTAGTGGAGGAAGAGGAGGACAGTAGGGGGTTCCACCAGTACCGAGCGGAGTCGGTGAGGGCTGCGCTGGCGGTGGCGCCCGGACACATACCCGACGCAGCGCTCATCCACGCGGCTCGCAAGACCCGACAGCAGGTATGAGAGGTGAGGGACTAGTGCTGGCCGTCACCCGTCTTGTCGAAGATTATTGTCGTCTATGGTCTCGGCCAATTCATTTTGGAGGAATTGTTGTTGAATCTTTGTTAGCCAGGTTCTTTACCAATTAACAGATCTCGTATGTTAGTACAATATTTCGCTCTAGCATCTACATCAACATATTGGAAGAATAATATTCTAGTGTGCTGTTTATTTATCATTAACTTGGTTTCAGTTATTGTTTTCAAATTGTGTATTGTTGAATATTTGTAGCTAGGTTCTTTGCCAATAAAAAATCTCGTATGTTAGCTCAATTTAACTCTCAAGCTTCAACATCATCATATTGTAAGAATAATATTCTTTTGTGCTTTTTATTATTATTATGGTTTCAATTTGGAAATCTCATTTGATTGAGTGCTAATATAGGGTTTAGCACCACACTTTGCCTTTAAAGAATAATTGAAATTAATATTATTTAAATTATTATAAGGATCCATTTAAAGATTCACTTGCAGGTAATGTTCTTGATAATAATAGTAATAATAATCTCAGGACAATTCACACAGCGCTATCTAGACCCAAGTTAAGCTAGCTAAAGCTTGTGTTATGGGTATAGATAACTGATACAACTACATAGACATATATATTTTTTTTGTAAATACATACATATTATACATAGAAAACACCCAGACCGATACAAACAATCATATTCATGAATACAAATGTTTGTGCCGTGCGAGGAATCGAACCCGCGACCATCGGTCGTAAAGCGGTGTGCCAGACCGCTACACCATCGAGGTCGTCGTCTTGATGTTATTCAGATCTGGAGACACTAGCACACTAACACTGGCTAAACCATTTTGAATATATTCTAGATGTCTATGACACGTCTCTTTAACCACATTCTATTTTTGTATCTAAATTTCATTTAGATATGTAGAAGATGATAGGTAGATCCGATGTTTTTTTACCTCTAAGGTGGTCATTATTGTATGGTAAGTATATAGATAGATAAGAGATTTTATTTGTATCTAACTACACATATATAGGTTCCATTACAAGCAGTATAAATAGAGGCCCTTTTAGTTTTTCTATATGAATTTGTGATATTCTTGTTTAGACATTGATATTTCTTTTCAACATCGTAATATTAGAAAGTTAGTCTTCAAAGTGGAATTTTTTGTATTTGATATTTGTTAGTATACATAGACAGTTATAGTGTTGTTTTGTCCGTCATTTGCTTTGTTACTTTGTAACATGTGAACAGGTGGGTATTATTTTCCTGTAATATATACTGAAGATTAATTGAAGTTCTTAAAGTATGAGTTGGGAACTCTTCTTAATTCATCCTTTATTTTCTGTAATAATCTGTTTTTATTAAGCATGGGTGAATTTAGCAGTAACGTAGATTAATTTTATAAACTTAGTATACATATTGTGTCTTTAATTATTTGACATAATCGAAATGTATCGCCACTATAAAATATTTTATCATAATAAACTAAGTAACCAACTGTAAAATATTGATATTTTGGAAATTTAAGCAGAAATAATCTGTGTGTTTAACATATTTTCTTTCCGTCACACGTCAGTGTGCACTATAAAATAATTCTATGACACCTCAAAAAATATTCTGTTGGTCAAATATCTTTTCTCTCCTATCCTGTGAACTATAAAATAAATCTATGATAACTCACTAAACAATAAATAGTATTATTTACAAATTCAAATTAAAAATTTGTTTTTATTAATGTAGGACATTTTAGCCGCGTATGAACGTAATTTTTTTTACATTATCATGTTATTTTTTTTAGTTCAGTTCAGTATATAGATCCAATTGAGAAGAACTGGCAAGATACAATACACTCTATAAAAAATATTTAAAAATAAACCTACATATAGTTAAGTATTCATAATTAATTTAAAATAGATAACAAAATTATCCTAACTAGTAATTATAGTAATATTAAATAATAAGAAATAGAGATGCTTGAAGACGTCTTTATAGTGGAGCGCAGTGACAAAAGTGTATATAGAATAAATGTATATAATTTAATTTAAAATAGAAATATTTTTACTTCTATTTTAAATATAGATAAAAGAATATATAAAACGGTCAGTGATTCTCATTGTATGTCTAACAATTATTGTACTTAAAGGGATATTATATTGTTAATGCATGCATCTTTATCTCTTCAAATATTTGAACAAAGCATACTGTTTGCAGGCGCGCGAGTTTGGTGATTTCGTGCCGCTGCAAACTGAATCGACGCCGGGTTCGAGGCTTGTCCGTGACGACGGCTCTGGCGACGAGGACGACGATGAAGGCCGTCTGCACGTCAGGGGACTTGAATTGCCCAGCGACAAGCCGAAACGTGAGTAATAGCCAGATAGTGCATGAATTTTCAGCTACCATCTCCCCAACTCGCTAAACGCCATTAACATAGGAATGTTACTTACATGGGACTATTGCTATTGAGTAATAACAATGTATGTCTAGGGTCCTCACTGTACACTGCAAATTGATAAAACACAGGGCAAAATTAGGCCTGAACTTGACAATAATTTGTAGATTTTGCCAGGCAGCAGAGGACCCTATACATACTGTGTAGTTGTAGCCCATTCATGCATAAAGGAAATCTCCTTCGGAAAGTATACTCTCTATCCTGAGGAGATAAAAACCTGAGCCATAGCACCTGAGAATATCATTCAATTATTGTCTCAGTAGGGATCTAAGTAGCGGACTTTGAAAAAGAGTGAGCACTATAGATCTATGTAGGTTGCAGTGCTACAGATCTAAGGCACCAAAACAGCCCAAACCCCTAAAAATATACAACTGTTTAAATCATCACTCATTTGATATATAGTCTCAAAAGTGTGGCCCTTTTAAACAATGATTGTACAATTTTACATTACCTTATTATATAAAATTCTCGTATCACAATGTTAGTTACCATACTCCTCCGAAACGCTCGTCCGATTTTTATGAAATTTTATATGCATATTCAGTAGGTCTGAGAATCGGTTACTATCTATATTTCATAACCCTAAGTTATTAGGGTTGTCCACCCCTAACCCAACCTTTTATTTTTTGGACAATTTTTTTTATAATATGGCATTAAAAAATACATACAACCCTAAATTTTCACCCTTTTATCATCAACACCTATATTTTAAAAGACAAAACAACGTATGTGGAGTCAACTAGTATACATATAATTAATTCATGTAATTTACAGGTGGAACGGCGGCCGCCGCATCAGAAGATGAGTTGGATAGTGAAGGCGAGGTGTGGGTGGAGCAACAGATGCAGAAAGCTATGCCAGCCATTACAGATATCACTGGTAGGTCCTCTCTACAAAGAAAAAATATTTATATAGTACACCTTTAAAAATGTTACCATCTAGTTATTAAAATCACTGAAAGGAATGAGTACAAAGACATTATTACATTAGTCCTATAGAAGAGCAATTCTATTTATTTATTAATTTCAGACTACTAATGTTAGGTATTTATAATCATATTATAAATACCTTACTGATTAATATACATATGAATGATATTAAAATGAATGGACAATATAAATATACATTGCAATGCAATGCAAGCTGTGGTAGCACGCGCATCACATGATTAGTTCCCACTTCAGTTGTCTGTTTATTATACGCGGCAGTGTAAATAGTAGACAATGAAACCTGTGTCATAATAACAAAAAATATGTCGCTATAAAAATATATTAAAGTAATATCAGTTCAGTGAGAAAAAAAATGTATTAAAATGGCTACGTAGTTAGCTTATATGCGGTCGAAGTAGAAGTGAAGGAATACTATGCTGTAGGCCGCAGCTGGCTTTGACAGCTTCGCCGGACGATAGCGGGCGATTGCAGATGGCACTCCAAACCCGCGGAAGGACTTATGGATCGGTTGAAGACCAACTCCCGCCTGACGGATACAACTTTAGTCTGAGGGCACCGCTAGGGGTTCGAACCTCGGCTCAGGCCGTCGTAATAGCGATCCCCGTTTTAATTGGACGGGGGATCGATCGGAGGGGGCTGGACAGGGACAGAAACACGAGCGGTGAAGGTGAATGTTAACGTACGTCGTTAATAGGGCTGATCGAAAAACCCTTGAAACCTATATTCGGTCACTAGTCTGTACGTCGACGACAGGGAAAAACCCCTAGAACCTATACCCGGGTCACGAGTCTCGGAGTGTACCCTCTCTGCCACACGACGGACTTGCCACCCGCACGGTGGATCAATGGTATGCTAAGAAGTTCGTCTCTCTTTACTAGTTCACGTAACAAATAACACTAGCAGGTGACGGCGTGGAATTGAACCCGTTCGCGGTGGCGCCGCCTCCGCCCCCGCCGCGGCTGCACGAGTCGCCGCACCTGCGGCCGCTGGCGGCGCCCGGCCGGCAGCCGGCCTCCGCACAGGACCTCGTGCACGCCTTGCATCACCGGTGAGTACTTTTAATACTATAGTACTAAACTTGGGATATACCACACAGCGACATCTGAGTTGACAGCGTCAATAGCCCACTAGTCCCAAACTAACTGCAAAAATAGTAAGCCTGAGCCCCTTAGCTTAGTTTCTAACTAAGCAGGACTTATGGTATATATGACACAACTGATTGTTACAACTTAAAAATAATAAGAAATAATAACAACATGAATATTAGCAAGTTATTTTTTTAAGAATGTCACTATTTATGAATTCCGGATGTTCCTAAATTAGTAAGTAAACCTAATTACAATACCTCAATCAGTAACAAAGTTATTGATTCCAGTTACCTAAAAAGAACTATTTCTACTAATATAGAAGTCAACTTGTTTGCTAGATAAAAAAAAACACTCAAAATTTTACGCCGAAATTTATATCAGATATTAACATAGTATAAAGATGGCATTGCAGATTATATTCCAATATAAACATGGCATTATGCATACACTAACCAAACCCTTGATTATGTCACAGACGGATATGAATTTCATAGTAAAGAATTAAACCATGGTCTCACCTTTTAATGCACCATGCCATGTTTCTTCTCACGTAAAGCATTTTAAATTTATCGGTGTCTTATGCTACATAAACTAACTATTAAAAAAAAAGTTATTTGTTGTCGAATTAGTAATTAGTAGAAAATTTGAAAACAGCTTTACTTAAATATGAAGTAAACAATATAAAACTGTCAATATATTTATTACAAACATTCATCAAAAAAGTACTTCAGTGCATTATCTATAGTAAACATGTAAATCACATAAAGTTAGAAATATAACTTAATTCTTCTGTCAGTGAAATAAACTTGCTTAAAAACTAAACAAATATATTTTAATATGTTATTAATGTTACAGAATGTAAAACGACAATGATTGTTTCAATAACAAAATGTATATAAACTAAAATATCTGTTATATTTCCCCATCGAGTACCAACTTATACGAACCGTCTGGGTCCACACATCGTATGATGTTTGGTTCATCACCTTTGAAAAAAGACAATGGAGGATTCACTAGAAATGCACTATTCTCCACAAAACTATCTGCTCTGTATGTAGATATAGCATCAGATCCCTCCAACAGCTGCACTTCGTACCACGATATAATTGCGTTGCATTTCCCGTCCTTTATCACAGGCACTTTCACGACCTCTGATCGCATATAATAGCAATCCTTCGATATCAACACTCTGTCCGACTTAGCTCGGAAGTCTAATTGCGTAAGGTTCAAATTATTAGCTTGCGACACTTGGTACCTGTTCACGTGTGCTGCTATTTTGTAGCCAACATTCTCATCATATACTCTGTTATGAATATCTAAACGTTTATTGTATATGAGCTGTCCTATAACGGATATTTTAAATGGTAGAAATAGCCCTCCCTCGACAAGATGGGCGTGTTGCAGGTGAATTGCAAATCTCCTTCTTACAATATCAACATCGCCATTCAAATCGAGAATATTAGCAAAGATAGCGTGGTACTTATTGTTTTTAAATATTTCGTGCGACCATTGATCAGCGAGTAGAAATTGTACTTTATGCACTGCCAAATTATTCATTTTGAGTACAGTTTCAATAAATGTTTGGTCATCGCAATTCTTCGGGTTGCAAATAAGATGTTTAGCACCACGCTTCAACATTTCTAGTCCGAATATTGGAAACGGCGACAGGTCTACTATCTCAGTCTCGCTGATATCTACAATTTGACCTAAATAAATACAAATTGTGGACATACTGTTTGTAATCTCGGCGATGTAGGTCCTGTCGTTCAAGAACATTAGCATGTTGCGTGTGATTCTAAACAAACTTTTTGTCAAATCTCGTAACAGAGACAACCTTCCACCATATGATGTCAATGTTTCTTTTACAGTCTCGCCCTTTGCCACGGTTTTGGGCAAAAAATCCAAGAACACGGCCTGATGCCATGCGTCTATTCTCTCCTCTGACCTGGGGTCAGTCGTGATCATCACGTTATCAGTCAAATACAAGTTGAACCAACCAATTAAATTTGTTACTTCTGAATCTTCTGTTACTTTAATGTCTATCTTGTAATCATCCACGTGTTTTGGATATAGTTTATCGTCGACATCGTAGCTGTCATTGAAGTTAATGTCCAGCAGTGATACCGGTTCCGTCACATATTTCAGATCCTTATACATATTCACATCTTCCTCGTGGTAAGTGTTACCGTAGTATATAGACGTGTGCACATTTATAGTTCCGATGTTCAAATATTTCTTAATATCTTTATGAAGTTGGTACTTACGATAGAGTTGGTCGCAGTTCACGCCGACGACGAAGTACTCAGCCCTTTTTGGTAAAACTCGTGCCCCTTTTGAGAGTAGACTCTTCCAGGCGTCTGACAGTGTGTACAGTAGATACTCGCCGAACAGTCCTGCGTCAAACATGTTCGTTAACAGCAGTGTTCGTGTACCGTATATATTTGTATGATCCAGCGTCATAGTTGGCGTGTTGACGAAAATTGGCTCATCCACCAAATTCTCCTGCATTACACTCTCTGCTAACTTTACCATTGTCAATGAGTTGTCGCACGCCATCGTCGATATCGGGTAGCACTCGCTAGCGTACAACGTCAGCAGGCCAGGCCCAGCGTTAGTGTCCAGCACACTGTCCGACTTCGCGTTAATCGATTCCTTTAGAGCCTTCCTGTACGCTACGTTCAATCTTTTATCATTGATACTTCTAAAATAACTGTTCGGAAATAATATTCTTTTGACGTTGTTCAAATTCTTCTCCACACTCACTATACTGGCGTCGATGTTAATAGCTTTCTCAAAGTGGCACAGCGCCTCGCAGTAATATCCATATTTACAAAAATATTTCCCGATTTCGTTCAGCAAGTTGACGTTGCCTGGATATATATTAATGGCGCATTCGAAATTACTGAATATATCAGCTCTGTCGTCTGTCATGATTAAATTTTCGTTCAGTCTCATGAGCACAGCTCGGAATTCGTACTCAAGTCGCTTCTTCATACGTGAGTTCTTGTGAAACAAACCGAGATACAGGTCGAACGATCTTTGGAAGTATTCATTTGAAGCAGCTATTCGTGCTTCGGTTAGTATATGATGGTGTTCCACTTGCTCCATTATCACTCACAGAAACTTGCGTTTTTATTCACTCTGTCATAAGATTTAACAGTTTCTTACACTATACACTGATTGTAACAATTTAAAGTAAAAAATATTTATAAATTATTAAATAAATATAAGGCAAGAGTACCAGCCTGCCGCGACTTTAATATAGCAATGTTTCCATTTGACTGGGTCAGTGTTTTTATGATAACTATGACTGCAAGGTGAGGGTTGATCATTAACGGTAAACGTTTCAAATTTTGCAAACTACAATACGTGATAAGAATGGTGGTAAAAGGCGTAGTCATTTCCAAACAATGGTCAACTTTTGTTAAATATATCGTAATTACTTTAAACCCTTAATGACAATGGGCGTTCAATGAATGGCAATTGTATTGAATAGAGTTACGGACTATTGGAAAAGATAAATATTTTTTTTATCGAGAATTCACATTTAGTAATTGTAATTATTCCACGTGTTAATATGCTTAGCAAATTGATATTGCTAATTATATTTTGTTTTTGAGAGGTTATGAACTTTTATAATGTTATTTACGAACTCTATTAATCTTGATTTTTTTTTTAAATATGTAACGAATTATTTAGTTGTCGCCCAGTGGTCGAAATTCGACCATAATTAAATTAACATTCAGTGAGACTGTAGACAAATATTATTATAGACTAACAATATTAATATATTGTCAATTTGATCACAGACTAATAATAAACAAGAGTATATCTGCGTCTGTCTGTGTACCAAGGAGTTTTTCCTATTTTTTCTCAATTGTATCTGTAGACTGTATAATAATAATATTAGGATAATTCATACGGCGACATTTAGAGCAAGTTAAGCTAGCTATAGCTTACTGATACAAATACGTAGATACATACATATTATATATAGAAAACACACAGACTGATACAAACAATCATAACTCATGAATACAAATATTTATGCCGTGCCAAGGATCGAACCTGCGGTCATCGGAAGTAAGGCGGGGTGCTACGCAACTAGACCACCGAGATTACAATACACTTTAGAATACAAATCTATGTTTTTGTATCAGTTTGTCTATAACACAAGCTTTAGCTAGCTTAACTTGGGTCTAGATGGCGTTGTATGAATTGTCCTGAGATTATTATTATTAAAGTACACTGGCTTTACTTACTTTGTTCTACTACGATATTTCACATTAATTTTTGATTATGACTTAGTTTTCATATAGTATGTTTTTTTATTCTTTATTGTACAAAACGACGTGTACAAAAGACGAGCTTAATGTCGTATAGTCATATATATAATCTCTACTAGCTAAACTTCATGTAGACTGTTCAAGTGTACACGTTCAATGCAACGTGTGCACTTGTACGAGTAGTGTGTAGTTCAGCACAGCGAGATGCGAGCGCGACCGAGAGATCCTTATCGATCCTCACTCATCTCGAGCCCGGCGCACGTCGACCATTAATCTAACGGGGCCCAATGACGATAGATCGTGCCGAACATGTCACGTTCTCCGATCGTTATCAGGGCGAGCTCATCGTTATTGCGGTCGCAGGCTGGAGGAGCTGCAGATGGACCGGGACGAGACGCGCGCGCGCCGCGACGAGGTGGTGCGGCGGCTGCAGGCGGCGGCCGCGGCGCGCCGCACGCGGGCCGCGCGCCGCGCCGGGCTCGACGCCGCCTACCGCCGCGCGCAGGCCGCCCGCGGCTACCTCACTGACCTCGTCGAGTGTCTCGACGAGAAGGTAACTACAAGTGATATTCAAAAATTCATATGATGTCCTACATGGATAAATTATTTTTGATTTGGTTTGAATTCAAAGCCTAAGCCTATCCTAATTGACTACACATAATTCCACAATTTATCAGTATTTACTATACATTTAAATCGGAGTCGACGTATCCTTTAGACACTATTGCTTTCCTCCAGTGCGCGGTCTTTATCGTTCTCTTTGTCTATGGTACATTTACATGCACATTCTTTGCTGTGTAAAAGTGCTGTCCACATAAATCTCTATTTTCCCAATGGTTGACTGGTAGAAAATACCTCTTGGTGTCATCTATGCATGCATATGTATGCATCTATATTTGTGCATACAAAATTTAATATTAAATATAAACAAATAAAAACACATGAATAAAACGCGTGAAAGAGCGTACATGTAATGGCAGCGATGCTACTACCTAATTGTTAAACTTGTCGATCACGTTTAAACATGTCCATGTCCATGCAGATGCCGGCGCTGCAGGCGCTGGAGGCACGCGCGTTAGCGCTGCATCGGCGGCGCTGCGAGTTCCTGCAGGAGAGGCGCCGCGCTGACGTCCGCGACCAGGCGCAGGACGCGCTCGCGCTTGCCGGTACTGTATCCCAGTGACGTCACTCTAGTATATAACTATACTAGCTACGAGTTTCTGCAGGAGTGGCATTGTAAAAATACCATCGCGATATATTTAGAATTGCTACTTTAGAACATCTAATGCCAAAATTAGTCCCAAAACAGGACAAAGAAGACTTACTGTGATACAGAGGTCTGCATCGTACGCCTTTCTTTATGGATAATAGCCATTAGGTATATGATTTGTCAAAATGTTTTTAATAGCACGGCCCGGCGCCGCGAAGCCCGTGGATTCAGAGGAGAAGATACGTCGCGCGGCCGAGCGAGAGGGCAGGAGGAGAGCGAGACGGCTGCAGCGCGCGGCGGCGGCGGCCGCGGCCGGCGCCACCCCGCGACACCGCGACGGAGACTCCAGCGACGACGACCTCCCGCCCGCAGAGCACCAGCACTACCAGCAGGAGAGAGGTGCGTACACTGGGCCTACACCGAGACACAAGCCAAATTTAATATTGTTACGTATTTGACGGCGACGGTGGACTAGTGGGATAGGTAGTTTAGCACACCGCCTTACTTTCCGATGGTCGCGGGACAGATTTGTGGCACTGTACAAACATTTGTATTCATGAGTATGATTGTTTGTGTTGGGCCGGTATTTTCTAGGTATATAATAATATGTATGTATTTATAAAATATGTATCTATATATTTATACTAGAGGGTGCGTGTGTGCGCGGGCCTCAAGAGGCCCGCGAGGCGTTGTCTTTGATTTTTTTTGTGAAGACGGTTTTCTGTTCCATGTACGTATCGTGTACCATCCTGTGGCGAAACATTGTATTGTAATGGTCACAATACAAAACCTAACCTAACCTACCTTTCTGTATACTATATTAGTCTGGGGTCAAAGTTTTTAATGTAGAGATCATAATACGAAACCTAACCTAACCTACCTTTTTGTTTACTATATTATTCTGAGGCCATAATTTCTACTGTAAGAGTCGCAATACAAAACCTAACTTAACCTACCTTTCTGTATACCATTTGGACCTGTGGCTTTAATTTTTATTGCAATGATCACAATATAGAACCTCACATTACCTACCATTCTGTATTAGTATACAGAAATCTATGCTTGGTCATGCCACCTAATTTTGCAAAAAAATCGCATGAAACTATTAAGATGAGATTTATTATAGATCCCCGTCACTCTTATGTTAGAATGTCGAAAAAAAATTCCCACATTTTGGGTTTGCAAAATTACCCAAAAATCGGGGAAAATTTGTAGCCTAGATAATATTTCAAACCGAAATCTGCCATGGCTCAATAAAGGTCGACTCGCTGCAGGGAAGCCAGGTACCCCAAAATATATTCCTAAATTTATCACCAGAGATAAAATACTCAAACTTTTTTTCCTTTTTGAATATTTTTAACTTATCCACTTTGGTGACAGAAACATTTTGTCCATACATTGTACATTGTACAGAGCTAAGGTGACTCCTTCTAGTAGTTCCTTAGTACTGTTTACTATGAAAATTAGTTAATACTTCGCACCGAGAGTTTCCATTCCTCAATACAAGTCAATTCGTTGCAGGGATGATAGGTGCCACAAAACTGAATTTTAAAAAGTTCTTATAACTGTCATCATAGATCCTAATTCGGCCGCCATCTTGGATTTTTCCTTTTTAAATACCTTTAACACATACATTTTGGTGACAGAAACACTTCATGTATACATTGTACAGAGCCCATGTTACACTTAGTAGTTCTTGAGTACGGTTTACTATGAAAATCGAGTTATGGTGTTGCCAGCTGATTTTGACAAAAACCACCTAGGACCCTTTGGGGGATGATTTTGGACCAACGGTCATAACTGTTTTGTTCAACTTAACGAAAAAAAAAATTCCCACGTTTTTTAATTTTTCTCCGAAACTACCCCAAAATCGGGGAATTTTTAGACCAGGTAATATTTCCCATCGAGAGTTCCCACTGCTCCATAAAAGTCAACTGTCAGTCGCTGCAAAGATTAATGGTACCCCAAAATTGAATTTTTAAAAGTCCCTAAAAATGTCAACATAAATTAAGTACCGTAACTCGGCCGCCATCTTAGATTTTTACTTTTTAATACTTTTGACATATTCACCCTAGTGACAGAAACATTTCGTTCATACATTGTATAGAGCCTCGGTGACTCCTTCTAGTACTATTCTCTAAGAAAACTGATGTAAGGTGTTGCCAGATAATTCTGACAAAAACCACCTAAAATCAATAAAGGGATTGTTTTTGACAGATTTTCATCATTCTTTTGTTTGAAATGTCCAAAAAATATTTTCCCACTTTTTAGGACCTATCTCAAAAAATACCCTAAATTCGGGGAAAATTTTTATACCAGGTAATACTTTGTGTTGAGATACATCATCTCTCCATAGAACTCGACCGGCTGTGGGGTTGCCAAGTGTCCTAAAACTACATTTAAAAATATCTCAAATTTTCTCCGAAAAGCAAAACTCCCCTATCTCTGCCGCCATTTTGGATTTTTACTTCTTAATAGTTTTGACGTATTCACCTTAGTAACAGAAACATTTCGTCCATACATTATGTAGAGCCTCGGTGACTTCTTCTTGTACTATTCCCTAAGAAAACTGATCTGCGGTGTTGCCAGATAATTCTGACAAAAACCACCAAAAATCCTTAAGGAGATGACTTTTGACAGATTTTCATCATTCTTTTGTTTGAAATGTCGAAAAAAAATTTTCCCACTTTTTAGGACCTGTCTCAAAAAATACCCCAAAATCGGGGAAAATTTTTATACCAGGTAATACTTTGTGTCAAGAGACATCATCTCTCCATAGAAGTCGACTCGCTGCGGGGTTGCCATGTGTCCTAAAACAACATTTAAAAATGTCCCAAATTTTCTCCGAAAAGCAAAACTCCCCTATCTGTGCCGCCATCTTGGATTTCTAAAATTTCATAATTTTCCCTAGAGGCCGGGTCCTTCGGCTATCCGACGCCGCACAGTGCGTTGAGCTAGCACACTCGTAGGTATCCTATCAATTTCAGTTTTTGAAGCTAGACCTCAATTTCAAAATTTGTACCATGGTGTATGGGTGTTGCCAGCAAATTCTGACAAAATCCCCCTACAACCCTTCAGGGGACGATTTTTGGTAGACCAACAAGACTTTTTCATTTAAAATGTCGAAAAAAATTTTTCCTACTTCATGGGACTTTTTTCCAAAATTAACCCAAAATCGGGGAAAAATTTTAGCCCTGGCAAATCATCCTACTCAGACTTACCCGTGTCAGTAGGTGGCGTTTAGCTGCAGGGTTGCCATGTGCAGCAAAAACTCGATTGAAAATATCCCAAATTTTTTCCAAAAACTAAATCTCCCATAGCTTGGTCGCCATCTTGGATTTTTGAAATTTCATAATTTTCTCTAGAGGCCGGGTCTTTCAGCCTCCCAGTGCCCTACAATAGGGATCGGTAGCATGCCCGCAAGTACCCTAGGAATTTCAGTTTTTGGAGAGACACCCCAATTTCTATTTTGGTCAAACCATGTATGGGTGTTGCCAGAAAATTCCAACAAAACCCACCTAAAACCCTTTAGGGGATGTTTCTCGATAGGCCTTGATGCCTCTTTTGTCAAAAATGTCGAAAAAAATTTTTCCCACTTTTTGGACCATTTCTCCCAAATTACCCCAAATTCGGGAATTCTTTTTAGCGCTGGCAATACTTCTTACCGAGACCCATCATCGCCCCATAGAAGCTGACTCGCTGCGGGGTTGCCCTGTACCTAAAAAATGATTTTGAAAATAATCCGGATTTTTAGGACCAAATTCACACGCCCCCAACTCGTCGGCCATCTTGGATTTTCGAAATTTCATAATTTTCCCTAGAGGTCGGGTCCTTCTAGTTTCCTATGCCCTACAACCGGTGTCGCCAGCACCCCCGCAACTACCCTGGGAATTTCGGTTTTTGAAACCCTAGAAAATTTTCAACCAGTTTTTGGCAATTTTTTCGCCGCCATCTTGGATTTTAATTTTTTGTTTTTACGCCATATTCTGGGTCCCGCCGAGACGTGCCAAATCACTCTTTGAACGGAATCGATCCGAGCGAAACTGTAAAAGTTAGCCGCCATCTTTGTCCGCCATCTTGGATTTTCCCAAATTTCGGAATTTTCTCGTGGTCACCCTAGCCAAAGGAACATTTCCCCCATACATCGTCTCGACCCCCGGACGCTCCTTCTGGGAGAACAACTATGTCAATCAGTGAGTGAGTCACCGTAATGCAGCTTTATATATTATAGATTAGTTATCTAGTTCTATAACACAAGCTCTGCTCAACTTAGGACTAGATGGCGCTGTGTGAATTGTCCTGATATATATAGTAATTTCTGTTTTTCTATGTGGGAATTACAAAGCTCAAGTTACAATATTTATTATCACATCTCTGTGCAGAGACGATCAAGCAGATGTCGTCGTCGCTGTTTGCGGACGCGCTGCCGGCGTGGCGCAGCGTGGCCGGCGTCTGCGCACGTCTCGCACGCTTCCGGCGACGCTCACGAGCACTCTACTGCGACGCGTACGTCGCGCACTGCCTGCCGCAGCTGCTCGCGCCGTACGTGCGCCACCAGGTGAGCGCGCTTTACTGCGACGCGTACGTCGCGCACTGCCTGCCGCAGCTGCTCGCGCCGTACGTGCGCCACCAGGTGAGCGCGCTCTACTGCGACGCGTACGTCGCGCACTGCCTGCCGCAGCTGCTCGCGCCGTACGTGCGCCACCAGGTGAGCGCGCTCTACTGCGACGCGTACGTCGCGCACTGCCTGCCGCAGCTGCTCGCGCCGTACGTGCGCCACCAGGTGAGCGCGCTCTACTGCGACGCGTACGTCGCGCACTGCCTGCCGCAGCTGCTCGCGCCGTACGTGCGCCACCAGGTGAGCGCGCTCTACTGCGACGCGTACGTCGCGCACTGCCTGCCGCAGCTGCTCGCGCCGTACGTGCGCCACCAGGTGAGCGCGCTCTACTGCGACGCGTACGTCGCGCACTGCCTGCCGCAGCTGCTCGCGCCGTACGTGCGCCACCAGGTGAGCGCGCTCTACTGCGACGCGTACGTCGCGCACTGCCTGCCGCAGCTGCTCGCGCCGTACGTGCGCCACCAGGTGAGCGCGCTCTACTGCGACGCGTACGTCGCGCACTGCCTGCCGCAGCTGCTCGCGCCGTACGTGCGCCACCAGGTGAGCGCGCTCTACTGCGACGCGTACGTCGCGCACTCCCTGCCGCAGCTGCTCGCGCCGTACGTGCGCCACCAGGTGAGCGCGCTCTACTGCGACGCGTACGTCGCACACTCCCTGCCGCAGCTGCTCGCGCCGTACGTGCGCCACCAGGTGAGCGCGCTCTACTGCGACGCGTACGTCGCGCACTCCCTGCCGCAGCTGCTCGCGCCCTACATTTTGACTCGTTTGTGTCAAGACTAAATGAGGAAGAAATTTGTGAGTTTGCTAATTTCATGTAAAAATCTTACATTACCTGTATTGTAATGCACTTTGTTTTTTTTCTGTTTGTGCAGCTTATATTATGGAATCCGTTAGCTGACGAAGATAATGAGGACTACGAGAAAATGGACTGGTACAAGTGAGCATTATTGTTTTGTATACTTATTTATTATTGTTAGCGAACATCGATAGCATTAGACAAAGTATTTATTGTGAATCCAATGTTGTCCTTTCTTTTTTACTATATACGAGTTTCAACCTACTTTCATAAGAACATGTACATCAATTTGTCATCTCATACATCATTTGTATCTGTAAATCAATTTGTCCATATTATCCTGCTTTCGAACAATAGGTACCCTATTAGTGGCTACCGTAAAACATTAAGTCACCATCGTGTTCAATCGACAGATGTCTGATGATGTACGGAGTCCGGGCCGAGCGGCTGTCTAGTGAGTCTGAGCAGTCGGATGATGAGGAGGAAGCAGAGGATGTTACGGTTACAGAGACCTCGGTGCGGGAAGATCCTGACCTGTACCTAGTGCCGACCATCATCAACAAACTCGTACTGCCTAAGCTTACAGGTTATTTTGTTGACTCAAATTTAATTGGGTTTAATTTGTCAACATATTTGATTTTATGAAGGCTGTAATTTTTATGAGAATGGTATTCCAAATTTAGTGTGTTGTTCCATTCATAATATTAGAAGTTCATTACTATTATTATATATATTACATTTTTTGGTCCTTCAATCTTGATTAACACAAAAACGTAATCAATTATAGTATCTAACGGACCAAGACTTTGAAATCTAAAAAAATAATATATATAGACCTATGAAGGTCTCAATGGTACTTACAGGTTACTTTAGCACCGAGTAATAGCCCTATCCATTATGATACTAACCCTATCATTTTTTATTTTTTTGCTCGTTGGAATATCGCACTATTATTTTCAAATAATTAAAATACACTATATTCTCTTCTATTTCCGTATTGGAATTAACATCATGCGGTTTTTATAGTATTCTGTCGAAACACTATGAATTTAGCACAGATTCTTTTTAAGGGATTTGGACTTACGAGTACTGGACTAACGAGCCCAAATTCCTTAATAAAATAAAAATAAATGAATTCAAATGTTTATAATCGTATAGAGCTGGTGGAGCAGGCGTGGGACCCGATGTGTGTGCGCGCGTGCGTCCGGCTGCGGCACCTCGTACTGCGCGCCGCCGGCCTGCCGCCGCCGCCCGCCGCCGGACCGGACCCCGCGCCCGGCTCCGGCCCCGGCTCCGGCCCCGGCCCCGGCTCCGGCCCGGACACCGCCGCGCCGGCGCCTCCGTTACGACGGCTAGCGCTCGCCGTGCGCGCGCGGCTCGCAGCCACGATCAACGCAGATGTCTTCTTACCCACGCTGCCTCCACAGTTAGTATTCTTTGACGCGGTGAGGCGGTCAAACTGTATGTGCTCTACAGTGTACTGTATTCTCGACTGTACGTGGTGTTTTAAAGATACGGCGACAATTTAATTTTCCAGAAATAATAAATTGTCATGAGAGAACAGGATATGAATTTTATTTTATTTATTTCATATGCTATTATATATATCTCTTTCTTGATTATTTCTTAAGCTATCGGGTGTGTACACCTTCAAACAGAATGGCAAGAATTATATGAGATAGGATTATTTTATAAAAAAAATCGATTCACATTTTGGTTATTAAAATGGCTGATGGTAATGTTGACTTGCTTCAGAGCGATGGAGGGTGCGGGCGGTCTGTTCTGGCGGCGGTGTGCTGGCGGCGCCGTGCGGCTGCTGCGCGGGACGCTGGCGCTCGCCGCGCCGCCCGCCCTGCTGCGTGCCGACGCGCTCGTGCTCGCCCTGCTCGGTACGTACTGCGGCCGCCGCTCGGTGCGTACTGCGGCCGCCGCTCGGTGCGTACTGCGGCCGCCGCTCGGTGCGTACTGCGGCCGCCGCTCGGTGCGTACTGCGGCCGCCGCTCGGTGCGTACTGCGGCCGCCGCTCGGTGCGTACTGCGGCCGCCGCTCGGTGCGTACTGCGGCCGCCGCTCGGTGCGTACTGCGGCCGCCGCTCGGTGCGTACTGCGGCCGCCGCTCGGTGCGTACTGCGGCCGCCGCTCGGTGCGTACTGCGGCCGCCGCTCGGTGCGTACTGCGGCCGCCGCTCGGTGCGTACTGCGGCCGCCGCTCGGTGCGTACTGCGGACGCCGCTCGGTGCGTACTGCGGCCGCCGCTCGGTGCGTACTGCGGCCGCCGCTCGGTGCGTACTGCGGCCGCCGCTCGGTGCAGTTGCAAAATTTTGAAACAATTAATCATACCGAGCGCACGCGTTTATGCTCTTTTAATTCAAATACGTTCCTGATCGCACGTAGAAGACCTATTAAGAGCGAGTGTCTTACCGTGTGAAGCTAGCTAAGGATGATGTTCATAGCGATAAGACCGTCTTATCTTATTACTTTTCTATTTACCGCATTATATACCTTATGTGTACGGCATAAAGTGTTAATTTGTTGGACGGTGTGTGGGTACAGAGACGGTGTGCTGCGCGGCGGGCGCGGCTGCTGCGGGCGGGGGCGCGGGCGCGGGGGCGGTGGCGGCGGCGGGGGCGGCGGCCGCGCTGGCTGCGTCGCTGCCACGTGCCGGCCAGCTGCGAGCACGTGCGCTGCCGCGACTGGCCGCGCTCGCACAACACGTGCTGCAATACCTGCACTCGGACAATCCCATGCACCTGTTAGTACTCACCGAGCATTCTTTTTTTATATATAGAACTGGCTGTGCCCGTGACTTCGTCCGCGTAGAATAGTTCCATTGACTAAAGAAAGAATCACCGAGCATTATTTATAGAGCTTTAGTTGTGCCCGCGACTTCGTCCGCGTGGTATAGTGACTATGGGACACAGTCACCTAGATACATAAAATAATAAATGCATTTAATAATGTCTAGTAAGACAAATTCAATATTGTCTACTAGGCACTGCTGTATCTAAACTGTGTCACCCCACCATACATTTTCCTATTGTTATTTAGTATATAAGATCATTATTTCTATGCATACATTGTCAGTTTATCATCATCAGTAATATACATCGTCTCGACCAGCAACATCTTATTATTTACCCGCAACAGTGGTGACCCCGACGTGATCTACCCGACGTGATCTGGCCGACGTGATCGAGACGATACCTGGGAAAACAACGAGATCAAACAAGAGATCTCTGTCTGACGGCATCCTGCGCACCACCAACGATTGCACATTTCCACCGGCTTCCCAGAAGCGGGTCTCACCGGCTCGGAAATTCAAGAGGCATAAAATTCGTTGGCAATACTGCGCAACAAGGATCCTGCCGTGCTACTGACCCCCAGTAAACACAACTGCCTGCTGGATATAATCTCTGGACGAAAAATTGAAGCTGGAAAAATAAAGCAAAAATGCTGTCTACAAAAGTACAGCTAACAGTCACCGCCGACGTCATTGCACACCTGTCGTCACTAGTTGAGACACTGCGATTAGAAATTGCTGATATACGCGAAAAGCGCTCGCCACACACAAACAGACGCAGCAACTACCGATCTAGGTCAAATTCGCACCTACGGTCATTGCATAGTCAGAAAAATGACTATTATTTAAATTATATCATTGCAAATATAAAGAAAAGGCATACAAATGTGACATGCCGCGCTCCTATAGACAACCGTCGGAAAACTAGATTCGACGCAGAATAAGACGGAACGCTGTGCTGTTCATCCGTCTAACCGCCTAGCTATAACCGACTCTAACAGTGGTTATAGAATTTTGGTGGACACCGGAGCAAAAATCTCGATGAATAAAAAACAAGCACAGACCAAAGAGCGCTAGCGAATTTAAACTATTCGCCGCAAACAATTAATATGAGCAAATGCGAGTTCTTCACAAATGAGTTAGATTTTCTTGGTTATCATATAACGAGCCAAGGGATGAAACCAACGCAAGAAAAATGGCAAGCAATCGACGAGTACCCTAAACCCACGACAGTCGAAGATTTACGTCGTTATTTGGGTATAATGAATTTTTATTGTTACTAAAGTGCATAATATCTTAAATTTTACAGTTAACTTTTATAATTTTTTTTTTGTGTGTAATATATATTTTTTTCTCTCAAGGGGGGAATATCTATGGGACACAGTCACCTAGATACATAAAATAATAAATGCATTTAATAATGTCTAGTAAGACAAATTCAATATTGTCTACTAGGCACTGCTGTATCTAAACTGTGTCACCCCACCATACATTTTCCTATTGTTATTTAGTATATAAGATCATTATTTCTATGCATACATTGTCAGTTTATCATCATCTGTAATATACATCGTCTCGACCAGCAACATCGTATTATTCACCCGCAACAGTGACATTGACCAAAAAAAAAGTATATTTAACAATCTCAGCCAAATGTTGACATTATATATACATTAAAAAGATTTTTGCTCGTCGAATAGAGTGAATGTCAGGCTACCATGAAGTCCATCTCCATCTGTATAATTACTATATTCAATAAATAATTTAATTTCATTAAAAAAAAAGTCTTGGCTTTATTTTTTTAAAACTTTTATCATTCTAGCTTCAGAAATGAATAATTAAGGATATTTTTTTACAAATTTTGAATATCATATTCAAATATATTTAATCTGATGATTAAATAAAAAATAAGTTTCAAGCTCCGAGCTTTAAAAATGATGATACTTCCGTATAACCTTTCAACTGGCTGGCATTCTGAGCCAGGTGTGACGGTGAAGGTTGAAGGTTCTTCATCCTCATCATCCATTGGGCCCAGCTTAAACAGTTACTCCATTATCATCCACAAAAAATAATTTGTATTCGTGTATTGTAGTATATTTTGTAACTTGTGGTTCTTTTTATATTTACAGAAAAGCACTGGAACAGGCCAGAAGTTTAATAGCAGAAGCTCGCGCGTTAGAATGACCCAACGAGTTTTCTCCAAGCGCCTCATCCCGCAATTTTAAAGATTATCGTATATAATTTCGAATTAATTACCTTGAAGTGTACCGACGCCTTTTGCATACCAAATTATATATATATATATTTGTTATTCAGATATACATTTTATATATTTCGGTGGTGTAGCGGTCGAGCACAGTACTTGACTTTCAATTGTCGCTGGTTCGACTCCTCGTACGTTACAAATAATTGTATTGATTAGTATGATTGATTGTATGTATATTATGTAGGTATTTACAAAAATATTGTATTTATGTAATTTCTACCAGTTGTCTAGTACCCATAACATACGCTATGCTTAGTTTGGAACTGGATGGTGCTGTGTGATTATTATCTTTCTAGATTGTTTAAGTATACAACCATATTCTATAAATTACATGGATTACATGCTTTTTGACCTCTCTCCCCACCCCTGTTACACATCCTCCTCCCTATATTATGTGCGCTGTAGTATGGTTGCTTGTGACAGTTGTTTCATTTAAGTTACTACAGTTAATGTGGTACAGCTGAAATACAAAGTCGTAGTTTTTAAATCGCGGCAACTTTTAAAAGTGAAACGAAACCGTCACTAGTTCGATGTTACAGCGCACATAGTATAGTGAGACTTCATAGTTTGCAACTGTATGAATAATGGAAATATTTTCAAGTTTATCGATAATTGTTAAATTTTCATGTATTATTAAAATATTAGATATATTAAATTTTGCCTTTCACACCTTGTCACGCTGTGTCATCCCCCTTAAACGTGTGATGTAATAACTAGCCTCTATTAATAACTTTATATTTAAAACTGCGGAGCATTTTGTTTATATATTGACCTGTTATTTAGCGACTTTAATAAACGCTATACTTTCGGTATGATTCCATTACTAATTTGTGAAAATGATAATTATTTGAATATTATTTTCAATTTAATGGCATTGTAAATAAATGTGACCGTTAATACTTCGAATGGGAATAAATAAAATGGATGAATGTATTTTTTTTATAATAAAACTAAATAAGTAATGTCATAATTTTTATTTCAAAATGTTTAAAACTAAGTGACTTGCATAATATTTAAATGTTTCCAATCAGATAAGTTCCGATCCGAATATAACAAAGTATTTATATTTACTTAAGTTATGTATAACATACTTTATACTTAGTAAAAGCACATTAATTAGTCGTAAGAATAAAAAAAAGTAAAAGGTATAATAATCGAGGCGGTTGCTGAGCTAATGTGAGTTTTGAAGCCTGTCAAAATTAAGGTGGATTTACAAAAAGAACTACAACTCTACCATACACTAATTCCGACTAATTACATTTTTTTTTATAATGCGCAATAGGTACCCACCCTCTTCAGCTTCGTACGGATGAACTTGTATTTTTTTATGGATGATAATGGAATGTTGCACACGCCTGCGCTAACGTTTTACACTGGCGGAACACCAGCGGAGAATGAGGTCAGGTCAGTTAGCCCATCGTGACAAATTCACCAAGATGGTTTCCAGGGGGAACCGCGTGGTCAACTTAACTTGGTACATTGCTAGCAATAAGCTCATCAGTCCGCATTACTAACAATCCCCTTTCCCCCCGGTGTACTTGTATTATATTATACATATAAACCTTCCTCACTATGTAATCATAAAAAGTGCATTAAAATCCGATACGTAGTATAAAAAGAGCTAAGCGAACACACAGGGAAGTGACTTCATTTATACTAGTTATATTTGCTTCTTCGTACAGGATTTTCTAATACCAGGATCACACGTTTTTTTAATGTTCAGGCAGGTCAAGAGCCGGCTCGTTTATTTGGTACAACTATGAATTCGTTCCAATATTATTAGGTTATTTATGGCATCCAAAGAACACAACGTACAGGTAAAACCATGTATGTGTAATATTAAATGACAAATAAATTGGATTTCTAATACGTTCTTTACCAAGTTTTTACACAGCACAGGTAAAAGGTTTTTTTTTAAATTAAACATTCATGATGTTTAATTAAAAAAAATGAGAATTAAGATTAGCCTTTGTTCTTTACGAAGTTGTCACAGTACAAGTCTATTAGAGGCCCGTGTAGATGTATGAAGACTTATTTCTCGTCCATAAAAATATAACAAATTGCATGAAACAAAACATGCACCAAAGTATCTGTACGTGTGAAGAACATATCAATGATTTTATTAGAAATGATAAAATTATAGGTTTTTTTTAACTGTCATCTGGTTACTTCTCCGCTGAATGCCAAAGTCGGGTCGTAGCCAATAAATTGTGCTAATCGGAGTTCAGTCGAAAACTGACGAATAACCGACTCAGCATCTTAATTTTCTTACTAGCCAAAATTCTAATACTAAACTTTACTTTCCTTAACTACTTAATACTTAACTTTCCAATAAAAAAGCTTCATTCTTAACTTTCAAAAAAAAAAAACAAATTTGGATTAGGTAAATTTATTTTATTATAATATATTTACATGAGTGAATTCTACGTCTATTAATATTATACAATATGGTAAAGGGATCACATAATTAGGTGATTTATTATAGTACCCGCTAGCGCAGGCGAGGTATATTCACATTAAAAAAAAAACTCCACGACTCAGGGGGTAAGGTGATTGTTAGTAATGTGGTTTAATAACTCCATTGCTAGCAATATACCATATCAGGTTGACGCCTCCACGCTTCACCCTGGAAACCAACATGTCAAATTCCCCGTGAATTTACCACGATGGTCTAATTGACCTGTCGTCATGTTTATCTTATCAGCCTTCACCATGCCTTCGGGTGTACCATATCCTCCGTTACAAAAACCCACCACTGAACATAGAAGATTGTGTCACATTGATATTGTTTTTTTTGATTTCATAACGCCTTTAGGTGTTATACCCATAACGAGTACTTTAGATCTGTACATAACAGAAATAAATAACATGAGTAATCTAAACTCAAGAGATTTTTAATGCTGCATGAAACTCTTAATTTATAAAACGAGTGTACTTTTAATAAGCACATACTTAAGAATTACTAAATTAGCATTTTATTAACTGAATATTATGAATATTATATATCGCTATTTATTATACAATTAATAAAAATAAGTATATATAAATGGCATATATTAATTTTATTTATTAAGACAAAAATTATGTTTTACAGGCTATCTAAGACCTCCTTTTTAGGTAAAGGTATAAAGTTTCTAGAATACAAATAATTTCGAGATGGGTTTTCAAACAAAATAAATAAATATTTAATAATTAATGTTTTTAATGGTAAAATATGACACAGACGTAATAAAAGTAAAATTAAAGATGGTGCTTGGCTAGAAAGTTATAGGTTCGTGAATTCTTATATTTAATTAATAACTACACATTTTTAACTGTCCTGTACATATTTCAAGGTCAATTTATCAAAAACTATAACCTATATTTAATCTAAAATTAACAATTTACATATTATTGTTAAATCCCATTATATCCACTTATGTTTGCATTATTCTCAATTTAATTAGCTGTTATATTAAATTTGTATAAACACAAATTTAATATAACAACCACTTCAGTTTTGTAATATTTGTATATACATATATACACAGTATTTATTTTATATATATTACCATAGACTTTAATTTTATATAAGTGACAATAAATCAAAACATACAGGTAGGTTAGGTCTATCATAGTCGTTTGATTTTTATGAATACAGATTTTTTCAGATCAAGTAGCTGATATCAAGCGCATTTTACGCTGACTGTATGATAGAGGTGCTTCCTCTGACAATCAATACAACATGAATTTCACAGTGCTTACTCTCATAATCAATAAAACATCAACTTCATATCTCAGAGTCAATAAAATATGCTTGATTAAGTAGCTTGTCGATCAACTTAATAGACTTGGGATATAATTATATAACGTTGCAATGGTTTCTTATTTCAAACAGATTGAAATACAAAGTTTTAAATACAAAATATATGTATAGAAAAGAACAGAATAGACATTTTTTTATTAAAATAACTTGCATTTTATTTTGTATATGAATGTTCACCAACTGACTGAGTTTATTATTAAGTACAATTGCATCTGTTTGGTATTCTATATATAACGTTTGAGCTGCTGCTGCCGGCTGTTTGCACGTGCGGTATGGGGTGTCGCTAAGTACAAATATGTAAAATACCTTCTTGAACTGAAGCTTGTGCTATTAAAATTAATTATGAACTAAATTTCAGATTTTCTAGTTAGTAGTTTTGGGTGTTGATAGTCAGTCAGGATGATATTCTAAAGCTATATTTCAATCAGTTTCAAACAAGGAATCTGCAAGTGATACATAACCGCTCGTTAATAAACCTCATTGAACCTTCCCTAATGATATTACGTGTGATCAAATGATAGTCAGAATATCTGAATACAAAGAGCAGGGGAAAAGAAATTGTTAGTAATAGGGAATTAGTGTCTAGAAATAACCAAAAATATAAAATCTATGTGTTATCTCCTGATGGGATTTCTGTCCTGACTTTATCCTCATCTACATTCTCCTCCACTGGTGTGATACCAGATTGATGGATGAAACAATAAAAAAAGTACTGGGAGGCATAAATTAGTGCTTATCATTGGGAAGAATTAAATAATAATATTTAGTCACGCTGGGTTGAAGTATAGAAGATTTCATAAAAAGGTAAAACAAGATATAAAGTATTTTCATCATAAAACATAATCAAAATAAAGAACTTAGTAGGTTCAATATAATGTACGTTTCCTTTTAAGATATCGCTAGTAGTACCATCCGTATACATGGCTTTAATATAATATACATAGTGAATTGTAAAGGATATACCGAGCCGAAAGTCAGCAATATTACATAAAACTGAATATATTTCCCCCTGAAATAAGGTAAAAAATTGAACTGAAACCTGCATACAAACTGCTTGATCATGCTATCAATTTAGTATTAAAGATTCAAAATTTACAGTGAGATTGACACTTTTCTTGTTCAAAGCGACTTATTTTCATGTGTTACTTGGGTTTTGGCTTGGTTTTTTTTTCGGACTACTCTAATGCTGTTAGCCGCAGCTGGTCTTTACAGCTTCACCGGACGATAGGGGGCGAGTGCAGATGGCATTCCAAACCCGCAGAAGCGGAAGGACCTATAGAGCGGCTGAAGACCAACTCTCGCTTGACGGTTAGTCTGAGGATCCGACTTTGTTGAAGGGTTTGAACCTCGACTCAGGCTGTCGTAATTTCGATCCACGTTTGAATTGGATGGGGGATCGATCGGAGGGGTTTGATTTGGTATATCTTTACAACTACTCCTGTACCTTATACCAATTCCATACAATATTGTCTTTTAACAAGCGATATGGCTAATACTACTCGGAAGGGTTAATCACACACACTTTTACCGTGTCTATTCTCCTGACACAAATGAAAATTCGTACGCATGATTACTGTAAACATGTTTATTTTTGTATGTACATATGTTTAGTGGACGTGGTTAAGCAGAAAAGACTCAATCTAAAACAGAGTTTATGCTCCTACCTGAATAGTTCAAATTCGTATAACCATCGTCACCTAATCCTGGTCATGGAGACATGGAGAGCCGCGTTATCAACAATTGCTCGCAATTGTGACCACAGAATTAGGATGGCACATATTTCAATAAACATATTAAGTAAACATTGATTATTCAGAACTTTGGTGTAGGTGTACAACAAAAATTCCTTTATAAACTTTAGTGTTCAAGGTACACCTATTAAGTGTAAAAAGGAATATCATTCTAAACTATATACTTCTAAACTACTATACCACTAAACTAAACGCAAAATTCTAAATAAAACTATACTTTAAGTGAGTTTAGTACATATTGTCTTAACATAAATAAGAATTAAGACCCAACTATATTAATAACCGTCGTATTAATTATAAAGAAATATATTTATGATTCTCTTGATCAAAATAATAAATAAATAACTCTAACATATCACATAGCGCCATCTAGTCCCAAACTATGCAGAGAACATTTTTATAATATAGACTATACATATATAACATCCAATAGAAACAGACATGCTAAAGAAAAACGTAGTAGAAATCGATCCCGCGACTATAGGAAGAGGCAGTGTGTTAAAACCTCTATTCCACCGATCGTATCTCAAATAATCATAATCCAACAGCTTAACAAAATTTATTTTGTCTAGTTTGAGTCTTTTCTACTCCTTGGTCTTTTTAACAAAAAAAGTTGTTTGATAAACCTTAATAAGGGAGTAAATCTGTTTGTAACCAAATATCGTAGACAAGTAATTAACGAGTTGCCCGAATACGTTTTCGCTGTATACATGAGAAACAAAGTGGCAAGATGTTGCCTTCTCTTTCTATCTTAGTCACTGTTGCGAATACGTACCAATACTTTTATCACTTGTCTAGGTCGATAGTCTCCCACAATCAAAGTACATATACATTAATTATTACAAAAGTCCAGTTGTACTTTGTCGGTGGGAGATATAATATAAACATCTGAGACTTTTTACACTTTGGTTTATTAATGAAAATGTCCTACTTATTAATAGTCTAATATGAGGTCGTCACTTGTGAAGCCTTACTTAACCGATACTTTAAAGCATGTATTGTCAGCATTCGCCATTCATAAGGCCACGTGGTGAGGTGCTGGTAACGCTGCAACGCCTGGTAGACAAACAAACCACGTATAAAAATTCTAAAGAGAAACGTAAGATCCCTACGGCTTGATGTATTCAAGCCCCTGGGCAGGAATTGAATACATCTAGCTGTAGGGACCTGGGGACCCCAACTTCCATACATATTACAATGATGAATGAGGTGTTACAGACTTTATAATATGTTCAGGGTGAAAGTTATTTCTATTCCATACTATTCTATAGCTGAGGACAATAAGCATATATACAGAGTACGATCAAAAGTAGGAGTTCAATATAAAAAAGTAGCAAAAGTAAAATGTAGTCCGTAAACACATATAGTTTATAGTTTAATAGTTATAATACTCCTGAACAACAAATGTAAAACTTTATTCATATGTAATGATGCAACATACCATAAACGACGTGGCGCAAAAAATTGAGGTTCTGGTTGAAATGCCGTGTGATACATTAAAATGTAAAATAAAATAATTGTAACCACATACCGATCTCGCCGCGTTCCTCTGAGTTGATAGAGTGTCCGTCAGAATGTAGCAGCGGTGGCGCGGCCTGCACGCGAGCGGTGTGAGCGGAGTTGGAGTTGGGAGCGGTGTGAGCGGAGTGAGCGGTGGGAGCGGAGTGAGCGGAGCGAGTGCGGCGACGACGGTCACGTGAGCGGCGAGAGCGCTGGCTGCGCTCCTCCACCGCCGCCACCGTGGTCGGTAATAACCGCTCTGTATCGTCCGTACCCTCGACGGCACTACGAACAATAAGTAAATAAGATATTACCTGCTTTTATACTACATATTCCTTCATGCACGATTTAGCGCGAGAAAGTGAAGGATTTACCAATTTTTTTTGTTCATTCTTTCGCGCTTTCGTTTTTAATTCACAGATGTTATTTTTCAGAGACACGTTAAAGCAGTATAACTCTATAATTATGTTTTTGCTCCGTAGTCAAAAGTAGCGCTAAAGCACGCACGATTTAAGAACGTAATAATACGCGAGCTGGCGACGCGCGCGGTCATTCTCGTTCTCTTTGTCTACATTTACATGCACATTCTTTCTGCGTGATAGCTCATTCGCGAGTCAAAGAACTGGGTGTCACATAATATGATGTGATGTTCATACTTATAGGCGACTGTTGCCGACGGTTCAGATAAAAGATAGGGTGTATTTTTTCTATGAACGTACGTATTTACGTATGGACGTACAACCAATCAAAGTTAATAAAGATTCGTCTAGCAGTTTATAAACAGACAGACTAATTTTTGATTTAGTATCAACTAGCTGTGCCCGCGGTTGAAATTTATAGCCTACGTGTAATTCTGTTGTATAAGCTATATTACTGTACAGCTTCATCAAAACCACACACAGTAGTTTTTGCGTGAATGAGTAATAAACATCCATCCATACACATAAACGTTTATAATATTAGTAAGATTGTACATACACATCCCCGTGGTCCCCAGGGTCATCCTGCGGGGGGTCGTCCCGGCGGCGCCGCAGCCGCGCCATGAGACGCGCCGCGCGAGCGAAAGGATTCTCACGTTGCGGTTCGAACGTTCCACCCTGATGAAAAATTACTCACGTATACTATAGTTCAATCTTGATATAAATAAATACATCTTCACGACTGTTATCCTAGATGAGGTAATCAGGGGCATCGTCAACTATAGACATAGTGTATAAATACTTAAAAAATTCTAATTTAAGTTTCGAACTGCATGGGATAGATTTTTTTCTGATTTTTCTCACGATGGTTCTGTCACTCCGTTTCGGCTCGACGTAGAGTTCTGGGACACGCTGTATGTAGTATAGACGCGGTACCTGCGTGGTGGGCGCGGCGTCCGCTATGAGCGGCTCGGTGTCGGTGGACTCGGACTCGGAGCGGTCCGAGCGGTCCGAGCGGTCCGAGCGGTCGGAGCGGCGCGGGCGGGCGCGCTCCCCGGCCGCCAGCACGCGCCGCTTGCACACCGGACACACGCGACGGTTCTGCGTCAGCCACGGGTCCACGCACTTAGCGTGGTACGCTGTCAAAAAATATATATTGCGATTGGTACGTAACGGAACGACTCTATTAACTGAATGACTATGCTTGAATTGGAACACGAATGACGAGAGAATGGATATAAGTGTGAAAGGTGGCGTAACAACGTTGCCTCCCTCCGATCGATCCCCTGTTCGATTCAAACAAGCATCGAAATTACCATGGCCTGATCCGAGGTTCGAATGTTGCGGTGCCATCGGGCTAAAGTCGTATCCGTCAGGTGGGAGTTGGCCTTCAGCCGCTCCATAAGTCCTGCCGCGGGTTTAGAGTGCTATCTGCACTCGCCCCCTATCGTCCGATAAAACTATAAAGACCAGCTGCCGCCAAATGCATTAGAGTACTCAAAAAAAAAAAACAATTCTGGACCACATCAAAAACATCCACGTACGAGGCAGTTTTAAGGTGACAACCATATTGGAGATTTTGGATTGCCGTCTACGATGGTACGGTCATGTCATACGCTCGCCGCGTTAGACCTCAGACAAGAACAGTACTTAAAATGAGTCCCTGGCCCAGAAGACGTGGCAGAACCCGTCTCACATGGATGTCTGTTATTGAGAGGGATTTAAGAAGCGCTGTAAGAACACCCCAGACGACCCAGGACAGACCGCCCTGGCGAAGACTAACCAGACAGGCCGACTCCAAATAAACGGGACCAAGGCCAGGCAAAAGAAGAGGAATGAAAGACAACACTAGAATGATGAAGCCACGAGCGGTTTTTGTAAATTTAATGAAATTAAATTCGTAACGCAAGTGTTACAACTATCCTAATAGTGTTGGCCGTGACTGGACTTAGAGAACCGGACGAATAGTTACCGTGTGCGCAGGGCAGCACTCGGAGCAGTTCCCCCTCCTGGTAGTCGTCGAGGCAGATGGCGCAGGTGTCGTAGGGCACCATCTTGCTAAACTTGCAGGTGGGGATCTTCTTGAGCGCACGGCTCGGCAGACGGTGGCGGCGCGCCCGACGACGATCACGTGTACACTTCAGTATCTGTACAGATCAACGCAGTATTGACGAGTGACGGCCTCGGTGATCTAGCGGTTTTTTTTTTTTATTTAAATACATTTTTCCACAGACATATTCGTCCGTGCCTTTTTTAATTTACTTTAATATTATAATATTTATTTAATTTCCACTTTTGTGCAACTCCAGCCGAGATGTTACAATTTGCCTAACAGTGACACCGAGGCAGACCTTATCCGTCTGGCCCAGAACCACCGCTGGCCGGCCGGGTGAGTTGACAACATGCAGTGTCACCCATCTTTATTAGGAGGATTAGATTTACCAATATACAATTATCTTACACTACTACTAATTTCACAGTTTTCATTACATTGTGCAATGTAAGAATTCATAATGTACCAATACACATTATGAATTCTTACACTGCATATACAATTATATGAAATCTTATTTTAACATTATTTTTAAAGTTCACTATTTGTTATAGTCCAGGTTTTGTTTAATTATTGATTGTTTAATTTCACAGTTCACTTTTTGTCGTAATTCGGCAATTTTTTTTTTCTTTTTCCCCTTACCCCTCCTTTTTTTTTTTTCTTTCCTTTTTTTTTATTATACTTTTTCCGACCGTTGAACGGACCGTTTGACCGTTTTCTATGTATATACTAGCTATGCCCGGAGGTTCACCCGTGTTAAATTTATAGCCTGAGCTTTATAGAAGTTTTATTAAAATTGATTCAGTAGTAGTATCCACAAAATTCCATGTTTATAATATTAAAAAGATTTTAAAAAATCAAATCAAATTATTTATTTATATCCGTTGTCAACCAACTACAAATTGCCAATATGTTAATTTCTTATTTTGTGTATTATTTGTTATGTTGGCAATAAATTAATTATCTATCTATCTGAAGTATCTTACCATACTGATGAGTATGACGACCAGGCACAGTGCTACCACCACCACGAACGGTACCAGCAGATTGGTGTTGATATTGAACGGCATATCACCATTTACCATCAAGTAGAAACTGCAACAAGATGGCGTCAGCATTATAGAGAAGCGTATACAGAAAACAATAAATAACGACTGTAATCTTAAATTGGGTAGTCAGAGATATTTCAATTCATTATTAGAGGCCAATAGTCGATAATGCGGTCAATGTAATATATAACACTAGCTAGCTAGGTAGCTTATTATTGACTAGTTGACCCGCGCAACTTCGCCTGCGTTTCATTTCCCCACCTCTTGTAATATTTTTCATTGCAGCTCCGCTCCTATTGATCGTGGCACAATTTTAAATAGCTTAAAAGAAATATTTTTCTATTCGAACCAGTAGTTCCTGAGATTAGTGCGTTCAAACAAACAAACTCTTCAGCTTTATAATTTATTATTATTATTGATTATTGATATATTTCAATGCAGAAGTTCCGAAAGACAAAAAATAAAAAATCTGTCGTCCAATTAACGCCATACAACATTTGTCAAATAATCGTTAATGGAGTCATAGGCCTTATTGGATGTATAGTGTGTATACAAATGTAACTAACCCGCTATCGTAGAGGTAATTTTCTTTCAGCAAGTACCCAGTCACGTTGCCCACGAACACGGACGGTATAAATATATCGTCCGCATTCGTTGCCGACATAGTTTCTGCAACAAACAAATCTTTTTTACTTAATTCAGGGTACTTATGTCCCATATTTTAAATACCTTACAGACTAACATACAAGTTGATACTCTCGCCAATAAATGCACTTTAAAAAAAAAGATCATGTTCATATTTTAAGTTTACTGTCACAGAACAAGTAATGTATTCATCATATTTGTTAGTACTGGCACGGTACACACAATGGAAAGTTATGTGTCAACAATATAGCTTTGTTTCCTAACTTCTATTATTCCTATCAGATTGCTTTTGTAGACATATATCATATAAAATTATAATCAACTTAGATGCTGTTTTTGGGTATGTACGTGTTGTTGTTGTACATGTTACGTTTGGGTATAAGATGTATGTGTTATATTAATAATGTGTTATGTTATATTAGTAATTCTATTTTAGTTTTAATTTCGTCTAATATTTATATATACGCGTATGTAATTTATATAATCAACTAACCGACTCGGAACTTTTTTCATTATTCTGAAAATTCATTATAATTCCAATGTCTTGCACAATTTTTAAATTTTTATTCTGTCCTGTATTGTTCATGCGGATGAGCTAAAGATCTAATCTTTTTAGTGACTTTCACAAAAAAGGAACCTTTTGGTTTATAATTTTTCAGTCACGTGTAATTCTAAAACAAACTTGTTTAAAGAAAATCTGATTAGTGGGAAACGTTGATATTAGTTGTTTTATCCTATGGACAAAATTTAACGGAGTTTTCAAATCAATTACAGATTCAGTTAATTCGGTCTCAATCCTAAAATACTCTTGTACCCACCACAAACTACATTAATTTTTTTTCACAATCTGCCATTTCCACAAAAAATAATTAAGTATTAAAAACAAAAACTATGTATCTAGGATATAATGTGTGTAGCAAATTTCATTCGATTCGGTCCAGTATTTTCGCCGTAAAAGTATAACAAACATCCATTCATCATCACAAATTTGCAGGTTCAATATCGGTAGGGCAAATATTTGATTTTTTGTTTGTAATCGATAAACAACCTAAAAGTAACAGCTGTCTTTCTATTGAATATATAGCGAAACAAATGAATAAAAAATTAATGATCAAACTTGCTTGTCTTAACCAATTGGTCAAACCAAGCAAGTCAATGCTAATTTAGATAATTTAGAACACTATGTTACTATTTGACGACCTCGGTAGTCTAGCGGTCTAGCACACCGCTTTACGTCCGATGGTCGGGGGTTCGATTCCTCGCACGGCACAACCATTTGTATTCATGAATATGATTGTTTGTATCGGTTTGGGTATTTTTTATGCATAATATGTACGTATTTACGAAAAAAATTATCTATGTATTTGTATCAGTTGTCTAGTACCCATAACACAAGCTTTAGCTAGCTTACCTTGGGTCTAGATGGCGCTGTGAGAATTGTCCTGACATTATTATTATTATTATTATATAAATATACGTACTTACAATATATAGTATATCCACCATTTTTGCTAAATATATTACGGCAAAATGGAAAAGATTTATCCCGAATACAGTTCACAATTACATGATTTAGTTACACATTTTTGTCACTATCATCACATAGAATTAAATAAAATTAGTACATAAATCCAAATACATATAAAACTATATAATAATTATTAATATGGTTCTAATATATATGAACAGCGCAAATGCATCACAAGAGAACGTGTAATCTCACCCACTTATGTTTAACTACATACTAATATTGCTTTTTTTATCTCGTGAACTATTATCACTTTGTTTACAGTTTAATTATATATTGGTAATGATAGTTGGGCATGACAATGACTTTCTAAAGACCTATCAACCGGTGTATTTCCTATTGTTTTTATGTAATTGTAATAGTGAACTTGTAAAACTATAAGATCCTAAGGCAACTATAAAACAAAACATAACATACGTGTATGTAAGGTTCATTGATAGGTTTCAATACAGGTACAAAAGAACGTCTATTTTCGGACTACTCTACTCCTGTTGGCCGCAACTGGCCTTTACAGCTTCACCAGACGATAGCGAGTGGAGAGCACTCCAAACACGCGGAAGAACTTATGGGGCGGCTGAAGGCCAACTTCCGCCTGACGGATACAACTTTAGTCTGAAGCCACTGCTAGGGGTTCGAACCTTAGTTCAAGGCCGTCGTAATTTCGATCCCCGTTTGAATTGCACAAGGGTTCGACCGGAAGGGACCGGACGATGTAATATAAATAACATATGATATTTCAACAAAACTAAACTATAGCGTGTAGTAATTTTTGTACAGCGCCATCTATTGGCGTTGCATGAAACAATATTTCATAATTTTATCAATTTGGATATTTGTATTCACACAAATACTTAAACATGTAATACTGAACAATATTTATTTAAAGAAGAAACACACGTTTCTTGCTCGTTCTTGTAATGAATCAGCATTCCGAATGAGTGGTAGAATAAAAAAAATACTATACACCTAATATCCTGATATCCTGAGAAACAATGTTGTGATAACTTAGCAGAAATAAAAGAAATCTGTTCTATAAATAAATAGTCTATTAATTTGCTTCTTATCAGAGTTCACTTCGTATGTTATTGACATATACAGGGCGCCAAAGGTACTGAATATATATTTTTTTATGTAATTGAACGAGCTGATGGCACACTAGAAATGATGAATAGCAAGTCGTCATCAAGGCTAAATTATACGCCGCTTTTCTACTTAGAAATAAAATACACACGAAAAATAAATACACGTGATATCTTACTACACCACCTGCCCCCTTGATATTTCGTGATTTTTGCCAAAACCCCTCCCTTTCGAGCCTCACGTGATTTATGAACGGCCCCATAGTTGAGTTATTATTTAATGGTATAATATTCTTTAATATGAAGTAGTGCTATATGCTTTATTATGAGCTAGTGTTTTTTTACTATCTTATATTCCACTTTTTATTTAACATATTACATCATGTAATCCTACCTAACATTTTTCTTTATCCTAAAAACTATCTTTCTTACATTAGGACATTTTTACATTTTTTTCGCTAAGTAGTGATTTCAATAGTTTACCGAAATTACTAAGTTTATTTTCTTTTTTTATATATGATGGCAATTAATTATTTATAGAAACGGACATTGGGTAGGTTTTCCGAAGCAAAAGTTATTCTTATTTCTTATTCTTACTCACTGTCAGATAATGGTAATAATGAATAGTGGAACTCACCAAGATCCGTGGAGTTGACATTGTGAACGATCGCGCAGGCGTAGCCGGCTGCTTGCGCGTTACGCACCTTCACCTCAAAGCTGCAGTTATACCTGTAATTGAAAAGATTTCTCTTCATGCTCATATTAATATAATTAATTTTTAGTACCTCTTCAATGTTAATAAAAGATAAAAGTAAAATATATAATTAAAATTGAAACTAAAGATTTAATGTCCGATACAATATCTACTTACAAATACATACAAAACATATATTATTTAAAACAATTACAAAAAAGCAATTTCTCATGATATTAATAGTAATAAATCCAGGAAATTCACATACGCCACAGCGCCATAAGCTAAGGAGAGCTTTTATTATACATAGGTACTAGTCAACTGATAGAAATGTTTAGACATGTATTTATTTTGTGAATAAATATATAATATAGAGAAAACATCATAACAATACAAATAATCACACTCATGCATGAATATTTATATTGCGCAAGGATTTGAACCCGCAACCATAAGGCTAAACCACTAAACAACCGAGACCGTTATATTACTATAGATAATATGTTGTTAAAAACCTTGTTTAATACAACGTTTATAATGCATTTATTGATATGAATGTTTATGTGGTGAAATACCTATATCAAACAAGCTGTGCCCGCGGTTTCGCATGATTACTATTACTACTCGCATGACATTTATAGTCTATGTGTTATTCCGATGTATAAGCTAAATTACTGTAAAGTTTCATCTAAATCCGTTCAGTAGATTTTGCATGAAAGAGTAACAAACATCCATCCATACATCCATACATACAAAGTTTCGCGTTTATAATACTACTAAGATTATTATCATTATTACCTAGCTAGAAGCACAATCCAATTGCCGACGAAGGGGTCCGGATTCGAAGGCGGTTTGGTGAGGTTACCGCAACCGTCCGGCGGGTTCCCGACCGTCAGGTACCCTCGGAGGCCGTCCGACGGCACCTCCCCACCGAAACTAGCCGGCAAATCATGGAACTCATCTGCTATCTGGAAGTATAATTTTTTTTTCATACAGCGCCATCTAGTCTCAAGCTAAGCTAGCTAGAGCTTGTGTGTATATATGAGCATAGGGTCAGATCATAACTGACTGACTTATCACGATGGTTTCCAGGAGGAACCGCGTGGAGGTCAACCTAATATGGTACATTGTTAGCAATGGGGTTATAGATCTACAACTAACAATCCAGTTAGCAGTCAGTTATGACCTGATCCCGTGCTCATCATCCTCTACTGGTGCACCGTCAGCCGGGCGAGCAGGCGGGTGAAACAATTCTATTTGCCAACTAACTGTTCTGCAGTTTGGCGAGTCAATTTGTAAAAATAAATGTACTTATCTTTATTAAATAAATAAAAATAAAATCTTATCATTAATTTAATAAACTGCCTCTGGTGATAGAAACACCGAAAGACGTTTCATTCAATATAGGTTACATAAAGAATTACTAACGAAATACTGCATTCCTAATATGTAGAAAACTTTGACGGTGAATTTTGACCACATCTTTTTCTTTTCAATTCCTTAGGTTTCCTTCACATTTCCGGACGGTACCTATACATCAAATTCCACGTAGGACACTTCAATATAGAGACGAATAGTTCACATTTTCACAGTATATCATAAATTCAGAGTAAATCACAGCATTTCTTGTTAATACCACATTTCATCCTACACCACTTTTTCCTCTATCCATCCCTTGAGCGCAGTCCATTTACAAAAATCAGTTGTAACTAAGTCCCGGTGTGGTTTCAACACTGAATTCTTATTGATAAGTTCATAGATAACTGATTAAGTGGCCGACATAGGAAAAATACTGGAATTCTCACTGGTAAGGAAAACAACAGGTTTATCTTGTGTAATATGGTGGAATAAAGGACGATACGTTAATTTGTATAGAGGATAAATATTAACCGTTAAATGTTCCGTGGAATTTCTGTTGTATAATTGATTTTTTAATTGTTTTATCTTGAAAGTGTACAGAAACATAAAACCTGAAAATGTAAACCTATATTTGTTAATATTATTTTAATTAATCTTTAATATAAAGTTTTAATTATTAATATATCACTAGTACAGCCGCTACGATCAGATATTTGTTAATATTATTTTAATTAAACTTCAATATAAAGTTTTAATTATTAATAATATATCACTAGTACAGCCACTACGGTCAGATATTTGTTAATATTATTTTAATTAATCTTCAATATAAAGTTTTAATTATTAATATATCACTAGTACAGCCACTACGGTCAGATATTTGTTAATATTATTTTAATTAAACTTCAATACAAAGTTTTAATTATTAATATATCACTAGTACAGCGGTACTACGGTCGGCTATTTGTTAATGAGCGTCGGTCAATCCACAGAAACACTTCCCATGTGCTAAAAGATAAGACTACAGATTGTTTACCGTACAAGAAGGTTATGAAAATAAAAGATTAAGAACATACGATAATAATATTGTCAAAGGGACACAGGGACACGACAAAGGGAAAGCTATCAGAATTGAAAATTGTTCACCAGAACATACAAAGTTTTCTCGGCTGTGAATTAATTATTCAATTGTTCTTAGAAAGAAATAATATAGATGTTCTATGTTTAACTGAACATTGGCTCAAAGTGAGCAATATGATGTTCAGCTTAAACAATTATAATATTGTCAGCTGCTTTAATAGAAAAATAGTAAATAGAGGAGGTTCTATGATATTGGTGAAAAATAATATAAAAGTAAAAGAACGTAGTGATATTGGCAATCTTTCTGTTGAATGTTGTATTGAAATTTCCTGTGTGGAACTAGACAATTATATAGTTATATGTGTATATAGACCTCCAAATAGTGATTATAATTTATTTGAAGAGGTAATGGAGGATATTTTAAAAAGAGTATTTAATATTAACAAAAAAATTATAGTGTGTGGTGATTTCAATGTTGACATTTTATCACATAATACCACAAAAACTAAATTAATGAGTTTATTTCAATCCTTTGACTTGAGTAATGTCTTCCACGAACCCACTCGTATCACTGCCACGTCTGCTACTTGCTTGGATAACATATTTAGCAACAGTGAGTATTTAGATAAAATAATAATAAACAACCTTCCTTCTGATCACTGTGGTCAAATAGTTATTTTTCCAAATCACTTAAACAAAATTGGGAAAATTAATTTATTAAAAAGAGACTTGACTAGTTATAAGATAAATAAATTTAAAATATCAGTTCGTAGTAAATTAGATTTTTATCTTCCATCTAATGAACCTAACAAACTTTATACAGATTTCTTCAATATTGTTTCTAACGAATATAATAAGGCTTTTAACAAAAAAACTATCAGTATTATTAACAAAACAAAATTTTCAGAATGGGCTACAAAGGGAATTCTTAAAAGTAGAAATATATTATTTGATTTATATGCTCAAAAAAAATACCGTTTCGATAGTACATTCGTAAATTATGTAAAAAGATACTCAAAAACTTTTAAAAAGGTATGTAATGTAGCAAAGTCTAATTATCTAAATAAAAAAATTAAAGAGTCCAAGGATAAGATAAGGACAGTGTGGAGTATTATTAACAAAGAAACTGGCAAAGTTAAAAGTCCATATAACGATTTTACGTTAAATTATAATGATAAACTAGTAACGTCCACAAAAGAAATTGTCAATATTTTTGAAAATTTTTTCGCAAATATTCCAACTGATATTACTTCCTCTTTGGACTCTTCTCCTAGTACAGCTAAATCATTCCTTATTGACAATGTTGTTTCTTGTCCGGTTACATTTAAATTTACATTTATTGACATTGCTACAATTACTAAAACATTTAAACAATTAAATTTAAAAAATACTGAAGACCATTGGGGCATGTCTGTTAAAGTTATTAACACCGCTATAGATGTTATTGCTCCATATTTAGTAATTATTTTCAATAAATGTATTTCTGATGGTGTTTTTCCCAATTTAATGAAACATAGCAAAATAACTCCACTCTTTAAGTCAGGAGAAAAAACTGTGGTAGGTAATTATAGGCCTATATCTATCTTACCAGTATTGAGTAAGGTGTTTGAAAAAATTATGCTCAATCAAATGCTGCAACACTTTAAAGTAAATAAACTGCTTCACAGTCGACAATTTGGTTTCACGGCCGGTAAATCAACTACTGATGCCGGTGTAGCTCTCATTAAATATGTATTTGATTCTTGGGAGAGGTCTCAGGATGCAGTCGGTGTATTTTGTGATCTTTCAAAAGCATTTGATTGCGTTGAACATGAAACACTTTTGCTCAAACTTGAACATTACGGTATTAGATATGAAGCACAAAGCATGATGAAATCCTATCTAAATAATAGAATGCAAGTTGTCGAAATAAATGGTGTAAAGTCTGAGGGAACTAGTATTAAAATGGGTGTTCCTCAGGGCTCTATTTTAGGTCCTTTCTTATTTTTAGTTTACATAAATGATCTTCCTTATATGGTAGAAAAGATAGCTGACATAGTTCTGTTTGCTGATGATACTTCATTAGTATTCAAAGTCAATCGACATATTGATGATTTGGACGAAGTAAACGGTGCTCTTTCTTATGTTTTAAAATGGTTTACGGCTAATAATATGTTACTAAATGCAAATAAAACTAAATGTATCAAATTTACTCTCCCCAATGTAAGGCCGGTAGATTCGAAAATCACGTTGGACAATAAACCTATTAATTTTGTGGATGATACTGTATTTCTAGGTATCACATTAGATTCCAAGTTGCAATGGGGTGCTCATATTACTAAATTAGCAAGTCGACTTAGTTCTGCCTCTTATGCGGTAAGAAGAATTAGACAATTAACAGACGTGGCAACGGCTAAACTTGTGTACTTTAGCTATTTCCATAGCATTATGTCGTATGGTATTTTGTTATGGGGCAAAGCAGCTGATATAAATACAATATTTATTTTACAAAAGAGGGCCATTCGCTCCATTTATAGCATGGGTTCCAGGGAGTCTTTGCGAGAGTGCTTTAAGGAATCAAATATCCTCACTGTTGCTTCTCAATATATTTATGAAAATATCATGTATGCCAGGAAGAATACAGACAGTTTCAAAAGAGTTAGTGATTGCACTAATAAAAGCTTACGTAACAATAACAAACTGATTTTACCTAAATGTCGTTTGGCTAAAGTTAGTAATTCGTTTTATGGCAATTGCGTAAGGTTTTACAATAAAATACCAGAGTCTGTTATAAATCTGCCAGAAAAAAGATTTAAATGTCAAATAAAACACTTCCTTTGCAAAAAAGCTTACTATAAAATTGAAGAATTCGTTAACGATAATAATGTTTTTGTAGAAAAATTTTTAAATACATAGCACTGACAATATTATCTGATTACACTAATAATGAGTGCGTAGCGATTTCTATGTTGATTGTCGCATGCCTCTTACTTGTTACACTGTAATTATTTATATAAAAAAAAAAAATCTATTAAAAAGAGCAACACACAAGTTTCTTGCTCATTCTTCTTGTGATGAATCTGCATTCCGAATGAGTGGTAGAATCAAAATATGACTATTCAAAAGTGCTTGTAATGAGTTTATTTGAATAAAGATTATTTCTATTTCTATTTCTATTGTGACCTCGATTGTCTAGTAGGTTAACACCACTTCATATTTCGATGATCGCAGATTCGTTTCTCACCATGTGCGAAATATTGTAAGCGCGTGAATGTTTCTATTGGCCTGTGTTTTATATGTGTAATTAAAAAAAAAACATTTTCGTTTATTAGATGTCCACAATTTATTTTATTGCGTTGTTGGGCTTTTATCAGGTGCTTGGACCTGACCAGCACTACGACCTACATAGATCTATTGTGCTCGCCCTTTTTCAGAGTTCGCTACCTAGACCTGTCAGGGACAAGAATTGAAGGATATTCTTAGGAGCGATGGTTTCTATCTCCTCAGCATAGAGTGTAAACTTTTCATAGGAGATATTACGTTTATGCATGAGTGGGCTACAACCACATAAGATGTGTAGTGGAGTTTCCTCTTCAGTTTAGCAAAATGTGGAGATTTTGTATCCACTAATATACGAAAATGTATTTTTTAATTATTATATATTAAAGTGAGATTGTACTATGTAATCTCATAGTACAAACAAAGTTTAATTTGGGTATTGAATTGGATATTGGGGGGAAGTGGATAGTTAGTAATGTGGACTGATGACCCCATAGCTAGCGATGAACCAACTCAGGTGGACCACCACACGATTCTCCTAGGACACCATCATTATAAATTCCTGGTGAATTTTTCACGATGGGCTAATTGACCTGATCTCATGCACGCAGTTGAATGCACCATTCTATTATCTTCCGTTAAGACGACGCATCGCAAATATTGACGTTAGCGATCTTAATTTATCTCAGTCATTACAAACCATTGGGGGCTGATATTTATATATTTCACTTAACATATCTTTGACATCATTTTGTACGTTCTCGTTACATGATTGATTAACTTTTTCGTAGCAGACAAAAAAAAATTCAAAAAATGCTCGTTTAAAACATAGATTTATAGTTTATAAGGAAACGGGACTGGTATAGGACGTTGAATCATCCTGTTTGACTTTATGTATTGGATCGTAAGCTGTTGATTTTCTAATAAATATATAAACATATCTATTATACATAGAAAACAACTAGACCGATACTTGTAATCAAAATCATGAATACAAAACGTTTGTTCGGTGCGAGGAACTGAGTAGACTTAATTTCGTTGATAAACATTGAAATGCAAAATTAAATATAAAATAGGAAGTCATCCGTAAATTAAGTCCAAGGAATTATGTAAATATATATTACTAGCGGACCCACGCAAGTTCCACTACGTCACTCGATATTTATTATATTATATTTCACCCAATTGTCAAAATATCTTTTTAAATTAAAGCCTATGTGTTATTATCAGGTTTAAGCTTAGTACAAATACACATATTGTTTTGATGTAACGACCGTTCTTTACACAAAAAAATGTTTGCTCTTGCTAATCTCTGCAACGGCTGCACCCATTTTGACTGTATTTTCCTCGCAGATATCTAATGTTATAAGGAGTAATTTAAGGTACTTTATTTTAGAATCTGTATTTATTTGAGTTATATTTCACGAGGAAGAAGTCGCGGGTAATAGCTAGCTATTACATATAACGCTAGTACTAATAATAAGTAGCAATGAATTTATGAAGAAAAAATGAAAACAGAAAGAATGAGGAGAAGGGGACTACCAAGTCACAGCTATATCAAGCATTAAGGAAAAAGTTGGAGTCGTGTCGTATCAACAACTAAGGAGATTGATGGAAGATCGTGGAAAATGGCAAGAGCTCCATCGACAAAAGAGCGGCTCTTAAATTATGAATGAAGGAAATATTTATGTCGGAATATGACTCAGAGAGGCGACAACGTGACTCAACGAAGTTATTGTTCTTCGGGCTGTATAGTTTAAATGATGCGTCAATCCTGTTTATCGCGTCCAATGTGCCAATTTAAGGGCATGTATCATACTGTACATTATCACTTTTAGGTGACAAGTACATTTCTCTAAAAACAGGGACTACAAATTTATATGAGACAAAACATAGACAATATATACTTTATCAACTTTCTCTTTCTAACAGTCAAAGAATTTTTAAAATCTGCTCAGCAGAATCGGAGATTACACCAAACAAACAAACATATTAGTACAGATTTTCAAGTATAAAAAAAAGCGTAAATACTTCTAATAACCGTTTCAGGAGAAGGAGATGGTTAGTAATGGGGACTAGTAACCCCATTACTAGCAATGTACCAAATTAGGTCGATCTCCACGCGGTTCCTCCTGGAAACCATCGTGATAAATTCCTAATGAATTTGTCACGATGGGCCAACTGACCTGACCTCATGGTCATCTTATCATCCTCCACGGTTGCCCCGCCAGCGTAAACCGTTTGCGTAAGCGGGTTGCACCAATTCATTATCATCTCAAAAGAAAAAAAACCGTTTCAGTGCTCTTTTACGTCGAATCGCTTTTGCAGCATGTATGATTCTAACGGTTGAAATGAGCAAGTAACTGCATGTTTGTACTAACCGTGTGTGGCGTCTCCCTTGTGTAAATAATTATGTTCCCGTTGGCTGCCGCGAGCAGGCCGAGCACGCTGGCGAACGTTGCGCCGAACATCGTGCCGCCCTGTGCATGCGGTCAGCTATTGGCGTACCCCTCTACTCGCGTATAAGGCTATCTCATCTTCTTCGCCACTGAAAAAGAATTTAAAACTATTATACTGTGTGTCTACTCATGTAATATTTCTGTCAACATTAGAGGTCCTTCCATTAGATAACATAGATTTTAAGAATTTTAAGATCAGTGTAACGTCAGTCTACGTCTCGATTCCGCGTCGAATATACGAATTCCTATGTATGGCATGTAGCACACTATCCAATCCAATAAACTTACTAATGTACAATTATTACATCTGTATACTCATTACCTAGATACTACTATATACAACAAATATGTTGTATATAGTAATATTTAGCTACACGCTACGCTACATAATAATGTAGCGACACCTCATCCTCATCACCATCACCTCATTACATTATACATAACGCCGTAGCGGTGAGAATAACTAACGCGCTAGAAATGCCAGGCATTGTATTTTTTTTTATCTTATTCGGTAAAGAAAAAAGGAAGAGGGGTACCACATTAGTTAAATGAGGTACCACTTACCATAACTATGCTACACAGGAAGCGAGCAGCACTATAATTTTTTATGAAATTTGAATTATGAATTTAAGTGAAATTTACGGTATGGACATGACACCTTATTTATATGAAAGGGAATCATTAGGGGTATCACATACATTACATGAGGTACCACTATCATAATAATGTTACACAGGAAGCGACTGGCACTATCATTTATTTATCCAATTCGGTGAATGAAAGTGTTTATGGTACGGACATGACACCTTAGTCCTCGGGAAGGCTGAAACATGAGGGGTACGACATGAGTTACATGAGGTACCACTTACCATAACTATGTTACAGAGGAAGCGTCTGGGACTGTGAAATTTTTTTATCCAATTCGTTGAATGATAGGAAAAATGGTACGGACATGACACCTTAGTTCTCCGGAAGGAATAACAATACTAGACAGGAACCGACTGGTACCCTCAGTTTTATTTATCAAATTCGGTAAACGATAGTGAAATTTATGGTACGGTATACGGAATTTATGGGACCTTAGTCTTCCGGAGTACCACATTGATGGGTACCACATGAGTTACAGGAGGTACTACTTACTATAAGTTAAAAAGACAGTTTGTATGCCATTCCAGTTACAGAATAATCAAAGGAATTCGACGGTGTCGTGTTCTAGCGGTTTAGCACACCGTATTGCTTTCGGTGGTCGCGGTTTCTATTCTATGTACAGTACAAACATTTGTATTCTTGAGTATGACTGTTTGTATTGGTCTTTGCGATTTTTTATGTATGTATTTACAAAAATGTAAAATGTAATAAGTATTTATAGTAGTTGTGTAGTATCTATAACATAAGCTCTGTTTAATTTGGGACTAGATGACAATGAGTGAATTGAACGGAGTCTTAGCGTTATTTAAAAAAAAAAAGAGTAATAAGAACTCTTTAAGCAGCTAAGCTGCCTAAGTGATACATGTAATGCCATGTGTGCTTTTTCCCATCATTGACCTTAAATAGCTTTCCGTTTTTACTCAATGATATACTGATAGAGAATGCCATATGGTACTAGGCTCATCAATTGTATACATATTTAAAAACAGATTAGTTATAAAATTAATGATTATTTCTTAGTTTAGGAAATGAACAAGCTTGCATCTCACCTGATGGTAAGGAATAATAATTCTAATAATTTAACAGTTTGGGGAGTCAGGACTGCATCAAACAGTACACTGGTGAAGGTTTAAATAAATAAATAAAATAAAATGCTGCACACATATCTTTGCGCCCAAGGCCATTTGTACACTCTCAAATATTGCAAAGATCTTTTATTAAATTATGATTGAATGCCTTTATTGTTCCTCTCACAGAAATTATATAATTATAATAACTAAATTATATTTATATTACTATATATGGCATGGGTATATTACTAATTAAGTAAATTAAATAAGCATATGTACTGTTATGCAGTCACTTATTAGACAGTTAACTAGTAAATATAATTAGATTAGGTGACCTATATCATATTTACATCTATTATATATATAATATATTAAATACTCTGTACCCCAATGACCCAATATGATGTTTATTGTATTCATAAATATTCGTTCATTTTTTTTATCACAAGTCGCTTAACTGTAATGTAGAAAATCCCTCACGGTCCTCAGGTCACGGGAGGTCCAAAGGCCCCAAGGCTAGCAAACGGGTACTATGAGACTTTGACTCATGAAAAACTCCAAAAAATCCCTCATCTAATGCTATATGCCGGGGTTGTGAGGACCCAGTATGATGTTTATTGTATTCATAAATATTAGATCATTTTAATTTTAAACATAAGTCACCTAATTGTAAGGTAGAAAATCCCTTACGGTCATCACAGTCACGGGAGGTCCGTAGGCCCTAAGGCTAGCAAGCGGGTACTGTGAGACTTTGACTCATGAAGTGGAAAAGATTTCTGTTTAAGTTTATTATTATTCATTACCTACTGGTTGATTTCTAGGACATAGGCATACAACCTTCACCTTCACAATCACAATAATTTTGCAATACATAAACTAAACTGATATTCAGAAATATAATATTACTAGCTGTACCCACGATTTAATCCATGTGGAATTAAACTTTATTTTTTTTATAAATATTTTTTCTAAAACAAAATTAGCCTAAGTTACTCCATATTCCATCAGCTACCTGCAAATAAAAGTCCTGTTAAAATCGGATTAGCCGCCTTTTCAGAGATTAGCCGGAATAAACCGACAGACAAACATAAATTGTAAAAAAATTATTTTGGTGTATGTGCCATTTTTATATTCATATGCATGATATAATATAAAATATGTAGATAGTAAAAAAAGGTTATTTAAATATTACAAACAGACACTCCTATTTTATTTATATGTATAAAATGTATAGAATAGATGTATAGATAATATTTTGAAGAAATAAATTATATTACTATATTATTTTTATTATTAATCTAACTGTATCCCACAGAGCTGCTTGGTCATAACAACAACCTATCTGGATGTGAATGATTTCTTTCATTGCCAAGTATAAACAAACATTAAAAAAAGTAATTGCTTTTTAAAATAGATAAGATATATTGCACTTTTTTCTTTATCACATTGATAGAACCCACACCCTTTTTTGTCAAACTACAATTTTGTCGATAAGCTGGTAGTGACTATACATGACTATAGATTGAAACTATTCTGAAAGTATTGTTCTCTTGATGTTCTAGTGTGCATCACAATTGCATACACAATAATATTCCTATAGTTTCATTTCAACAGAGCAAGTATATGCTGTTTAATCATAGTGTACACTCACAACTGCCAGGCAATTATGTCTATGTGTATTTATGCAACTTATTCACATTACATGAAAAAATGCAGTGCAGTTATGAGTTATGTATCAACTCCAATATCCTACTTGGACAACGAGTAACGCATTTATATACTTATAAACATAGTGTTAAGGATTAAATTTGTAACAACACATTGATATCAATTTGAATAAATCATATACATATATTTATTAAATGCAGGTTCAAATTGTATTTTGATAAATTAATGCAGATAGCGACTGATGTTTTCAAGGAGGATGATAAAAGGGTGATTTCGCAAACGATATACGTATAGGTGAAAAAAATTATCAATATTTGTTAAATACTAGTGAATTGAATTAATCTTGTCATAATGGATATAGTTGGATCACGTGTTGGAAGCAACAATACATTATTTCAATGAAGGCCTATGATCGCTTCTAATTGAATCCAATGCAAAATGTTAGAAAAACAAATAATAAAAGGAAGTACTTACGAGTTAATTTAGTCACAGTACAGGTTGTACCCGGGTTATTTTGTGGTTAGGGCGGCTCTTAAAACAATTATTTACAAATAAAAAGTTCTATTGTTAGATTTCAATAGAATAGATTAAGGTAATAAACAAAATATAAAATTATTTCAATTACGACTAAAATTATGTAGCTGTCACTGTCAAGTCACACTATTTTTTTAGTCTAGACATTTATCGCTATGGAAGCAAAACTATTGTCAATACTCAGGGCGCTATTACATTATGCCTGGTATACAAATCCTTTATACGTTTAATAATTAAAATTATTAAATCGCTGTATTTGCAATTTCTAAACATGTTATTATTTTTTAATAATAGTTCCCTAATAAAAGTAATAAGTTATCAAGTCAAGTTTCTTTACATCGTAATTCAATGGCGCCCTCTATTGAAATGAGTTATCATCAGTGACAATTTATACAGTTTGTCAACAATATATGCACTGATTTTTAGGTTTTGCGGTATGCAAATATTTGTTTTCATAAGTATGATTGTTGTTATTGGTATGGCTGTTTTCTATGTATATTATGTATGTCATTACATAGTATAAAACAAAGTCGCTGTCGATGTCTGTCCGTCCTTATATATGCTTAAATCTTTAAAACTACGCAACGGATTTTGAAGCGGTATTTTTTAATAAATAGAGTGATTGAAGAGGAAGGTTTATATATATAATACATGCGTGCGAAGCCGGGGCAAGTAGCTAGTTTTTATTATAAAAATAAGTATTGTCTGGTACCATACCATATACTCTGCTTATCTTAGGACTACATGGCACTGTGTAATTTTCCCGGGTTATTATGATTAGGTCTTATATAGGTTAAGAATAATATAGTGATACCATTTTTCGTTTTTATTCTGTATTCGTATCGGGGTTAAAAGTTATAAATAAAAACCTATATTTTGATTTTTTGTTAGGCTACTTGGGGTTTGGTCAAAAAGTATAGTAAGTATATCAGAGGCTTTCATTTCACCATCATCTAATCAAGGGCTTGATTACTATAACTTCGTAGTTACTTAAATTATCATAATATAAGGACAATAAACGTGTTTAAAAGAATTGCAATTGAATAATGATGCAAGATAATAGCGCTCTTGCATGCGCTAACACAATACTGGTTGAGTATCAATGAAAATTATATGTATATAGTCTGAGGATAGAGTCTATCAGTCAACATAAGGTCAACTTTAAGGCATATTAAGGATATTTTTTTTGAATCTGCATCTTTGTATATATGTATAATTTCGTCGTAATGTAGATATCCGTTTGAATTGGACGGAGGATAGTAGGAGAGTAGTAGGTAGGTATTCACCAATATAGAGTTATAAATGATATTATGTTGATAATGTGTGGCTACATTACTTAGATCTCTACTGTAGTAGTTTGGCAGTCAGTTTGGAGTTTTTGGGTATAGGTAAAATATTGTAATACATCCCAAATATTTATTTTATTTTATATTGTGCTAGATGGACTTATGCTAATAGAAATGGGCAAACTCTCAACGCGGAGTCTTAATTTTCTTTATATAATGGTCAGCAGGCCCATATGAGTAACTTGTAGACTAACATACCTGTGAAGTAATAATAAAATATAAATATAAATTGTCTCTGTCGTTACGGCACTGACGACGGCCATCTGCCACGCTGTACCGCTGATCACCCACTTCGGCCAGTAGTCCTGCTTCATGAAGTCGGGCAGCATGTTGGTGGGGACCCGGGTTACAAACGCCTTGAAACTCGACTCCAGCTGTGTCTTCCTCAATATCAGATTACTCCTAGTACCTATGTAGTCGACAATGACCTGACCAAATGCAATGCGGATTGACATAAAAGATAATGCAGTTTTACACTGAGACATAAACAAATGTAAAGGGGCTAATTGTTGGTTGGATTGTTTATTTCATGGAGAATATTATAACTACAGTAGACGCGCTCCTCTTTCTTTAGTTTCCTCAGTATAACGATAAAGATCACTGAATCAACATTAGACTGATTATTGAATTATAATAAAATATTGTGTTATCTGTGGTACTCAGTGCCGAGCCTAAATAACCTGAAGAACGGCCTGTATTAAGTTTTTTTATATTACTGAATAGAACACAAACTGATTGCTTAAGTATATGATTGTATGTTTCGCTTATATTATGTTATCTGTGCTTATATACATGAATGAAGAGTACCACAAGATGAAGTCACCATGTAATGCTTTAAAGCGTTGCCATAGCAGACACAAAACAGTTCTAAAATGAGACATAAACATTGTAAAGGGGCTGATTGTTGGAAGAATTGAGAATATTATAAGTACCTACAGTAGCCGCGCGTTTTTCCTTAGTGATGTCTGGATATACGGGTAACGAGTGGTGGATATATACAAATACATAAGTAAGAAAATTATTTTTTAAGGAATGATAATGGAATGGTGTGTCCATCTTCGCTATTGATATGCGTTGATGGGACGCTAAATGAGGATAAAGTCAGGTCATTCAGCGCGTTCCGGTGATATACTAGATATTAAAGAGGATTTTATATATGAAATTGTTAGCTATAGGATCACAAGTCTCCGTTAAGTTAATAGTCCCTACCAATATGCTGTTCCCTTTCATGAAGGAAAACCACCGAAGGGAGTGGTGTAACGACGCTACCGTGGCAGATTACTATACACAGCGCTTATAGTGATCACAAAGACAATATAAATTACAATTTAAAATTATAATTAGATTTATTTTTATTACTTGTCCTATATTTATTTATATATTGCATTGCTATGCGTATTTTTTTATTGTAGCTACCTGTATCAACCACACAGTTCCTTTCAGTCACTCAAAGGTTGACTGGAAGAAATGTCTCTTTTCAGATAAGTCCGCCATTGTACTAGTTTTTTTTAAAACATTTATATCCTTTTCTTTATAATCTGAACAATAAAGAATTACAAAGAAACAATATCATTAGTTTATTTTATTATTTTATGTGCATATATGTTATTCATTAAAGTATATATAACTAGCTGCGCCTGCGACTTCGTCCGCGTAAAATGACGATACTTCCATATAACCTTTCAACCCCTTACAACCCTTGTTTTGCATTAAAAAGTAACCTATGTCCTTTGTCAGGATCTAGACTATCTGTGTACCAAATTTCATTTAAATCGGTTCTGTGGTTTCGGCGTGAAAGCGAGACAGACAGACAGAGCTACTTTCACATTTATAATATTAGTAAGGATATCTATAGACGAATAATGTTATATAAATAATATTAAGTTACCTGACGCAAAGAAATAAAAATGAATTATAATATACAAATGTCATAATAAATAGGCACCTACTTAGAATGACACTGCCTTAAATTGTGACTTTAATTAAGGAGTTAATTAGATAGCTGCGCCTGAGGCTGTACAATACCATTAATTATCTCGGAGCCCACTGCATTAGTAACAGTGTTTTTGCTGTTGTCGAATAATATTGTCGATTCGTCTGGGAACCAATTAGTTAGTACTCGTGATTTTCTATTTGTGGATATTATAAAAAATATATTCGCTGAACAGTATCACCGCATTTCCGCTTCATTTCATCTTCGGCTAAAATGTTTTTTCGCAATTTTTGCGACTAACCATCTAAACGGATCTTAATCTATACCTACATATAAATAAAATTGGAGTGTCTGTTTGTAATATTGCAAAACAGTTTTTTACTACATGCATGTGAATATAAATACGGAACATAAGCCGAAATAACATTTTTCTGTTTGTTTGTTCCGGCTAATCTCTGAAATGGCAGGACCGATTTTGACGGGACTTTTTTTGGCAGGTAGCTGATGTAATAAGGAGTAACTTAGGCTACTTTTATTTTAGAAAAATAAAGTTAAATTCCACGCGGACGAAGTCGCGGGAACAGCTAGTTTATAATAGACCATATAGCCTGAATTAAATAAATAAATTGGCATTAATATATTTTTTTCAATATTTTTTAAATATGATGCTCAATAATTGACCCTACATTATCTCATCTCTGTGGTAAATACAACACCGCACAGCATCCTGAAATGCTGCGCAAAGTTGAATCAATTTGTATTCGAACTTTGTACAAGAAGAAGAAATAATAATCATAACCGACTTCAAGCAGGGGCGTTCTCACTTCTAACTTTGTATTTTACGTGTTTATTTTATGTATTAGTTAAATAATACAGTAATAATATATCTTACATAAATAAATAATATTAGATGTACTAGTATAATGTATCACAAACACGAACATGGGCTATTTTTTAGCTTAAAAAATAATCTGGAACATGTCGTCAATAAGGACTCCAATACGTTGGAGATGGTTAGTAAGAAAGAAACGTGTTTTGAAGTGCACTTATGCATTTACAAGGATTTTTATTATAATTTACTACATACATGATGATTAGATATTGTTTCTTAGATTATATAAAATAAACAATAGTGTAATAAAAAATAAAAGACAGCTACTCTTAAATGTCTTCTTTGTGTACCTATTTTGTTTAAAATTAAGTCATTTCCGCTGTCTGTTTGTTTAGATTTTTAAAATTACGCAAGGGATTTTAATGCAGCTTTTAGCGATAGATAGAGTGATTCAAGAAGAATATATAATATATGTACATCCTTGCAAAGCCGGAGCGAGTAGCTAGTTTCATTATAAAAATGTTTGTCGTGAGTATAACGGTACAGATCACTGATTCAACATTAGAATTATTATAAATATTTTGTTATCTGTGGTATCCAGTGCCGAGCCGAAATAATCTGAAGATTTATATATATTAATATAGATTTATATATACTGTATATTTTTTTTTATATTATTCAGTGGCATACAAACTGAAGATTTACCTGATTGTATGTGTCGCTTATATACTTGAACAGTACCACAAAGTCAAGTCATTATGTGGTACCTTAAAGCGTTTTGCAGACGACTCCGCACTCTTTAATTTCACTGCCATATCTCAACCTTAACCCTTAAATGCATGATTTTATTTTTAGACCGAGAAAAAATATATTTTGGAGCCATGAATATGCTGATTTAGGGAAAAATAATAAAAAAAATAGTTTTTTTTATTTTCATAGCTATTTTTATTAAAAACCATTTGTTGCAGAACTACAACACTATGCACTCACTAGACAATAACTACATATGAAAATTTTTAAAACAATTTTTGGTTGTGGTAAGACAAAGAGCTACTCCACACTTCTCACACCTGTTTTGCGTGTATCCCTTGCATCCAGGCATTTTGCATCTGCTGCGAACACAATTACCAGGCCAGTGACCAACATTATCAGTCCTTATGTCCTTAGGAGGAATATGTTGAGCTGGTCCTCTCCTTTTTTTTGCTTGTATTTCCATTTCAACACTGTTGCTGGTACTTGGCCTTCCTCTTTTGTTGCAGAGTTCAAATGAGTTATTTACTTTGGCTAATACCTCAGCTAGTTCCAGTCTATAGTTACATAGGTTTAGAACTGATGAATTGGCTTCAGTTGTTTTTAAATTTTTATACACAAGCCAAGAATTTATTACCGTCATGTCCAATAAGTGGTAAAAGATACGAAGATACCACTTTCGGCTTCTCATTGCAATTCGGTACCTCCCAATAAAGCTATCCATTAGGTCCACTCTGCCCATATGGGCATTATATTCCTTTATTATATGTGGGCATGAAATTTTAATTCTAGTCTTATTTGCCTTGTCAAATCTTTCTACTTGGCCCACAGGTTCAGCTCCAACATATGAAGATAGAAAAGTTACAACTTTATTGTCCTTCCAAGTAACTGCTGTCAAATCAATACCGTCAAATTCAGTCATCTGCTCTTCATAAGTTCCACGAGGAACAGATTTCTTCATCATTGTTTTTTTGTCCGGCAGTTTGCAGTTCACTAGCCTGTTAGATTGCACAGTACCTAGGCTATAGATTCCTTGTTTGGCAAGATAGGTAACTAAAGGTACAGAGGTGTAAAAATTATCAAAATAAATGATATGATTTATATGCCTTGGGACACCTCTAGCAAGCCGGACTACAACATTTCCCACTGGCCCAAAATCTGGTTCATCTGGAAGCCGTTCATTCTCTTGGCCAGTATATATTTCAAATTTATGAGCATAACCTTTCACGCTGCACATCACATATAATTTAAACCCCCACTTATGGGGCTTATTAGGTAAATACTGCTTCATGAAGTGTGCCACTTTTGTGGCACACATCTGTTCATCAATTGAGAGTTTTTGTTCCATAGGAACTAAAGCAAATTTCTCATTTAGATGGCTAATTATAGGCCTTATCTTATGGAGCCTATCATGTTGTGGGTGTTCCTTGGGTAAATGTTTCTCGTTATTGTTGAAATGTAGAAATCTACGAATAGTCTCAAATCGGTTGACAGTCATTATGTCCTTGATTGGTTGAAAACCTACAGTATTTGACCAGTATAGCCGTATATTGGGATATTTTATAACAGACATGTATATCAGTATCGCCATAAACTTTCTTAGCTCAGTTTCAGATAAATTTAATGGTTTAGTCACATTTTTTTGAACGGAATACAAATTAGACTCTTCCACAATCCTTTGAACTATTTCTGATGTAATAAAATGTGAAAAAATACTATAGGGAGTACCAGTAGTAGCCTCATCCTTCAGTTCAGGTGGGTATGTAGTGTCTCCATGAAAAGCTGTCTGGTCAGAATTCAAAACAATTTTTTTTACCTTCCATACGAGTCCTCTCATAGTTGCTCGGCGACTAGCTTGACTTGTTGAGGGGAATGGAACCTGTGGCACTTGATCATTTGCTGTAGCTTCATTTATCAATGGCGGGTCTCCTGCCATGAATGGATCATTATCGGGGTCATCATTTTCCTCTTCTAATGAACTCTCAAGATCGTGAAGCAAATCGTCTCCATTTTCATAAAAATTCTCATTACCTTCTGTATCCGAGTCCTCAAGATCATCTTCCGAAATCTCCCCATCATTTATTAGAGCTAAATACTCTTCTATTTGCTTTTGATTCAAGTATGGCATCTGAAAACCAATAAAAGTGATAGTTAGTAACTAAACAGGGACATTTTCTAGTAAATGCATTTTGTTGCAGATTTACAACAACAAAATAAACAAAATTTCCGAACACACCAAAAGTTTTATTTATAACTTATAAATTGTACTGAAAAGAAGATGAATTATTACGTAAAATAACTAATTTTGTTTGAACGTACCTTCGAAAACCAAATAATTACACTGCAAAGCAAATACACAATTTTCATCCGCTCCAAAATTACGATCGGCTTTGATTTGTCAATGTCAATTTAAATTTGACAGTCGTGAAGAAAAAAGTGTGTTGCCACTCGATTAAATATATCACCATGATAGTAATAATCCTGCAACAGCATGCATTGAACTCATACTAATAATTTTATGGTCGTTTGAATGGTATGTTGCAGTTTTACTACTTTATGCATTTAAGGGTTAAAAAAAAAACCCACTTCTCAACCTCAAACTAGTGCTTGCTGCATGCTGCTTGAAGACAGAGATGCCGATAAAGACGACTTCATACAAAGTCTAAAACGGTAAAATGTTAATGTATTTATTAAGTTGTTACAAAGGTTAAAGCAGTTTTACCACACACGTGATTCGCCAATAAAATTGCGGCCTGTATGTTCATTGGTCAATATTTGTCGAGTTTGCCGCACTGCGCCGAACTAAAACTCTCACCTTAGCTAAACAACTAAAAAATACAATTGCCTAAAGGAAGATTTCGCTCTGTTTTTGTTAGGATCGCTAATAACTGACATTTGAAATTAAACTTTTAGGCATACATTAAAAAGTTAACATTTTATTGAACGACTTAAAGACATCTATTCATTGGAGTGATGTGCCATCGCCCGCCAGTGTACACTCGTGTTGATATGGAGTGGTCGCCCCAAACAGATGGCACGAAAGTTGAAATTTTATTTAAATTTCGAACACATTTCATTAACTTTTTTTTAATGCGGTAGTGAAGTTTGACGTAGACAGTGAACATTATATTTGATTTCTGTTGTAGTGAGTTTCGTTCTACGATTGTTATATTCTATATTTAAACGCAAGTTTGAGTTGAAATGGTAAGTTGGCACATGTTCCCGTTTCTGTTGTTTTGCGTGTACGTAAATATATCATAGTATGCGTATTAATAGATAAAATTATTACATATGTATTAATAAATTTACAGTTCGAATAAAACAGAATTGGAAAGTTTTAAGTAATCATTATTTATCGATATTTGTCATTAAAAATGCCTATGTACACGAAGTGGGAAGGTTGAATTCTACATAAGTTGGTAGATAGGTAATTAAATTCTAAATATTATTAATTCTTTTAATTTATTAATCTGAAGATACCTAAGATATATGTACGCAGATAACAACTTTCTTTACAATGAATAAACTGGTTATGGAACTCAATACTAAGTAGGGTATCTACGTTTTAAATTCAAAACGGTACATAATGCCGCTTAGTGTTACTCGATTACGTCGAAGCAAAAAGGACTATTATGTTATGTACCAATATTTATAAATGAAAATACATACTTCTAGAAATATTACTTTTAGTGTAGTATTTTTATCATGTTGAAATATCTTCAAAAGACCGTCCCCACGCGCCGGTGGGGCGGCGCGGCGTGGGGGTGTGTAAGGGATATTTAGGCACCTATGTTGAGTATATTTTATTCCAGTTTAAAAAAGTTGTCAATTACATTGTAGGAAGATGCTACTTTGAGTTTTTGGTGGTACTTATTCATTTTACACGTGGTAGCCTTGTTTCTATACCTCGGCAGGTAGTTCTTTCCACAAATTTATGAATGTCTGTCAATGGCGAGCGGTGGGATGGTAAAAGATTAGATATTATATGTTATATACCTATGACAATCATTCTCTGCACCATCTATGGTTGACTGGTAGAAAACTCCGCATGGTGTTAAGTCCACCAAATGTACTGGACTATATTTTGTATTGTGTGTATTGATTTATTTTATTTATTAATTTGACCCATATTATAGATACCTTATAAGACTAACATACATAAGAAATAATAATGAAAAGTAAATAAAATTGTCTCTATGGTTACGGCACTGACGAAGGCAATCTCCCACGGTAGTGCCGATACACCACCCCCTCGAAGTTAAATAAATAAATATTACATGTAACATTTTAAAAGATACTTACCTACACTAGATGTTTGTTATTCAAACACTATTTCTACCACACCTTTACGACTATACTGATTTGAATATTTCATATACCTACAATAGACCATGTCCTAGATAAACACAGGATATTTTCTATCCTCATTTACGTTGTGAAATAAACCAACGTTTGTCAAAACAGTATAATTTAATAATACGTCCGTTGGGGCAAAAGGGGGTTGATAGTAGATAGTAATGGAAACAATGGTCCCTCCTATTGATCCCGTGTCCTAATTACTATTTAGGCATTAGAATTACGATAATGAGTCGAGGTTCAATCTCTATTTTTTTATACCATCTAGGCGGCAAACAATCATACGGCCCATCTGATGGTAAACGGTTACCGTAGCCTATGGACGCCTGAAACACCAGGGGTATCACGTGCGGGTTGACGACCCTTAAGAAACCTTAATATACCCTTCTTAAAAACCCCATGCTGTAGTCTCTCGAGAAAACTTCGGCAGCAGGTTCATTCCACAATCAAAGTGTACGCGGGAGGAAGCTCCTCTGAAACCGCATTGTCCGATACCACTTAGGTAAAAGATAGCCGTAGGCAACATGTCAAACAATTCTTCAGAACACTGTCTGTTGTATATTCGGTGGAATACACAAAGCGATGCGAAATCACGCCTTAAACTACGTGGTTCGATACCCCATGATTGAAGTCTTATCCGTCAGGCAGGAATTGGTATGCAGCACCTTGAGTCCTTTTGCAGGCTTTTGCAGGCTTGCTCCTATGCTATCACCATATTCGTCTGACAAAGAAGAAAACCAGATGGGGCCAAAATGCTTTAGAATGATTCGAAAAGAAAGTAATGCAAATAGTACAACCTATCAACGGGGGAAGGGACAATTAGTCTCATGCAATAGATCAACCTTCACACGATTCGTGATTGATCAATCACGTGGTTTCCAGGGGATCCGATAGGAAATTCCTAGCGAATGGCTAATTCGGTTGGCTAAATGAATCGACTTCTTTTTTTTTTGCATTTACGTACATTCGGATTGCACTATTTTTTATACTATTGTGCACGACGTACCTTTTCAGACTTTTATTACATTTTTAAATACCTTTTTTCCTCTGTTCTATTATATTTGTCTCCTTTGAAATATGTATATTTTTACCTTCATTCATCATCACGTGCAGCATTATTAATATAGATCATTACAGTCCTTAAGATACTTTATTTTTACAACTCTTTTTTAATTTTTTCTTTCCTGTCCCGTTAATTTAAATAAAAAAAATTCTGAATCTGAATTCACGTATTTGCAGATTTATTTGCGTCAAAACTGGTCACATCCTGGTTTAATATAAAATGTTATTGGACTATTATTCGTTAAAAACTATGTAAAGATAAAGCCGTTGTGCTTGACGTAAAGATTAATGGCCGTCATTGTTATTCATATACAGAACGTGATGCTAATACACCATTCAATATGGCATGTAACAAATGAAGAAGGTACTTGTAAGTATGCTGATCGCATTGAAAAATTAATAGTAATGAACGCAGGACGATTCACACAGCGCCGTCTACTCTCAATCTAAACTAAGTTTATGGATACTGGGTATTAGACCACTGATAGAAATACATAAATACATTTTTTGTAAATACATAAAAAACACCAAGATATAAACAGTTATACTCATTAATACAAAATCTTTGCATCCTGCGAGATATCAAACCTGCGACCATCGGAAGTAAAGCGGTCAACCGAGGCCATCAAAATAGTAGAAATACTTAAAAGTTTCTTAATTAATGTTATTGTCCCGGTAAACGTCTTTTTGCCATATAAATTTAAGTACGAATATCGCTTTTAAAAATGAGTTGGTGGTAGAAGAGTGAAAATTTAAAGTTGTATGTATTTTTTAATGCCACATATTAAAAAATAAAATTTTGTCCAAAAAAAATAAAATTTAATGTTAGGAGTGGACAACCCTTATCACTTAGGGGTATGAAAAATAGATAGTAGCCGATTCTCAGATCTAGTGAATATGCATATAAAATTTCATAAAATCAGTCATGCCGCCGTTTCGGAGGAGTATGGTAAGTAAGATTGTGTCATGAGAATTTTATTTTAGACATAATATTTTAGATATAAATCGATATTATTATTTTGTATAATTTTTATGGTAATATGTCTAGATAATGGACCAATTAAGTTATATGTATAAATAATATAAAGTTCCCTGATTTAAAACAAATAAAAATAAATAACCTATTATCTTACTCCAGTATATATTACAAAATACTGACTGTACAAGTACTGTATCTATATTTAGAATAACTTAATCAATTCAGTAGGTATTAAAACACGAACACAAACTAATCTATATATTTATATATGACGCATGCAGACCTTAATTACGAATACAACCATTATTTCAATAGAAGGTCATGATCCCACATCGTTATCATTACGTGTTACAGTAAAATTAATCTAAATGTTTGAAACTATGGTTTTGTATTTTTTTTATTTCCTGTTAAGGCGTCTCGTCCTTGCTATTGCATAGGGGTGAGGCGACATTTGATAAATAAGCTAACTAAAAGTGGAATGATGAAGTGAATTTATTTATATTAAACCGACTACCCGTCCCAGTTTGGCACGCGTACATCTATTATACATATAAACCTTCCTCTTAAATCACTTTATCTGTATCTAAAAACTGCATTCAAATCCGTTGGGTAGTTTAAAAGATAAGAACAGAAAACGACTTAATTTTATACTATGTAGAGGATACATGGATTAATTTATGTTTAGTTTTAGTTTTATATTAATTATTTATTATATTATAATTTCTATTTTGTGTTATCAGTAGTTCTATAGTTCCTATTTTCAAAAAAACTAATTTATAAAAGTAATTTCCTTGATTCAATTATTAATACTAAAGACTAATTAATTTGTATTTCAACGTTTAATCTTATTAATATTATAAACACGAAATTTTGTGAGTATGGATGGATAGATATACACAGCAGAATTTGATGAAACTTACAGTAACATAGGTTATATATTAGAACACATATTAAAAACCGCAGGCACAACGAGTAGGTCAATAAATTAAAAATGTGATATTGCAATAATTTTTTTCGGTTTAGCATTGATTTGAAACTTGTCAAAAGAACGATATAAAACTGAATTAGTTTGAAATCGATATTCAAATCAAATCAAACCCAAAAATAATTTATTCGTGTAGGACATTTTAGCCGCTTATGAACGTCAAATATTAACAGTAGACTTGCAGTTTGATCGTTGTTGTAAATAATGGTTTCATTACGAATTAGCTATATAATAGTAGAGCTAACAATTCTCCCCTCTGGTAGGTCAGGTTGGTTCAAGGTTATACATCCAATGTCAAGATTGTGAAGCGGTTATCGAATTCTCAATCGGGGTACGAGGTTTAGGGTTCTGTCGCCATGGCAACGATATAGTTCTTATCGTAATCAACAGTGGGTAATGGATAAGCAATATAATCAATTTCAAGAAACAAAAACTGAGATTGCAAATCGTTTGTATCTTTTTCTATATGCAAAAATTCCGCTCCAGCCTATATTATATTATTACTATTAACATTTTTTAAATATAGGTTGTTTTTTATTTTTTTGAGGCTATGATGGGGCCGCGATTCTTTATGTATATTTGTGTTCCTTGTATTGTAGTAGAAGCACTAGGAAATAAGGAGGTGAACAGAATGAGACCAGGTTATGGCTATGTACATATTTATATTGATGAAATATTTACAATAGATATAATATATACAAGTAAACGATTCGGTCTCGACTGACAAGCTTGTTATTTTCTTCTCAACGTCGTAACTAGGCGATGTTGAGGTGCGATAATGGTAAATTCGCCACAATTCTAAATAATTTTGATGAACAGAAT